CTGCCCAGTTCAGAGGTTCAGAGGTTCTGCAGGGGTCAGTCTCCCTGCGTGGCTGCTCCACGCAGGGACCCTGAGTCCCCTGGTCCCGGCCCTGACGGCTCCGATGAAGAACACCCTCCCCTGAGGCTGAACTCCAGCCCTGAGGGGCACCTGCTTCCCTCATCCGGAGATGGACGTGTGGATGGCTGCCACGTGTGGCTGCTGTGAGTGGGAACAGCGCGTGGGCTGGGGGTCGGGGGACACATCTCTGTCTGTCCTGCTCTTGCAGGGACAGAGCCAGGAGTGACCCCGCAGGCTCAGAGGGCACTTCTGGTCTCCTTTGCCACCCACCTTCATTCCCACCATCCTTCATGGTTGCAGGTATCTGTTCCTGCTCCCTTGGCTGTGGTGCTGGGGTCACACACCTCCTTGGCCGTGGTGCGTGCATACATCTGGCCATGGGAAGTTCAGGAATCGCGACGTCAGAGCCACGGGGAGCACATGCCACGCTTGTGGGTGGCACCCAGGACCCGTGGCTCTGGCCACTGCATCACCTGCAGCCGCTGTTCTTAGCGTTAAGGGACGGCCACGGTTCCCACGTGGCTGCCTGGGCGTGGGTGTTCCTGTTTGGGGTTGGGAGGGCTTGGTGTTTTGGGGGGAGGGGTGAGACCACACCCAGCAGTGCTCAGCGCTTTCTCAGGGCTCTGCACTCAGGGGTCACTCCTGGTGGTCTTGGGGAACCACATGGGGACCAGGAATCGAACCCAGGTCAGCTGCGTGCCAGGCAAGCACCCTCCCTGCTGTGCTTGCTCTGCCTTTTCAGTTCCTTTCTGGAAGGGGGCTGGGTTGGCCGGTGGTGCTCGGCCTCCCCCTGGCTCTGGGTCCCTCCTGGCGGAGCTCAGGGGACCGGACCTGCCACTGCCTCGTCCCCTGCACCGTCTCTCCCTTCCTCCGTCTCACTCGCGCACCCGTCATTGATTCAAGTCGCCCGTCTCCTTGCTCAGAGCCCAGCCACTTTCTGGCACCTCAGAACCGGAGCATCAAGCGCCCAGTCACGCCCATGGCTGCACCCGTCCCCCCCGGGGCTGGACGCCCACACGGGGAAGTGCTGGATGCCAGCTCTGCAGGGGAGACCAGGGCCGGGCCGGGCCGGGCCGGGGTGCCGGGGAGCCTGCGCGCTGCTGCCTGGCCACGAGAGCGGACACTGCCCACCCTCGCTCCCCGCCCCCCGCAGGACGGGACCTGGCGGTAAACGGGCCTGGGCGAGGCTGCAGCGGGAACCAAGCCTCCGGGTTTGTCAGGATTTCAAAAGCCCAGCGAGAGCAGGGCGGCGCTCTGCCACTTCGTGCCACGTGTGGGCGATCTCTGAGCACAAGTTCAGGGGAACAAATTGAATTACGGGGGAGGCAGCTGCGCCACTCGCGACCGGGGATTGTTTGAAATCCTTTTAGAGGAAAATTAAAATATTTCCCGGAGGGTAATAAAATGCCGGGAGGTGGGGAGCTGAGGCAGGAGCGCACGGCTCTCTCGGCACATAAGTAATTAGACGTTTTTATTTAAGTTCTCCGTGTTGTCATTTCTCTTTCATTAGTGGAGGGTGGAGAAAGCCTGGTGTGGAAAAATGCCTAAAACTCTGAAAATCACCAGAAGGTTCCTTACACAATGGTGAGAGAGGGGAAGAAAAAAAAAAAAGAATGAAAAATCAATCAACAGACTGAGTTTTCCAGGGCTGCCGCATTCTGCGGGAACAAAAGCGTCTTCATGGCTGTCAGAGGGGGGTCCGCCAGCCCCCATGCACCCCCTCAGGCCCCCCGCAGGGCCTGGGCCTGTGGAGCCCCCCCCCAGCCCCCATGCCTGGATGAGGCTGGGCAGGACGTGGGTGCAGGAGCGTGATTTGAATTGTTGAACTGACCGGCCCTCTGAGAGCAGGGTAGGGGGCTGGCGAAGGCATGATGGGGGCACAGAGGGCCGGGGCGGGGGGGGTCCTTCCTGCCTCATCAGCCGCAGCACCCCCTCCTACAGATGGGAAAACTCGGGAGCTATAGGCGTTTTTTTTTTTTTGCTTTTTGGGTCACACCCGGCGATGCAGAGGGGTTCCTCCTGGCTCTGCACTCAGGAATTACTCCTGATGGTGCTCAGGGGACCCTATGGGATGCTGGGAATCGAACCCGGGTCGGCCGCGTGCAAGGCAAATGCCCTCCCTGCTGTGCTATCGCTCCAGTCCCGAAGGCTCCGAAGCCCAGGTCTCGGGGCTGCCACAGGGCAGGCGGCTCCTGGGCATCCTTGGGGGGGGCGCAGCTGGGCCCGCTGGCTCTCCCAGGCAACCCCCTTCCCGCCTGCGTTGTTGCTCAGATCACCTTCTGGGAGCACTGGGCCGGGAGCGGGGCTTCAGGCCGAGCAGATTGTAGCCGGGGATAGTCGCGGACGTGGGCTCCCCTTCAGTCTGGCGAGGGCTCCTCTCCCAGGCCGCCTGCTCGCTGCGTTCGGGACATGTGTCGGGAGCCGCTGTGGGCATCACCCGGGAGCGCCAGTGCGTGACTTTGCGTGTAGGTTGAACCCGTGTTTCCCACCTTTTCCGGCCGTGCCCCCACCCCCGGCTCACCCCTGTTTATCCAGTTTGCCCTCGTGGCTCCCTCGGGAGAGTCCGGGGGGCCCTGGCTGACAGATGCTGAGTTAAGGGACATAAACAGGCACCTTGGTCCACCTGGACTTAGAAAATAGTACTTGGTCCAGCCGGCGTCCCCCGTGGGTGCAGTGCTGCCCAGCCAGGAGCCAGGTGGCTGCGCTATCAGGCCAGGTGCTCGGTGGAGACTCTGCTTCGAAGCTTCTGGGTGTGCCATCCCGTGCAGGGCAGCGGGCAGCCTCCCTGTGCCTGCAGGCCACGCCCGTCCTAAGCCCACGCGCTGACCAGCAGCTCTGACCTGTGACGTCAACCGTCCACTCCTGTGGCCGGCTAAGCGACAGGCCAGTGGGTGAGGCCCAAAGGGAACATGCTTGAAATGTCAGGACGGTGGCGGAAGAGAGCAGAGCACTGGACAGGGAGGAGCGGGAGGCCAGCCCGGCACTAACAGGAGGACACGAGTCACACGCTGTCACGTGCACTGCTGGTGGTGGCCGCATCGCCCACGTGCAGCACCACTGCCTGGAACTCCAGGCCCCGCGTGAGCTCACAGAGCGTGTGAAGGGGCTGGGGCAATAGCACAGCGGGTAGGGCGTTTGCCTTGCACGCGGCCGACCCGGGTTCGATTCCCAGCATCCCATAGGGTCCCCTGAGCACCGCCAGGAGTACTTCCCGAGTGCAGAGCCAGGAGTAACCCCTGTGCATCGCCGGGTGTGACCCAAAAACCAAAGAGAGAGAGAGAGAGAGAGAGAGAGAGCAAGAGCGTGTGGAGCTGGCCGGGCCTCCCTGCCGTGGGTTGGACTGTGCTTCTCGGAGTTGGGGTGTGTGGCTGAAGCCCCCCGAGGTAATCCCCGGGGACGTGGCCTGGGGGTCTCATTCAGCATCTCTCTGGAGCATTGCTGAGGCCTGTGAACCCAGAAGCATCTGAGAAGTTAAAACAAAACAAAACACCAGACACCTCTGCTCAGGAGCTCGAGTTAGGCGTCACATTCTTTCTTCCTGCCCTTCAGCGGTGTTTCGGCGTGGATGTGCCCATCTCTGCAGACAGACGGGGAGAGGAAAGGAGGGCGAGCTCCTGCCTGCCCGCTCAGGGCCCAGGGCTTGCTCCTGGTTCTGTGCTCAGGGATCCCTTTTGGCAGGGCTTGGGGGACCATTTGCCAGGGATTGAATCTGGGTCAGTTTTATGCAGGCAAGTGCCGTACCTGTTGTACTCTGCCTCTGGCCCTAACGTGAGAGGTTCTTTCTGGGAAAGACCGTACAAATAGGTGGGGATAACAGAAGCGTCAGTTTATGGCCTTTGCTTCTTCATTTGTTTGAGGCGCCCCCTGGTGGTGCTCTGGGGTCACTCCCAGCCAGGCTCAGGGAACCAGCTGGTTCCAGGGACAGCACCAAGCTCCCGCCTTCAGGTCCCCAGAGCTGTCTCTGCCCCACCAGCTCCTCAAGACAGGAAACTTAGAACTCAGGCAAATTTGCATAAAGCTTCAGGTCCACGAAGCTAGATGGTCAGTTCACGAGAGCTTCACTATTTCCCCGTTGGGTTCTTTATTTTTTTTTCTTTTTGGGTCACACCCGGCGATGCTCAGGGGTTACTCCTGGCTCATGCACTAAGGAATTGCTCCTGGCGGTGCTCGGGGGACCACATGGGGTGCTGGGAATCGAACTTGTGTTGGCCATGTTGGCTGCGCGCAAGGCAAACGCCTTACCCGCTGTGCTATCGCTCCAGCCCCTCCCCGTTGGGTTCTTATATTTGAAATCGTTCGTTATTGGGGGCAGGCGTGACCCCTCACCTAGCAGGGCCCAGGGCTTCCTCCTGACTCTGGGCTCAGGGTTACTCCTGGCAGGGTTCTGGGGCTTCTCCAGTGCCGGGGATTGAACCCAGGTCGGCCGGGCACAAGACAAGCACCTTCACTCAGTGCTCTCTTGGGGCTAATTTTTTGTATTTTGTTTGTTTATTTGTTTTGGGGCCACACCTGGCGATGCTCACTCAGGGGTTATTCTTGGCTCTGTACTCAGGGATCACGCCTGGCAGGGCTCAGGGGAGCATATGGGATTCCGGGACTTGAACCTGGGTCTGCCATGTGCAAGGCAAGCGCCCTCACCGCTGCCTTATCTCCCGGACCCAGTTCCTTTCTTTTATTGTTCTTGTTTTGGGCCACACCTGGCTGTTCTCGGGGCTTCCTCCTGGCTCCGTGCTCCAGGACCACTCCTGGCCGGGCTCGAGGGACCATGTGAGGTTCCTGGGATCGAACCCGGGTCAGCCACCCGCCTCACTGCGCCTTCTCTTCATCCCCCTAAGGCCCACCTAGCTTGTCCCCCCACCCCGAGACCCTGGGTTCAGAGGGACGTGGGGGAGCCGGTGCCCGCGCCGCCGGCAGCCCCGTGAGACCCCGCCTCTCCGCAGCCCCCGGAGAAGGAGGGCGGCTTGCCACGGCAGGTGGGCAACAAGACGGAGTGCGGGCTGCTGGGCTTCGTGCTGGACCTGAAGCAGGACTACGAGCCCGTGCGCAGTCAGATGCCCGAGGAGAAGCTGTACAAGGTGTACACCTTCAACTCCGTGCGCAAGTCCATGAGCACCGTCATCCAGCTGCCCGACGAGAGCTTCCGCATGTACAGCAAGGGCGCCTCCGAGATCGTGCTCAAGAAGTAAGCGGGGGCAGCGTGTCTGCAGGGGGCAGAGCGTGTCTGCAGGGGTGCGTGAAGGGGTGGGGACGCCTGTGGGGTGGGGACGCATGGGGGGTAGAGCATGCCGGCAGGGGGCGCAAGTGCGGGGGAAGGGCACAGTGTGTCTGCAGGGGGCGTGTGCTCAGGAATCTGCTGCCTACAGGGGTCAGGCGGGCAGCGGGGGGTGGGGGGGGGCCAGAGCTTCTCAGGGACACAGGCGGGGTGTCCCCACGCCAGCTTGGGCTGCTCGGGGGCCGGGGGGGGGGGCACCTGGCAGGCACGGCAGGACCATGCCCAGGACTGCTCTGCTCTGTCCTCCTCGGGGGTCTCCAGAGCCCTGCCCACCCCTCCCGCCCCTGGGCAACCCCGTCCACTCTCTCCCAGCCCGGCTCTTAGAGCCCAACCAGTTCACTGAGTTCAGCGGCCAGTCCAAAGCCGAACTGAGAAGGACCCTCCCTCCCCCAGGGGCTCAGTTTCCCCTCTCGTATCTGAGGAGCTCGGCCTCACCACACAAGGGGGTCATGCCAGGGTGTTGAAAAGGTCGCGACCCCTGAGTGCACCCAGACCAATGAAGCCAGTGCTGGGCACAGAGGCTAGGTTGGTTGGTTGGTTTTGTTTTGGTTTGGTTTGGTTTTTTTTTTGCCTTTTTTCTTTTTGGGCCACACCCGATGATGCACAGGGGTTCCTTCTGGCTCTGCACTCAGGAATTACTCCTGGCGGTGCTCGGGGGACCATATGGGATGCTGGGAATCGAACCCGGGTCGGCCTCGTGCAAGGCCAACGCCCTCCCTGCTGTGCCATCGCTCCAGCCCGGTTGGTTGGTTTTTGATTCTGGTTTGAGAGCTACATGTGGCTGTGCTCAGGGCTTACTCCTGGCCCTGCACCCAGGGGTCCCTCCTGGAGGGCTCAGGGGACCATACAGGGTGCCGGGGATCAAACTGGGTCTGCCTTACCTGCTGTGCTGTCGCTCCGGCGCCTCGAACCCCACGAGACCTGTGCCATCGTTTTCCCAGAGGAATCTTGGGGGTCTCAAACCAATCGAGGGTCTGTTCCCGCTGCCTGGTCTCCGGAGGGCTGCTCCCAACGGCGCCCCTTCCCCGCCTCTTCCCGCCCTCCCCAGGTGCTGCAAGATCCTCAACGAGTCGGGCGAGCCGCGGGTCTTCCGACCCCGGGACAGGGACGAGATGGTGAAGAAGGTGATCGAGCCCATGGCGTGCGACGGGCTGAGGACCATCTGCGTGGCGTACCGCGACTTCCCCTCCAGCCCCGAGCCCGACTGGGACAGCGAGAATGACATCCTCAACGACCTCACCTGCATCTGCGTGGTGGGCATCGAGGACCCCGTCCGGCCCGAGGTACGGCCACACGGGCACAGGACGGGGAGGCAGGGGGTCCCGCGCCAGCGTCCTCGCTGCTCTGAGCCTCAGTTTCCCCAACGTGCCTGCCGGGTCTTCTCCCCAACTCCTCAATCTGCAGGCTCCTGAGGTCAGCCTGGCCCGTGGGCAGCCCGTCTGGCGGAGCCTGTGCCCATGCCGGCCCCCTTCTGGCCCCAAGGGACCTGCCTGAGACCCTCCCAGTCGGAGTCGGGGTCTCCCCGAAAAGGGCCCCCAGTCTGGAGTCGGTGGGAACAGCTGGCTGGCTCAGTGCTACGCTGACGGCTCTGCTTATCACGTGTCCAGGGAAGAGCTAGAAAGTTCCAGAAGGGCAGGTTGTCTAGCGGAAGGGAAGGAGGTGGAGGTGGTGACCCAGGTCTTCCTCTGGGGATTCAGTGTCAGGTTGGAGGAGGACCAGAATGCTGAGCCCAAAGCTCCTTCCTGGGGCTATGGCTGCTGTCGGGCGGGTAGCAACCAGCATTCTTTTTAATTTAATTTTTAATTGAATTAGTGAGATATAGTTACAAAGCTATTCGTGATCGGGTTTCAGTCATACAATGTTCCAACACCCGTCCCTTCACCAGTGTGCATTTCCCACCACCAGTGTTCCCAGTCTCCCGCCCCACCTCCCCCACCCCACTGCGTGTGTGGCAGGCCTCTCTCCCTCCCTCCCTCCCTCCCTCCCTCCCTCCCTCCCTTCCTCCCTCTCTCTCCCTCTCCCTCCTTCTCCTCTCGCTCCTTCTCCCTCTCTCCCTCCCTCCCTCCCTCCCTCTCTCCCTCCCTTCCTCCCTCTCTCTCCCTCTCCCTCCTTCTCCTCTTGTTCCTTCTCCCTCTCTCCCTCCCTCCCTCCCTCTCTCTCCCTCTCCCTCCTTTTCCTCTCGCTCCTTCTCCCTCTCTCCCTCCCTCCCTCCCTCCCTCCCTCTCTCCCTCCCTCTCCCTCCCTCTCTCTCCCTCTCCCTCCTTCTCCTCTTGTTCCTTCTCCCTCTCTCCCTCCCTCCCTCCCTCCCTCTCTCTCCCTCTCCCTCCTTTTCCTCTCGCTCCTTCTCCCTCTCTCCCTCCCTCCCTCCCTCCCTCCCTTCCTCCCTCCCTCCCTCTCTCTCCCTCTCCCTCCCTCTCCTTCTCTCTCTCCTATTATGTTTGTTCTCTTCCTCTCTCTCTCCCTCTATCTCTCCCTCTCTACCTCTCTGTCTCCCTCTCTCTCCCTCTCTGTCCCTCTCTGTCTCCCTCCCTCTCTATCCCTCTCTCTCATTATGTTTGCAATAGATAGTGCAAGATTATCTGGTATATTCCTTTACCTACTTTCAGCACTCAGTTCCTGCCCAAAATGATCCTTCCAGCTACTATTGTCATGTTGCCCTTTCTCTAACTGCTCTTCGGACCCCAGACACTCTTGTGGTGGACTTCTAACCACCGGTCATTGTCCAGTCCTCCTGGCCCCTATTTCCTGTTTTTCCTGGCCTTGGATATTAGATATATAGGTATAGATGTAGATACAGATATGTATCTATGTAATATCCCACAAATGAAGCAGCCATTCTATATCTGTCCCTCTCCTTCTGACTCATTTCACTCAGCATGATACTCTCCATGTCCATTCATTTATAAGCAAATGCCATGGCTTCCCTTTTCCTGGGAGTATAGTATTCCATGGTGCAGATGTACCATAGTTTCTTTATCCAGTCATCTGTTCTCAGCCACTTGGGTTGTTTCCAGATTGACAACCAGCATTTAAAGCCAAAAACACGGTACAGGACTTTGACTCTATGTCGCTGATTGTGCCCAGACCCTCCCTGCCTGGGGGGCCCCTGAGGAGCTGGGGAGTGGAGCTGTGGTCCCCGTGGGCTGCAGGCAGACTCAGGAACAGGACTGATCCCCTCAGCAGGCCCAGTGCAGCCTGGGGGCCCTCTCACCCCCGGGGGCCCTGACTGAGTTCGGGTTGTCTCTTCTGGTAGAGAGAGCTGGGGTCCAGTAGAGTCGGGGGGTCAGGCTTGAACCCACCAATGGCTATCTACCGCAGCCTCAGTTTCCCCACCTCGCACAGAGCTGGGTGTTCACGGGGTGAAGGATTCCCCACTCCTTGTCTGCTCGATCGCCCCGACCTGGGGGTTCAGACCCCCGGGGGTGAAGGGGAGATGCAGGGTCCCAGGACAGAGCCCCCATCCTCTCCCCCCACCAAAGACAGCCACTGTCACCAGCCCCTGGGGAGTGCTCAGGCTGTCCCTGCGCTGTGTATGTCCTGCTCTGGCCCTGCCCCGTGGGGACCCCTCTGCGCCCGACAGGCTGTCACGGTCCTTGTGTGGCAGCCTAGGAAATGGGCACTCCCTCCCTCAGTTTCCCCCTCTGCTGAAAGGGCCGTTCTCCCCCTGCCTGCCTCCCTCTCCAGACAACACAGAGGACAGGGCTGGTCCCACCCGGTGATGGACACTCCCGCTGGCCTTTCCCAGGGCTGTCTGCTGGGGTCTGGGGCTCTCAGGGTCCCCATGGGTTCCCCAGAAACAGCACGTGTCTGGAAGCCCTTTTCGGGAAGCAGGGAGCCACCTGCCCCCGGTCTCCTCAGGGACACCGTGAGGGTCATTTAGGCTAAAGAAGGAGCTCGCTAGTGTCCTGCTCTCACCTCTCTAGGGGAGCAGGTACACCCTGACCCGTACTTGGAGCCTCAGAGCCCAGGACAGGGGGTGAGCCAGTGAGTGGGTGCAGGGACGTGGGTGAGGGGATGGATGAGTGGCTGTGGATGGAGTGAGGGGACTGAGTGCTTGTGGGAGTGAGTGTCTGTGGGTTGGGGGATTGGGTGCATGGAGTGGATGCAGAAACAGCTGTGAAGGGGACCCCACTGCGCGAGGTGCTCCCCTCCGAGCCAGGCAGATGAGGCCGGGGTGACACGGGCGTCGACGCCTGGCTGTGGTCGGGAGCAGCGCCCTCCTGAGCGGCCCAGTAGAGTGAAGCCGAGACGCTCTGAGGGTGGTTGGAGCCACATGGAGAAGCTCTCACCAGCCCGTCCCGCTCCTTCCATGACTAGAGAGTGTGGGGTGCGGCCGGGGGCCGTGGGCACAGAGCACCTCTCCGTGCCTGGCCGTGACAGAGCCCCCCGCAGTCTGGTGAGGCGCTGGGGGGAGGTTTGGGGCGGGCAGGGCCCATGCAGGACAAAGGCCCCTCTGGGGGCCGCAGGTCAGAGCCCCAGGAAGCACTGGCATGCTCCAGGGCTGTCTTGAAACCCCCGATTTGAAGCAGGTCACATATCCCCTCATACCTGGTCCAGGGCACATGGTGGTGAGTGCCCGGCCACCCCTCCACCCCAGACACCCTCAGTGCGCCCTTCCACCCACCTGCATGGGCCCCACCCCCTCCTGCAGCATCTGGGGTCCTGTGTCGGTACTTCCCACCCCAAATCCCCAGGTCCTCCCGACCCCGCGGACAAGGGTGCCCATTTTAGAGATGAGGAAAGTGGGCTGAGGTAGGACCTCAGGGTGAAGCCCATACACCCGCACCCCCTGGGCCTGTGGCGCTTCTCTCTGCCTTTGGGGGTGGGGGCATCAGAGCTGGCATCTCCCTTTCTCCTACAGGCCCCTGCTTACAGAGGCCCAGAACAGGGGTGGGGGGTTCTGGGAAGGCAGGTCCGGCTCCTCCAGACCCCAGGCCCAGCCCTGCTGACAGCCCTCGTACTGGGAAGGAATGGTCCGTGAGAGGCCGTGCCGAGGTTCCCGGGCGCCTGTCCTAGGCAGTGTGTGAGCAGAGCATCCCATGTCAGGGTGCCTGTGGGCAGATCCAGATGCTTCCAACTCTCCGACTGTGTATTTGGGACAGAGACAACTTAAGTTACTTCTTCTGGGGTCAGGATCCAGATAAGATGGTTAGTCGGGCTGGAGCAATAGTCCAGCGGGTAGGGGGCTGGTCTTGCATGTGGCCCACCTAGATTCGATCTCTAGCACCCCATAGGATCCCCGAGCCCCTCCAGGAGTGAACCCTGAGCTTAGAACCAGGAGCAAACCCTGAGCACAGCAGGTGTGGCCCAAAAATCAATAAATTACCCCAGGGAAGGACGATAGCAGCTTCTGGGGGTTGGACACACGCTCTGGGGGTCGGGGGCACAGCCCTCACGGCGGTTAAGGGTGTGCGAATGGGAGTGAGCGTCCGGGAGCTGAGATGTGCAGTCACCGGGGACGCTGTCTTGTCCCTGGTTCTGAGAAGCCTCGGTCTCTGGGTGCAGTCGGATTTTGTCTCCGCGGCTTGTCCTTGCCACTGGGAGATGTTCTGCAGCTAGAGCAAAGCTGTGTCGTTTCTGGGTTTGCCCAAGGGTAAGATGCCCTCCTGGGCGGGAGCCGCCCGCGCAGCATCCCAGAGGCTGGACCAATCCTGGACCAATCCCAGCTCCGCGGAGGGGCGGGGACTGAGGGGCGGGGCCAGGACCTCTCTGGCTTCTGATTGGCCGGCTTTTCTGGCTCCTGATTGGCCCGGATGCCGGTTTCTCTTCGCAGACCCGGGAGGAGCGGGAGCTTCCAACGGAGCCTAATTCTCCAAAGCCAGAGTCACATTCCGCAAACAAAATGCCCCCAAAATGCCCTGCATGGGCCAAGTCAGGAAAGTGCGGAAGGGTCTTGATCACAGAGTTTGCAGGGGCTGAGTTTGTTTGCAGACAAAGCAGCCAGGAGCCCCGGATATGGGACCAGCAGAGTTGGGGGCAGCCCCGGAGGCTTTGGCCAAGGTTTTGCCAGATGCGGCCCAGATGGCTGTCTCGGGATGGACAGTCTCAGGGGTCGCGCTGGCTGCCCGGGACTCAGGACTGCGGCGCTGTGATTGATTAGCGATGCCTGCCCAGGGCACAGGCAGGGGCAGGGGGACAGAGAGCTGCGGGGAGCAGGGCGCTCTCTGGAGCCCGAGGGCGGGGAGGGCTTGCCCAGGCCAATGCCCACCTCCGTGGCTGCCACCTCCTGTCCAGGTCCCCGAAGCCATCCGCAAGTGCCAGAGGGCCGGCATCACGGTCCGCATGGTCACCGGGGACAACATCAACACGGCCCGGGCCATCGCCATCAAATGCGGCATCATCCATCCTGGGGAGGACTTCCTGTGCCTGGAGGGCAAGGAGTTCAACCGGAGGATCCGCAACGAGAAGGGGGAGGTAGGGACGGGCGGGAAGGGGGAGGCTGAGCCGGGCAGGAAGGGAAGGGGGTGGTGGGGATGGGCAGGAAGGGGGAGGTAGAGGCGGGCGGGAAGGGGGACGGGGGACAGGTGGGAAGGCGGAGGCAGAGGTGGGTGTGCCAGGTCCTCTGTGGGTGGAGCCGGGCAGCGTAGGCCGTGGGGGAGGCTACAGAGGCTTGGGGGGCGCTGCGGCCCAGAAGCCCTGGGCATGCGCCCTCCCGCCTCTGGGCCTCAGTGTCCCCCATCCCACCCCAGATCGAGCAGGAACGAATCGATAAGATCTGGCCGAAGTTGCGGGTGCTGGCTCGCTCCTCGCCCACTGACAAGCACACGCTGGTCAAAGGTGAGCAGACCTGGCCCCCTGGATGGGATGGGCGCTCTGGGTATCCCCTGCTGTGGGGGCCCTGCCCTTTGCAGCCAGAAACCCCGTGGGACAGACAGGTCAGGGACCTCGTGTGGGTCCCTCTCCAGCAGGAAGCCTTGGACCTGCCTTTCCAGGGTCCAGGCCCCATCCCGAGGTCACGTGGGCTGGGGGAGCAGGCTCCGTGGGGCAGGGGTGCCCCCGAGTATGTGTGATTTGTGCCCCCCAGGGCGTGCCCTGGCCTAGGACACGGTCCCCCCCACAATCCTGAGAGGCCAACGGCCGCGTCTCCCCTCCTTCCTTCGGGCCTTAGACGCCTCAGGCCTTGTCCCCAAGGGAGCCCCCTGGGAAGCTCTTAAGGCCAAGACTGCCTCTGCCCACTGCCCCCCGGGAGAGTGGCAGGTGCTGGCTCTGCCAGGGGTCCACGGCCTCCTCCCCGAGCGTGTGGGGTTCCCGCTGAGTGCACTCTAGGGCACTGGGGTCCCCTCAGAGGCTGCCCTGGGCCTTGGGAGAGACCCACACCCCCACAGCCACCCCCAGAGGAGGTCCCCCCTCCCTCCCTCCGCCCTTCGGGTCAGGTGGCTCTACTCTTGTCCCTGGCAGGACTGAAACCTGACCTGGGAGACAGAAGGGGGCCAGGGCAGGGGGAGGGTGTCAGCACACAGGCCCTGAAGATGGATGGGGTGCAGGATGGGGTGTGGGATGCGCTGGGAATCAGAGGCGGGGGTCTCTGCCCTTTGAGGAGAAAGCACAGTCCTAGGCTGGCCCTGAGCCTGGGGGCGGGACTTGTTCCAAGAGCAGCAGCAGCAGGTTGGGGGGTCTGGGGGCACCTGCCAGGTTCGCACGGGTAGCAGGGCTGAGGAGTGGAGGCACTTCCTGCGCGGGGGACGGCAGGGCAGGGCAGGGGACCCCAGGCCGTGGACACAGGCTGTAAGCGGGCTTGTGAGCGGGTGGGAGGGGAGAGCCCAGGCGGGAGCTGGTGCCAGCAGGGCAGGGCGGGGAGGCCAGCAGGGCCCAGCCGTGTCCTCCCGAGAGCCCTGCACCCCCAGGCATCATCGACAGCACCCACACGGAGCAGCGGCAAGTGGTGGCGGTGACCGGGGATGGCACGAACGACGGCCCCGCGCTCAAGAAGGCCGACGTGGGCTTCGCCATGGTAGGGGCAGCTGCAGCGGGGCCTCAGGCGGGGGCGTGGCCTCACTTCCGCTGTCTCAGCCTGCTGGCCTCTCGGTCACCCACTGTCCCCCTGGGCTGCCAGCGCTCCGGAGTCTGACCCGGCCCCGGAGCTCCCCGGAGGGTGTGGGAGCCTCTCAGCAATGATGCTGCCAGGAGGGTGTGCACGTGTGTGTAGTGGGCGGCCAGGAGCACATGGCACCATGAGTGGGAGCACGACCGTGGGCGTACACGGGCTTGAGATAGTGTGCAGGAGTGGATGTGCATGACCGTGTGTGTGCGCAGGAACAGTGTGTGCATAAGAGTGCTTTAAGTGCATGAGTGTGCCTGAGTGTGTTTGAGCGTGAGTGAGTGTACATGAGTGAGAGCATGAGTGAGTGTGCCTGAGTGTGCGTGTGTGAGCATGTGTGTGAGCATGAATGTGAGTGGATGAAAGTGTGTGACTGGGTGTGAGCATGAGTGAATGTGCCTGAGTGTGTGTAAGTGTATGTATGAATCTCAGTGTGAGTGTGCATGAATGTGGATGTAAGGTATGAGTGTGAACGTGAGTGTGTGAGCGTGAGTGTAAATGAGTGGTGATTGTGCATGTGAGTGTAAGTGCATGAGTGTGTGAGCATGAGTGCGTGAGTGTGACTGCATGACTGTGAGTGTGAGCCTGAGTTTGAGTGTGGCATGAGCATGTGTGTGAATGAGTGTGAGCACGGCTGCATGAGTGTGAGTATGTGTGAGTGAAAGCAGGGTAAGCGGGGGTGTGCATTCAGGACACTCACACACTCATTTACACTCACACTCACTCACATACTTGCACACACGGGAATGTGCTCACAGGTTGTGAGGTGTGTGTGAACACGGGAATGTGTGTACATGCGTGTGAGGTACGTGTGCACACGGAATGCATGTGCATGTGCCTTGTGCCTACAGCGTGACTGCCGTGTACTTGCCTTTCCGGAACAGCCCGTGGCGCTGTGTCTGGGACAGTCGTGGGGTCGTATCGCTAGAGAGAATCGCTCGCTCCCCTCACTGTCCCTGCACCAGCCCCCAGCTGCCATCTGTCCCAGTGCCGTCCTGTTCCCATGTGCCCCCCGTCCGCTGTTCTGTCCTGGCTACACGGCTGTCCTGTCCCCAGGGCATCGCGGGCACCGACGTGGCCAAGGAGGCCTCGGACATCATCCTCACCGACGACAACTTCAGCAGCATCGTCAAGGCCGTGATGTGGGGCCGCAACGTTTACGACAGTATCTCCAAGTTCCTGCAGTTCCAGCTGACGGTCAATGTGGTGGCCGTGATCGTGGCCTTCACGGGCGCCTGCATCACACAGGCGAGTCCAGGGACGGGCAGGGCGGGCACCGCGGGCCCCTCAGCACCAGCCCCGCAGGCAAGAGGAAACAAGGCTGGGGGGGGGGGGGGGAGGCAGGCTCATCCCAGGCGGGAGCTGCCGGACCCTCCAGGGTCTCTACAAGGGAAAGGAGAGGCCGGAGTCTGGCCGCACCCCAACTCCTGCCCGGTACCCCAGACCCAGAGCCGGCCTCGGCCCCTGCTAGGCCATGCCTCGCCCAGGGGGGCGCTCCAGAGGCGACTTGGTGGGGGAGAGGGTCTGTCCGGCCCCATCTGTGGGCGAGACGCCCCCTCTGGCGGTGGCTTGCGGGACAGCCGCCAGACCATCACTGGTGGCTGAGCCTGAGGGATGGGCAGGAAAAAGCCCTGCAGGAGGAGGGCAGAGTGGACGGGGTCTGAGTGGGGAGCCGCACAGGCTGGGCTTCTGGTATTCGGGGCGGTGTGGGCTTCCTGGAGGAGGTGTCCCCTGGGTTGTCAGTGGATGAAACCAAAGCCGTGGGCAGGTTGTCAGAGACCCCAGAGAACCTGCCCCCCCAGATCCCCTGTTGCCCCCGACACCCACCGTGACCCCGCGCGGCCCTGTGCGCAGGACTCGCCGCTGAAGGCCGTGCAGATGCTGTGGGTGAACCTCATCATGGACACCTTCGCGTCGCTGGCCCTGGCCACCGAGCCACCCACGGAGACCCTCCTGCTGCGGAAGCCGTACGGCCGGAACAAGCCGCTCATCTCCCGCACCATGATGAAGAACATCCTGGGCCACGCCGTGTACCAGCTCACGCTCATCTTCACGCTGCTCTTCGTGGGTGAGTGCCATGGCAGCCCCGACCCCGCCCCTCCTCCCGGCCGCGGGCTGCCCCCCCAGACACCATCCCCACGGGGCGACTGCCCCCGGGAGGCAGCCGGCGGAGGGGCCCCTGCGAGTGGGACCTCCGCCCCCGCCTCCTTCCTGTCCCCGTCGTCCAGAGCTCAGCCCGGCGACCCTGTCGCCCCCTCCTTCCCCTCTGGCCGCGGGGCCTTCAGAAAGCTCCGGCTCTTGCCACGTTTTCCGCGGCCCGTGTTCGGTTCTGGCTGCCACCCGCATTTTCGGAGGCGGGAGAGGCAGATGCCGGTTTCACCGCAGCCGCCCGCAGCGAGCCCTGCTCCGCCCCCACCCCCCCACCCCCCAGGATGGCCGCTGTCACATTCCGGGCAGTGCCAGGGACTAAGCCCAGGTCGGCCGCAGGAAGGCCAGCACCTCTCCAGCCCCTCACTGCGTCGTTTGGGTTTTTTTCTGAGGAGGGTTCCCCCGGGACTCCCAGCCACCCAGGATGTGCCATACAGGCCTGGCCACCCCCACATGCTCTGGGTCCCCCAGGGCCACACCTGCTGGAGCTCGGAAACGTGCAGCACTGGGGGCAGAAGCCGGGCTGGCCACATGCAAGACCAGAGTCCTGCCCGTCTGCCCATCTGTCCCTCCGTCCCCTGCCCGCCACCCACAGCTCCTGCCCCTCTGCCCCTCCCCCTGTCCACCTCCCGGGCCCACAACAGCCCTTCACAGCCACAAGAAACCTGGTGCAGGTCATTCCAGATTGTCCTCCCAGGAGGAGCGAAGGGCTCGTGAGCGCCTGGCAACACCCAGAACCCAGATCGGTGCCCGCGGCCCCCCGCGGCCCGGCCCAGCCCCGTTGTCGCCCACAGGCGAGAAGATGTTCCAGATCGACAGCGGCAGGAACGCGCCCCTGCACTCGCCGCCCTCCGAGCACTACACCATCATCTTCAACACCTTCGTCATGATGCAGCTCTTCAACGAGGTGAACGCCCGCAAGATCCATGGCGAGCGCAACGTCTTCGACGGCATCTTCCGGAACCCCATCTTCTGCACCATCGTGCTGGGCACCTTCGCCATCCAGGTCGCCGGCCCCGCCCCCGCCCCCCGTGCCCTGAGAGCCCCCCACCCCACGGCAGCCCTGACGCCCCTCTCCCCTCCCCCAGATCGTGATCGTGCAGTTCGGGGGGAAGCCCTTCAGCTGCTCCCCGCTGCAGCTGGACCAGTGGATGTGGTGCATCTTCATCGGCTTAGGGGAGCTGGTGTGGGGCCAGGTGAGTCCCCACGGGCCCGACCCTGGCGCTTCGGGGTCTCTCTGCTCCGATTTGGACCACTGACTGCGTCTGCCAAGATCCATTTCAAAACACAACATCCGATGCCCCGCGCCGGGCACCTCGTGTCACCTGCCTCGGGGGAGGGCCGAGAGAGCAGCTGGTGCCTGGCGCAGAGGCCCTGAGGCCCAGCCCCGGCCCGGCTCCTGTCTCCCTGGGGCACCCAGCTCCGCATCACCAAGGCCCACTCTGACCTCCAGGTCAGCAGTGTCCGCCCCTGTGGACCTAGGTCCCCTGATTTAGGGAAAGAGCGCAAAAAAATAATAGGGAGAAAAGGAAAGGGCAGTGTTCAAAAAAAAATGGGATTAATCAAGTGGGTTTCCAGGTCTCCAAGGTTCGGAGCTGACACTCAGCATTGCACTGGGCTCTGCTCCTCTCTGGGTCCGTGCTCCCTCCCTGGGCCCGTGTTTCCTCCCTGGGTCCGTGCTCCCTCCCCGGGGCCAGTGCTCCCTCCCCCCAGTCATCACAGCAGTGAAGGGAGGGAGTGTTTAATTGGAATGTTTACAGGTTTCTGGGGGGGAGGGGGGGGGGCAGTGCTTCTGCGCACTTACTCCTGGCTCTGTGCTCAGGGATCACTCCTGGTGGGGCTCGGGAGACTATCTCAGGTGCTGGGGATCAAACCCCAGCCACCAAATACAGGGCACACACCCTCCCCACTCTTCTATCGCTCCAGCGCCCCAAATGAGACGCTTTAAGGGGTGCCAGTCAGAGGGTGAGTGGCAGTTCAGAGAGGAGTGCGGCGGGTGGCCTCAGCTGCTGGGTGGGCCCTTCAGCCTTCGCTCGAACCCCCTCCCAGTTCCTCCACGCCCGCACAGAAATGCCGCAGACACAGGCTCGTGGGTCCTCCTGGGCCTGGGTCCTGCCCCAGCCTCCCCGGCAGAAGCATCTCCCCACCCAGGCCACCTTCACCCTGGGCAACTCTGGCCAGGGACTGACCATGCACCCGAGCTAGCGGGCCAATCCCCCCCCAGCAGGCCTGACCCTCAGGAAAGAGGCACATCTGCGGCCCCTCAAGACCAGGCTGCCTCCCACACACACTTGCACACACACACACAGTCCATGCACACGTGCACGCAGACACGCGTGTGCTTACTGACACATGCACATACATGCCCACAGTGCAGGCAGACACACGAACGCACACACGTGCGCACACGCACTCGCGCTCCGGGGCGGGAGGCCGGGCCCAGGGACCCCGGCTGACGGCTGGCCCCCCGCAGGTCATCGCCACCATCCCGACCAGCAGGCTGAAGTTCCTGAAGGAGGCGGGCCGGCTGACGCAGAAGGAGGAGCTCCCCGAGGAGGAGCTCAACGAGGACGTGGAGGAGATCGACCACGCCGAGCGGGAGCTGCGCCGCGGCCAGATCCTGTGGTTCCGGGGCCTCAACCGCATCCAGACCCAGGTGCCAGCCCGCGCGGCGGAGGGCGGGGCTGGCGCTGAGCCCCCTCCCCCGCACCCGACTGCTGGGACTGGAGGCCCCAGATGCCCCCTTGGTCCGTCCAGGTGCCCCCACGAGGGCAAGGAGGGGGCGCCCGGGCGGCGGGCAGCGAGGGGCTCAGCTGGGCTGGGCTGGGCTTCGTTCGGGCGGCCAGTGGCCGGCGGGCAGGTTGGCGCCCGCCTGGGAACACAGAAGCTTCTTCTCAGCGGCTGGAGAGCCACCAGCAGCCAGGGGACGGTCCCCTCCCCGCTACCCCCGCATGTGGCACTTCTGGGAGCAGGTCTGGTCCCCAAAGCAACCCTGGACACACACAGCCCGCGGGACACACACACACACACACAGACCTGGACACACATATACACACACACAGCCCCGGACACACACATGGCCCTGGACACACACACGACCCTGGACACACACACGACCCTGGACACACACATGACCCTGGACACACACACGACACTGAACACACAGCCCTGCACACACACAGCCCTGGACACATATATACACACAGAGCCCTGGACACACACGACCCTGGAGACACACACACACAGAGCCCCGGACACACACATATGGCCCTGGACACACACACATGACCCAGGACACACTCACATGACCCTGGACACACACACACGGCCCTGGACACACACACGACCCTGGACACACACACGACCCTGGACACACACACAACACTGGACACACAGCCCTGGACACACAGAGCCCTGGACACACACACACAGAGCCCTGGACACACACGACCCTGGAGACACACACACACACAGCCCCGGACACACACATATGGCCCTGGACACACACACATGACCCTGGACACACACACATGACCCTGGACACACACACACGGCCCTGGACACACACACATGACCCTGGACACACACACGACCCTGGACACACACACGACCCTGGACACACACATGACCCTGGACACACACACGACACTGAACACACAGCCCTGCACACACAGAGCCCTGGACACACACGACCCTGGAGACACACACACACACAGCCCCGGACACACACATATGGCCCTGGACACACACACATAACCCAGGACACACTCACATGACCCTGGACACACACACACGGCCCTGGACACACACACGACCCTGGACACACACACGACCCTGGACACACACACGACACTGGACACACAGCCCTGGACACACAGAGCCCTGGACACACACACACAGAGCCCTGGACACACACGACCCTGGAGACACACACACACACAGCCCCGGACACACACATATGGCCCTGGACACACACACATGACCCTGGACACACACACACGGCCCTGGACACACACACATGACCCTGGACACACACACGACCCTGGACACACACACGACCCTGGACACACACACGACACTGGACACACAGAGCCCTGGACACACACACACACACACACACACACAGAGCCCTGGACACACACGACCCTGGAGACACACACACACACAGCCCTGGACACACACACATGACCCTGGACACACACACACGGCCCTGGACACACACACTACCCTGGACACACACATGACCCTGGACACACAGCCCTGGACACACAGAGCCCTGAACACACACACACAGAACCCTGGACACACATACACACACACACAGCCCTGGACACACACACATGACCCTGGACATACACACGACACTAGACACACAGCCCTGGACACACACACACACAGAGCCCTGGACACACACACACACACACACACACACAGCCCTGGAGACACACATGACCCTGAACACAGCCCTGGACACACACACACATGGCCCTGACACACACACACACACGGCCCTGGACACACTCAGCCCTGGACGCACACACACACACACACACACAGTCTCTCAGCCCTCCCAGGCTGGGGTGTGGCTCCCGCTTTCACTCCTGAGGAGACCTGAGGACCCCAAGGACCCTGGCTGAGCCTCGGGCACCCACAGCCCACTCTGGAGGCCGGTCCCTCAGGCACGCCGCCCGGTGTGTACTGTGATGGGTGAGAGGAGTGACCTGCAGGGGCAGCGGGGCCCAGCCTGGCCTCGGGCCACTCTCCGTGGGTCACGCCTGACACGCGCCTTGGCGGGCGGCGACCCCGCGCCAGACAGCCTCTGCCCGCCGGGACCACCACCTTGTCCCCTACTGACCAGACAGGCACCTCATCCCCGAGAGGCGTTCACCTTGTCCCTCGGGGGTGACTGGTGGAGTCACCTTGTCCCCAGTGGTGACCAGACAGGGGCGCCTTGTCCCCAGATGACCAGCCCCAGGCCACCCCGCCCCTCCGCGATGACCGGCGGTCACTGCACCGGCCCTGCCCAGCCCCGTGCCCCGCGCGCTGGCCGCCGAGGGGCCTGTCTTCCTGTGTGGGTGTCGGTGGCTCGTCGCCGTGTTGCTCGTGGTGCCGCAGCGTGTGTCCGTCTGTCTGTCTGCCTCCCCCGACCTGTCTCGTTCTCTCCTCTGCTGCAGATCGAAGTAGTCAATACTTTCAAGAGCGGGGCCTCGTTTCAGGGCGCCCTGCGGAGACAGTCCTCGGTCACCAGCCAGAGCCAGGACGTAGCCAATCTCTCTAGCCCTAGTCGTGTGTCGTTGTCCAATGCTCTTTCCTCCCCGACCAGCCTTCCTCCGGCCGCCGCTGGGCGTGAGTCTCCCCAACCGCGGGCCAGGCGGGGCGGGCACGGGCAGGCCCCGGTGGGGAGCGGCCGGCGGGGAGACCCCGAGTGTCCCCGGAGGAGCCCCGGGCACGGCCAGCCGCGAGGGGCCGACCCAGAGGCGGGGGGTGGGGGAGCTCCAGCCCACCCCAGCCCGGCCCCCTCTGAGCACGGGGGGAGGGGTCCGCGCTGTCCGGCCCCTGCTTGTCCCTGCGCGGCCTCCCTGCCCTTTGCCCCCCAGCCCATCTCCCCAGCTCCCGACACCAGGCAGCCCCCGTTCTGGCTTTCCCTGAGGGGCTCCCGGCCTCCCCCTCTGTGGGCAGCCCCCAGGCTGCGTCCACAGCCTGGCAGTGGGAGGGGAGCCAGGCGCCACATGGCGTCGGGGACGGCCCGTGCTGAGGTGTCGGGTCCCTCAGAGCAGGAGGCACTGGGTGTCCCATCCCACCTGCCCACCCCCTCGTGGGTGCACACGGACGCACAGTGCTGCTGGCCGGGACAGCCCTGAGGACCCCCGCCCGGCCTATCCTGGGACCCGCACGCCACCCCAGGGCTCGCTCACTCGAGTGTCGGTGCCTCTCACCCCTCCTCCCGCCACCTCCCGAGACCCCCAAAGCCATGGCTGTTTCCATGGCCATCCTCCTCTGGCCAGGCCGGGAATCGGGGAACCCCTTGGTGAGGCGGCCCCTCCCCCATCCCTGTCCCATGCCAGACCTCGGGGGAGCCCCACAGCCCAGCTCCCTCTTCAGATGCCACAGTCCCCAAAGCCTGGCAGTCGGCCCACGTGGGGCTCAGTGTCCCCACAAGGCTCCCACGACGGGGGTTGCACATTAGTGACCACGGGCCCAGCATGACCTCTGTCCCCCACACACACTCCTGAACTGCCCACTCACCCCCTACCCCCGGACCGTCCACACATCCCCTACTCCTGAGCCATCCACCCACATTGTACTGCTGAACTGTCCATCCGTCCATCCCTCTCCCGGTCCTGAACTGCCCACCCGTCCCCTCATCCTCTTTGGCGGGAGAAGCCCCCCCCTCAGGCCCCCTTTCCTCGCCTCTGAGGACCCTCGGACCTCAGGGGGCTCCCAAAAGCCAGTCTCACTTTCCATGGGAGCTGTGATGAAGCCGGAAAGCCCCCCCAGGGCCGTGCAGAGGTGGGCTCCCCCTCAAGGCCGCAGAGCCGGGTCCCCCCAGAGACGGGGCCAGTTCACGGGCCGTGGCCGCTGAGTGCAGCTCCAGGGGTCTGTGTGCCCGGAAGGAACCAACCCGCTGCCCCTCACCCTGTGCTGGCCCTGATGCCGGACTTGTGGACTTGGGTGAGGGATCTTCCACGTCAAACGGAGCCATGGGGACTCCCAGCACATGAGGATCTGATGGTGTAGCCAGATCAGCCTCTGGAATGTTCCAGAATGTTCAAGAACCTTCTGGAATGTTCCAGAATGTTCAGGAACCCTCCGGCACTGACATGAGACGGCCGCGTTGTCTGTCAGTGTGTCCATCCTCGGAGACAAGGAGTCCGAGAGGTGCAGTGACGTGGCCGAGGGCAGCCAGCAAGGGAGGGGAGAGAGTTTGGACCCCTCCTCCCCGAGTCTCAGCACCAGCCTCTGTCCCCAGAGCTGGAATTTCTGCTCCGTAAACGTTCTGGGGGCTGGCCCACCCCCCCCCCACAGCAAGGGAGCCGCTAGATCCTCCCAGCCGGAGGTGCGGGGAGAAAGGGCCCTTCTTTCTCTCCGGGGGCCAGGGACAGCAGCGGCCAGCCCGAGACCGACTCTCCCCCCGCCCCGTTCAGGCCCCCTCAGACGCCCCGTCCCTCCGGCACGTCTGTCCAGGGCCTTGGGCGAGGGCCGGGCGCGGCCCCCGAAGGAAGCTGAGTTCGGCAGAGCACAGCCCTGGGGTGGCGAGGAGGCGTGCGGGGCCCGAGACCCTCTCCCGTGTCTGAATCCCGCCTGTGTTTGTTTTCCCAGAGGGCTAGAGAACCCGGGACACAGAGTCCAGCAAGAGAGAGTGAATTTAAAAGAGGTTGTGAGTCTTTAACCTTGAGCCTGAGATGAATGTGAACCGCCCCCGACTCTTGGCTTCTTTGAAGCCGGGTAAACATTCGAGTATGTCGGCCCCCCCAGAGCGACCCCGCCCGCCTCGTCCCACGGGCTTGGGCCCCCGCCCTGGGCTCCTTCCTCGCTCCCCCCGCCCCCAGGCCCCCCAAAGCCCCGTCTAGGGCAGGCAGGGAGGGGAGAGGGAAGAGCTTTTGCTTTTTTATTTTTTCTTCCCAGATTTTTTTTTTCCATTTCAGCCGCGGAGAGAACCGAAGTGGAGCCTTGAGCCATGGCGGGCTGTCCCGAAAAGTCTGTCCCACACCAGTCTTGTCCAGAACAGCCCATCCCTCTGTCGTCTCCATGCTGGGGGCGGGGGCGAGGGGCTGCATCTCATTCTGTGTTGTCCCCTCTGCGTTGTCAAGTCCCACCCCGGGGCCCTGCCCCCCTCCCCCCGACCCTCCAGGCACCCTCGGTCCCCACCCGACTCCCCAAAACACACCCGGGCCGGGAGCAGGGCACTGCAGGTAGAATTGTCCCCATCCCACAGATGAGGAAACTGAGGCCCACGCCACCCTACTGTGAGTTAGTGTCACTGGAGCCAGGGCAGGAGGGCTCGGGAGCACCGAGCTCCACAGGCTCAGTAGTGCGGAAGCCCAGACGCCTGCAGGGGCGTCCAGGGACGGGCTTCACAGACCAGCCAGGCCTGTATGAGCCTGGCGACCCCGGGACCATCCCACAGCGCAGGCGAGCAGAGCAGGGCGGGACGGTGAACGTCGGGGCTGCCCTGCAGACCCCCCGGCCGTCCCCAGCCGTCTGTGCTCACGGCCACAGCTCTTCCCAGAAGTACAGGGCGCAGGGCGGAGACCAACACACAAACCAGAGCCGCGTGGCGCTGCTCTCGTGACGCCATCGGCCACGGGCATCTAGAACATTCACACCGTGAACAGGGATTTCTCTGTCTGCCACCGTGCGGCCGGGAGTTGCCCAGAGCAGGGGCCCCCGTGGGCCCCCCGGGCCTGCCAGGCCTCTCAGACAGAGCCCAGGAAGCTGCCTGCCTTCTGCACCCCGTCTCCGCCCCAGGCTAGGGCAGCGCAGTTGGGGGAAGAGTGACCGAGAGGGAGGACAGTGGACCCGGGACAGGCCATCCCAGCACCCGTCCACGGCCCGGAAGCGTCCCGCCCGCCCCACCCCATCCTGCAGAGGGGAAGGAAAGGACGCCCTGAGTCTCGGGGCTCCAGGCTGCCCACAGCCCCTCCCCAGGACTGGCCCTCCCTGATCCCGCACCCCTTTTTGTTTTTTGTTGTGTTTTCAAAGCACAACTAGAGCCCCTTCCCCGCCCGCCCCAGGAATTCAGGGGACCCCCCCCAGCGCCAATGGCTGAGCCGGGCCCTGAGTGTATACTCGAGTGTTTACTTCCCAATGCATGAAGGAAAGAAACGTGGGTCCAGACACCTCGTTCCCATCCTCCAGGCTTCCGAGTGCAGCCGTGTGTCTGTCTGCGTTTGCCGTGTCTCCCGCATGTCCCCGGCCCCCGTGTCGTCGCCGGCTGGCTGCTGCCGCGCTCTGGCTGCCCCCACGCTGCACCCCCAGAGCCGGGCGCGGGTCGGCGTGGGCGTGCCCCTCCCTCGTGTGTCTCGCCCCGTTCCCTGCCGTCTCTGCCTGCCACCTGTTCCGTGTGGTCTGGTTCCTCGCTGCGAGTGGTCCTGGAAGACTCCCGCCGGGGGTTCTCGGGAAATGCCCTTTCTCCTTCCTCCCGGGCCAGCAGCCCCCACCGCCCCCGCCCCACGGTTGCCCCCTCTGCATGGTTGAGCCTCAGGCTCTGTCTCTCGCCAGGTCTGGGGGGCGCACCCGCTGCCCCGTGCCCTCCCACCACCTCCGGGACGGGGCTGGAGCCCGCCCGCCCCCCTCTCCTCCCCCGACCTCGCCCCTCTGACCAAAATCCAGAGTTATTTTTGACGCCTCGCGGACTGCCCACCAACGCCTAGTCCTCTGCCCGCTCTTCCCTTCCCGCCCCTGCTCCTCACGCCCACCCGCCCGCCCATCCAGCGCCCGGTGGATTCCAGACTCCCCCTCCCCCCTCCCCCGCCCTGCCCCATCCCGCCCCTGCTCACGCCCCCCCTTCCCTTGCAGATTCGAGTGGTGAAGGCGTTCCGTAGCTCTCTCTATGAAGGCCTAGAAAAGCCCGAGTCTCGGACCTCCATCCATAACTTCATGGCTCACCCCGAGTTCCGGATCGAAGACTCCCAGCCCCACATCCCCCTCATCGACGACACCGACCTGGAGGAAGACGCTGCGCTCAAGCAGAACCCCAGCCCGCCCTCCTCCCTGAACAAAAACAACAGCGCCATCGACAGCGGGATCAACCTGACGACCGACACGAGCAAATCAGCTACCTCTTCAAGTCCAGGGAGCCCCATCCACAGCCTGGAGACGTCGCTTTAGCTGACCGCCGCCCGCCACCCAGGCCCCCGCCCCGCCCGCCCACCCGCCATCCAGGCCCCCCGCGAGCAACAACAGGAAACCAAATACTGGCGAGAAAACCCACCACTTGCACCCCACAGACCCCTTTCCTGGCTGTGGTGCTGTTTGAACTCTTTTTCACTTCGAGACAAGGAGCGGGACGGCCTGGGGGGTGCTGGAGGGAGTCTTGGACACCCCCCCCCAAAAAAAACAAACCACACACACACACACACACACACGCACACGTGCGCACACGCACAGACACGCAGCCCTTCCCGGCTCAGCACCGAACCCGGCCCAGCCACGCGCCGGCCTCCCCGGCGCCGACCCAGTCCCTGCATGGAAGTACCACGTTTCCACCCTCCTCTGGCCGGGCGTTTCCGGGGAGGGGTGGGGGAAGGGGTGGGGGGGTCCCGGTTCGTTTTCTTGGGCGGCAGCCGCACACAGACTTTTCTTTTCCCCCCGAGACTCTGTATCCAACCCTCCGCGTGAGTTTCTGAGATGCCTGCGCATGACCCCGTCCCTAGGTTCAGGTAACCGCCTTTTGAGATTGCAGAGTCTAGCTCGCCTCGTCGATTTGCACCAATGGAACCGAAGAACTTCACAGACACTCAAGAGCTTATATTCATTTCTTTGAATCTGTATCCACGTATACTCCGCCGCGGCCGTATACGTCCGTATAGATAGGTAGACCTATATATATATAATATATATATATGAATATATATACATGGATATATAAAGTTTCTTTGCCAGCATGTTGCCTTGTTTCCGCTTAAATCGCTCTATTTTAACTTCTTTCTGTCCTCCGAGAAGAATGTACTTTGTTTACAATCCTGTAGATAACGTCTTCTGTACGGTTTGGGAGCCCAGCAGAAGACCCGCCGGCCCGGCCCAGACGCTCCCCGGCGGGACGCTCAGCGGGAGCCCCCTCGGCCTTCCAGCCTGCTCTGTGACTTCACTCCCGCGGCCCCGGGGAGCGGAGGAGAGAAGGCTTCTCGGGGCGCAGGAGGACGCCGGCCCGCCCGCCCCGAAGCCCCTCTCTGGCCCGGCCCTCACGCAGTGGACTTGAGCGCGTCCCGCCGAGCGTCCCCGGGCAGGCCCGCACGAGGCCTGGAGGTAGTGGTGCCCGTCCCGCCTGCCGTCGTGTTGACTCTCCTTGTGGGTTTTCGTTGGTGGTTTTATTTTTGGGGGTTTTAGTTCGTAATCTCAACTTTTTCTCTCCTTATCCATGGCCACGTCCGGGCTGCTGGCGTCTGGGAGGAGGATCGTTCTGGTTTGCTGCGTCTCTGAGTTTGGGTTTTGTTTCCTTTCTGAAGAATAGCCTTTTTCTCTGCATTATTTAGATCCGAACGACCCTTCTGCTATGTGTATGGAAATGTGTTTCGTGTGATTTCTTTTAACCCAACTGTCTTCCTGTAGTGACGAACCCTCTTAACAAGTCTTGCTTTCCTCCACTGAAAGCCATTCTGAAACCCCACAGTATCACGGGTGAGAGAAGATGGTTCTTACCCCCCCACGCTCCCCCAACCAATAACAGCGCTAGAAACTCCACTTACTAAGAGTTCATTTAATTCTCTGTCAGCCTCTTAACTGCTAAGCACTTTGTGGGTATCAGCATTTTTCATAAAAAGAACTTTTGTATTGAATACAAAGTTTGCTTTGAGACTTTTCAGCATACGATCTTTTTCCATAAACTTGTACAGTGCAAAGACATTTTGAATACCATGGTCGATGACGTCCCATGCGTGGAGGGGAAAAACAAACAACAACCAAACGCTCCACCTCGCTCCGCCAAGTTCATTCCCACGGTTGCTCGTGCTGGCCTGGCTCTCGCCCTGCCCCAGGCCAGGGAAGCTTCCACACACCAGACGACAGCCACACGGAAAAAGAGCCATAGCCTTCGGGAGGGCCCGAGGGTGTGGGGCCCGCGTCCACCCACCCGCCGGGCACAGCTCCTGGAGGGAGGACCTTCTTGGCCAGAGAGGACCCCCGGTGGGGCGAAGACCCATCTCGGACGCGCGCAACGCAGGGGCCCGTGCCCCCAGCCCTGCCCCCCGCGGCGTGCTCCCCGGATCCCGGCCCCCCGCTGCCCCCGAGAGCAAAGGGCCACACGCACACGGCCGCAGGCAGCTCGGGGTTGGGGTGGCATGCCCCCCTTTGTTCCCAACGCAGGGCGTGGTGGCCAGGAGGGCGGTCCTCCCGGGGGCCCCTCTTGGGAATTCCCAGAGCCCCGACGTCAAGGTGGGTCTTGTCAGGAAGGAGGATGCCCCCACCCCACGCATCACCCCCCACGGGCACGCACCCCGCCCCCGCCCCCGGGCCCCCCTCTCGGTATAGCACATGACGCAGTCCGCTCTGTCCAGCAGCATGGGGTACGTTTGGCAGTTCGCCCCACTAGGGGGTCAATAATTTATGACCATTCATCTGTTTTTATGAATTTTTTTATCTAGACAATAACTGTAAATAAAGAATCCGCCGTCTCCTCATTTCCTACTATGCAATGGTTCTGCTTTCGCCGGCCCGCCCTGCCCCGAGGTGGTGGAAAACCGAAACTAGACGGAAAACCAGGCACGAGCACAGAGAACAGTGACTCCGCCCGTCCTGGAGACTCGGGCCTGGACGAGGACTCGGGGCAGGGGCCGGGCTGGGCGCGTCCCCCCAGTGGGCGAGGAAAGGCCCCGGGCCTGCCCCCCTCCACCCGAGGCCTGCCCCTTCTCTGCACCCCACAGTGGGGCCAGCGCCCTCCCCCCCCCCCCCCGGGCACTGGGAGTCCTTGTCCCCTTCCGAGGACCTGAACGGGAATGGACTTCGCTTTTATTTGGGTTTTGGTTTGGAACAAAATATCGCGGCTCTTCCCCATCTGTTTTTCCACATATACTTGACCTCTGGCCAAGCCCTTCCCCCCCAGACCCTGGGCCGGCTTGTCCCCTGCCCGGGCATCTCCCCGCCACGGTCAGTTCTGCCCCCTCGGACACTCAGTGACCAGAGTCCTGAGCGGAGGATCAGGGCACTGGGAGATGCCGGTTCCTGCCCGTCCCCGCCCCAGGAGCCCCCTGGTTTGTGGGTCCCTCCACCCGCCTGCAGGTCTGGGGCAAGGCCAGTGGCCACGCATCCAGAATGTTCCTTTCACCACCTGTCCCCTTCCCGGAACTGGTTTTTGTTTTTTTTTTCATACCCCCCTTTGGTGGTTGGGTGACAGTTTCTTTTCTGGGTCACACCCAATGGTGCTGGGGGTCAACCCCCAGTTCTGTTTTGGGGGCCACTCCCACCACTGCTCCAGGGGCAAGATGCTGCTGCGACTTGAACCCGGGCTGAGCCCCCGGCCCCGCGGAGCCTGGCCCTTCTCCCCGCCCTGCCTGTTCCCTGCACCCGTTCTGGCTCTCCCTGAAACCCCCGGCGGCCCCACCCCACCAGGCCCCGCGGAGACTCTGGGGCTTCCCGGAGGGGTCCGGTCCCAGGCCCTGCACACCCGAGCATCTTCCCGGCAGAGCGGGGGCAGAGGCCCGCCAGCCCCGGCCACCAGCCCTCCACCACAGCCAAGATATCTGAGGCCGCCTGGGGACTGGCCCGCGGGCCCCTAAAGTCTGTCTGTAACGTCTCTGGTGCTCGGGCCTGGGGCCGGCCTCTCTCTCGGGGCGCGAGGGCACCCCCGCCTCCTCACGCTGCCCGGGTGGGGGCGGGCGGCTCGGGCCAGCGGGGGCTGGGGAGAGTGTGTTCTTGTTGTACTCCTGATTTCTCTGTATCTCCGGCTTGTGCTCTTTGTAACCCATGGGACTTGTCTGCCTTTTCAACACTAGACTGAGCAATAACAATAAACGCACACGTGGAAACGCAGGCGCCGTTCCCCGCGCCAGGCCTTTCTCCGCGGGGAAACTCAGGGACTGGGAGTCCCAGAGGGAGGCGCTTGGTCCCGGGGCACCCAGCAGAAGGCGGGGAGGGGAGGAGGGGGGGAGGGAGAGGGGAGGAGGAGGGGGAAAGATAGGAGGAGGAGGAGGGGGAGGAAGAGGAGGAAGGGGACAGGAGCAGAGGGGTGGCTGGATGTGACCCAAAAGGGCCTGGATTAAATAGAGGAAGGCGGTGGGAGAAATGGACCCAGGACACAGGGTCGCCCCCCTTTGGGAGGGAGAGGCCGGAAGGAGCCCAGTCCCCCAGGACTCTGCCGAGAGAGGACAGAGAACAAAGTGCCCAGCCCAAGAGATGGTCCCCCGCGTGGCCCTCAGCTTGGGGAGAGGCCACATGTGCACACACCCTCCATCCCGCTCACGCCGAGGAGTGAGTCGCCCCCATCTAGCTGGGGGAGAGGGGGAGGGGCCGTGCAAGCCGCCCAGCTTGGTGTGGGGGGCAGAGCCTTGCTGGCCGCGCGTGTAAGGCTCGGTCCCCAGCTCTCTCCACGGGGCCACTTGCCCCCCGGATGGCGAGAGGAGCTTCCTGTCCCGAGGCGACAGTAGTAGAGGGAAGGCGAGGCCTCCCGCCAAGGAGGAGGCGTCTTGGGCTGGAGCATGGGACAGTGGGGCTCACTGATCCTTTGCCTCCCACATGGCCCTCAGGCACAGATCAGGAGTTACCCCGGAGCACTGCCTGGGGTGGCCCCCAAACAAAGGCTGCTCCCACAGTCCAGCACTGCCCCTCGGACCCCTCAGTGCATGGCCCTCCCCTCGGGGATACGGCGCCCCGGTCACCACCGGGGCCATCTAAGGCTTCGTTCCCCTCACTCTCCAGAGGCAGCGGGGCTCGGAGGGACGGGCCGCGCGTGGCACCCAGAAAGCCGGGGTCAAGCCAGAGACCACGACAGCCCCTGCAAGAACAGGAGCCCCGGAACCCTGCCCCAGCCTACACACACCCACGCCCAGGACTCCAGATCCTGACAGCTGGGGGCAAGGGAGGTGTCGCCTTCGGCCAGCCCTGGGTCAGCCTAGCTCTGCACCGGGCACCTGTGGCTTCACGCCATTTCAGGGAAGGCAGTGGGGCTTGTGGCTGCCCAGAAGGCCCCAATTCGCAGCCTCCGTGGACAGCGGGGGGCTCGGGGCTGGGCCCAGGGACTGTCGGGTGGGACCCAGCCTGGGCAGACTTCCAGGGCCCCCACGTGAGCCTGTGCGAGGACAGGGTGGGAGGCGCAGTCCCCGGGTGGGCCGGCCCTGGCCTGCCACGCTTCTGGCCGGGCGCTTAGGGCTCAGCCCTTTCTGCATCCTCCAGTGCTCCCGGGGCCAGTGGCAACCAGAACTGGGGAGGCGGGGAAGCCCTAGGAAGGAACTCCTTATTCATTCATTTTTATGATGCTCAGGGCTCACTCCTGGCTCTGCACTCAGGAATCACTCCTGGGGCAGGGGCTCGGGGACCTTTTGGGGTGCTGGAGCTCGAACCCGGGTCAGCTGTGTGCAAGGCCGCGGAAATGCTTTTATTCTATGATGGATGTAAGAAAAGAGGAAAAAATGGGGCCGGAGTGATAGCACAGCGGGTAGGGCATTTGCCTTATACGCATCCGACCCGGGTTCAATCCCCAGCATCCCATAGGGTCCCCAAGCATCACCAGGAGTAATTCCTGAGTGCAAGAGCCAGGAGGAACCCCTGGGCATGGGGAAGGGGGGGGGGGAGAGAGAGAGAGAGAGAGAGAGAGAGAGAGAGAGAGAGAGAGAGAGAGTAGAACTTTGGCGTCCAAAAGGCCCAGCGTCGCGGTCGCTATGGAAACGAGAGCCCCAGCCCAAGGATCGCGCCCTCTGCCTGCAGGAGGAGCAGGCGGCGTGCTCGGAAAGGCCCGGAACCTTCGTGCTCAGGTATCGCGTTGCTCCCCGGAGGCCCCGGGTGCCGGCCCGTCCCCGGAAAGACCCGGAACTTCCGTGCCACGAGACCGCGTTTCCGCCCGGAGGCCCCGGGACCCGGCCCGAGCCCGGCAATGCCGGAACCTTCGTGCTTAGGAACCGCATTTCCGCCCGGAGGCTCCGGAGAGGCTCCACGTCCCAGGCCGACCCCGGAAATACCCGGAACCGTCGTGCTTGGGAACCGCGTTGCTCCCCGGAAGTCCCGAGTCGCAGCCCGACCCCGGAAGGGCCCGGAACCTTCGTGCCCAGGGGCCGCGTTTCCGCCCGGAGGCCCGGCCGCCCGAGGCGCGCTGCCCGGCGCCGGAAGTGAGCGTTTCGGGGCGCCGCGGGGAGCGCCACGTCCGAGGCCGGGAGCGCCGCCGCCACCATGGTGAGGGTCGGGGCCGGGGGCGGCGTGGGCCTACCGGGCGCGGGCGGGCGGGCGGGCCGTGGGCGTCCGTCGGCCCCGGCCCGCGGCCCCGCGCTGCGGGCGGCGGCCCCTGGCCGGTGGGGGTCGCGGCGCCCGGGAGGCGGGTCGTGGCCACTCACCGCCCTGCCTCTGGCCGTAGGTGTCCGTGATCAACACCGTGGACACGTCCCACGAGGACATGATCGTGAGTATGCCCACGGGGGGCGTGGCTCCTGGCCCCGGCGCGCCCCGGGCCCGCCGCCGCGGAAGGGGTCAGGGAGGGGCGCGTGGACAGAGAGGCCAGCCACAGCCCCTTCGTGCTTCGGACACACCCGGGATGCCAGGGGCTGCTCCTGGCGGGCTCGAACCCGGGTCGGCCCTGTGCCGGCCGACGCCCGCCCCGCTGGAGCCCGGAGTCCTCGGTGCAGGGAGTTTCCTAGAGGGCGGGGGTCAGAGTCCAGCAGCAGCAGTGACCTCGGCTCGGGTCTTGTGCCGCGTGCGCTGTCTTGGCCGCCTCGGCGGGACCTGGTCAGCTCACAGCCTCCGTGCCCCGGCCGCCCGCCCGCCTGCCTGCCCGCTCCTGCCGCTGGCCCGGGGGCAGCTGGGGGCAGCTGGCTGGTCTCACTCACGCCCGGGCCGCAGTAGCTGGTGCTGACCTGAGGGTCCGGGCAGCAAGTTAGAGTGGGCAGCTGTGGAGCAGATGCGGCATCGGACCTTCGTGACGAGGAGGCTGTGGGGTCCCGGGCACCACCCAGTGCGGCCCTGGTGGCTCCTGGCACTGCTGGGCCCGCCCGGGAGGCCAGAAAGGAAATGAAGACCCAGGCGCTGTCCCTCGGGCGGTGCTGCGGGTGAGCTGGAGAGGGCGGCAGGCGCCCAGCCGGCGTGCCCGACGGGAGGAGCTGGCACCACCTGTGGGGCCAGGGTGCCCCTAAGGAGGGTTGAGCTCCTGAACCCCAGAACTGGATGGCAGGGGGACAGGCGGCCGCCGAGAGAGGTGGGCTCGGGACGCATCAGCATCCTGGCCCCTGGCGATGTGGCAAAGAGGCTGGGCCGGTCAGGGGGTGCCCGGAGCAAAGGTCGCAGCGAGCCCTGGCCACAGGCTCAAGGAGCAGCAGCCAGAGTGGCAGCACAGCGGGGAGGCCTTTGCCTTACCCATGGCCAGCCCAGGTGAGACCCCATATGGTCCCTGAGCCTGCCAGGAGTGAGGCCTGGGTGCAGAACTGGAGTAACCCCTGAGCATCTGGGTCCGGTCACCCCCGCAGAGGAAGCAAAGCCGAGAGCAAGAAGAGTACAAGTGCCCAGGTGGAACCGGGGTCCAGGCCTGGCGGGTCTGCAGTTGGGCGACTTCCGCCTCCTCCAGACTCGGGCTGGGGGGTGTGGGCACAGGCATGGCCCAGAGGGACCCTCGGCGCCCTGCTCCGACGGCGCCTCCCCCACTGCCTTCCTGGTGGCCGCGTCGCCCCCCTCAGTGGCCGTGCCTCTCCCGCAGCATGACGCCCAGATGGATTACTACGGCACCCGCCTGGCCACCTGCTCCTCCGACAGGTCCGTCAAGATCTTCGACGTGCGCAACGGAGGGCAGATCCTAGTCGCCGACCTCAGGGGGTGAGTGCGGGGCGGGCACCCCCCCATGTGCCCCTCAGGACCTGGAGCCTGAGTGAGTGGGGGTGAGGGGCTGCTGTGAGGCTGGGGACCGGGCACGGCCTGCAGGGGCATCCCAGTGCCCTGGGTTTCATCCCGACACCACCCGCACACAGACAGTAGGAAATGGCTCTTGTTTTTAATTAACACTAGCCAGCGAGGCCTGGGGGGTCGGGCGCGGTGCCATCAGCAGAGCCCAGGCATGTGCCGGCTGCTCCCCGTCCTTGCCATGTCCCAGTGTCCCGACTGCTGATCTCCCCGGCGCCATCACTGGTTCGTTGGTGGGGACGGGGTGGGCACCCCGGGAGTCTGACTCCAGGCGTCTGGGCGGAGCCCGGGAGTATCTCTGAGCTGGCAGTGGCCCCTTGGGTCCCAGCGGGCAGGGGACCTTGAGGTGCGCCCCTCACATCTCGGCCCTGTGGCTGCTCCCCGTGGGGTGCCCCAAGGCAGCTGTGGGGAGTGTGTGCAGAGCTGCCACTGCCCATTCACCCTGCACTTGTGTTACCGTTGATGCTTTGGCAGCTGCGTTTCCTGGGCCTCCCTTTGCCGTCCCGTCTCTGCCACTGTCAGCGCCAGGCCAGGCTGGCTGGCAATGGGGGGAGTGGCCAGCGCTGGGAGCCGGGCTGAGGGGCTCTCGTGGCTGCAAGACAGGAAATGGGGGAGGGTGATAGCAAGCACACACGCCGTCTCGGCTGATCCCCGGCTGATCGGGGGTTCCGGCTCCTTGAGCTCAGGGAACAGTCCCGGGACACCACGGACCCACGGCCCTGTCTGCCCGCCCCACCGCCCTCGCGGCTGCCCCGCAGGGTCCTGCTGTCTCCGGGAGAGGACAGGGTTCAGGCTGTCCGCTGGGCCACCCTGGGCCACGCTGCCTCGTGGGCAGCGGGCAGGACAGCCCGTGAGGAGGGAAGCGGGTCAAGCAGAGGGGCCGGACCTGCCCACCCCTCCCCCCGCTGGCCTTCGGGAAGGATCAGTGGCCCCCGGGCTGCTCCGCCCTTCAGAGCCTGCCCCTTCCCCGCAGGCACGAGGGGCCCGTGTGGCAGGTGGCCTGGGCCCACCCCATGTACGGCAACATCCTGGCGTCCTGCTCCTACGACCGCAAGGTCATCATCTGGAAGGAGGAGAATGGCACCTGGGAGAAGAGCCACGAGCACCTGGGCCACGACTCGTCAGGTGCCGCGTGGGGTCCCTGGTCCCCCGTGAGCCTGAGGTGCGGGGGGTCCCGCCGGCCCCGCTCACGCTGTCCTCCCCCGCAGTGAACTCCGTGTGCTGGGCGCCCCACGACTACGGCCTGCTCCTGGCCTGCGGGAGCTCGGACGGGGCCATCTCGCTGCTGACCTACAGCGGGGAGGGCCAGTGGGAAGTGAAGAAGATCAGCAACGCGCACACGGTGGGCGCCGCTCCTGGGGTGGGCGGGGGCGGGGCAGCGGCTCTGGAGGCCCCTTGAATCACCTAGTGCGGGACAGAAGCCCCGGTCTGCGGCCAGACGCGGCCCCAGGGCCTCCCCCAGCTTACACCTGAGCAGCCCCGTTGCCTAGAGGCTGGGCACTTGCGGGCTCGCGCTGTTGGCACCTGCAGACCCAGGCCCCGCCTTTGGGGCAGCCGCGCAGGGTCGGGCCTCCGGGCCTCACACTGTGGCCTCGCCCTTGGGCAGGCTCCCTGGCCAGCCCTGCTGCCCCCAGCTTTCGGGCCCGGGGCTGGGTCGTGGTGGAGCTGGGGAACTCCGTGGGGTGACACCCGCGGCTCCCACCCTTGCCGCTCAAACTCCTTTTTGCCTGAGAAATGCGCCACGGGCGAGCGCGGGCAGGCGCACACACCCGCCATGTGGCTGACTCTGGCTCTGGTCGGTGCCGACAGAAACTTTTTGTTGTTGTCAAGTCTCTTGCGGCCCCACGTTCAGTCACAGCCCAGCAGAGCTGCTGGGGTGTCCGGCGGCGGCTCTGAACTCCGGGGCTGTGGGTGTGGGGCTACGGGGTCACTCTGTGAGCTCCGCGGGGTCAGGCCCCAGCTGCTCGCCCGGGCAGGGACGTGAGAAGCAGTGTCCTCACAGCTCCGTTCCCTGCACAGATCGGCTGCAACGCTGTCAGCTGGGCCCCAGCTGTGGTCCCCGGGAGTCTCCTAGACCAGCCGTCGGGGCAGAAGCCCAACTACATCAAGAAATTCGCGTCGGGCGGCTGTGACAGCCTCATCAAGCTGTGGAAGTGAGTGGGCTCCTCCTGGCCCCGGGCGTGTCCTGTCCTGCGGGGTCCCCTCCCCGCTCCCGTCCCGAGGGGCTGGCTGCTCGTCTGCCCAGCACAGTTCAGCTAAGCCCCGGCTGCCCGGCAGAGCCGAGTGTTTCCCGGAGCATTTCATGGGCGTGTTGATGAAATTCGGACGGGCTTGAGACGGGAAAGCAGGCGGCTGCCTCCCGGCCCTGCTGACATCGTGTCCCCCCTCGCTGTCAGGGAGGAGGAGGATGGCCAGTGGAAGGAGGAGCAGAAGCTGGAGGCGCACAGCGACTGGGTCCGAGACGTGGCCTGGGCCCCCTCCATCGGGCTGCCCACCAGCACCATCGCCAGCTGCTCCCAGGTTGGCCCTGGGAGCCCCCCAAGGGGGGAGGGGCAGTTGGGGACTGCTCGGGAACCCAAAGGGGCCCAGGTACAGAGGCGGGGCCCGGAAGTGGGGTGCGGAGCGGTCTGGGTGCCTGGAGCTGCTGGCCATGCTCTGCGGCCTGTGGGGGTCCCGGGCCCCCACTCACCCCGCCTGTCCGTCTCGCCCAGGATGGCCGCGTCTTCATCTGGACGTGTGACGACGCCACGGGCAGCACCTGGAGCCCCAAGCTGCTGCACAAGTTCAACGACGTGGTGTGGCACGTCAGCTGGTCCATCACAGCCAACATCCTGGCCGTCTCGGGCGGAGACAACAAGGTGGGCATGGGACCACCCGTGGGGGTTGCCCGCAGGCTGCTAATCGGGTTCCGTCCCGAGACTGAAGAGGAGAAAGACGGAGGCGGGTCAGAGCAGCGGAGAGGCGGGGCCTGCGGGCGGGTTCCTGAGTGGTTTCTCTGCGGGGGTCCCTAGAGTTGATTTGGGCAGACTCGGGGGGGCCTACCCACGGAGCGGGGTCTCCCCCCACACTCCCTCATCTCTGTCTTCTGCACTGAGCCTCACCCACAGCCAAGAGACCGGAGCTGGGGGCCAGAGTCAGACTCCACGTGTGGCCGCGGGAGGGCGCCCAGCCTGACTGTCGCCCCTGCAGGTGACGCTGTGGAAGGAGTCCGTGGACGGGCAGTGGGTCTGCATCAGCGACGTGCACAAGGGCCAGGCCGCAGCCTCAGCGCCTGAGAGCCAGAACGAACAGTGAGCGGCCCCGCGGCCTCGGGCAGGACTGGCACAGCCAGATTCAGGCCACAGGCAGCCGGGTCCGAGGCGACGGCCAGAGAGAATCTCACATCTGCTTATTTAAAGTATTTTGACCATTTTTTTGTACCTTTTGGGTTCAGCCATTGTTTGGAAGGTTTCAGAGTCATTAATAAACTCGTGTTTCTTCAAGCGCTCGCTGCTTCGCCGGCCGCTCCTACGGCTGTTGGCCTCTGGGTGGGCCTGGCGAGGACCTCGGAGCCCGGCCCTGCCCTCACTCCAGCAGCCACTGCGGAGTGACCTGACGTGCCTGACACAGTGATGGGCAGTGCCACCACTGGCCAGCTGGGCGCGCGCTTGCTGGCATCTGGTGGGGTGGGGGGCCCTGCTCTAGTGCTCCAGGGAGCAGGCAGGCCAGGGCACAACCAGGCCGGCTCCCTGACCACGGGCTTGCTCGCGTCCAGCAGGACAAAAAGGAAATGAACATCAGCTGTCGGGACCTGCCCCAGGAGTCACTGCTGGGGCTTAGGGATGGGCTTGGAGTCCTGACCCCTGGGGGCGGGGGCGCCCAGGATGCCCAGAACAGCCCATTGGACCAGCGCACCTGGAGAAGCTCTCGGGGCCAGCAGATGCTGCCGCTGACCCACTCCTGCCCCTCCCGGCTTTATGACTCACCCTGTCTTGGTTTGGGGGCCACACCTGGTGGTCTCAGGGCTACTCCTGACTCTGCTCAGCCCTTGGGGGCCAGGCAGTGACAGTCTCACACCGGGGTTGGCTGCATGCAAGGCAAGCGTCCGCCTTCCTGTGCCCCCTCTCGGCGTCTGTAGGCAGCCCCCGGAGTACAGCTTTATCGTACGTGGGAGGGGCCGCTTTGAGGTGTGAAACGAGGCCACGGCCCGGCATGCAACCTCCATGCCATTCCACAGCGTTCAGGCCGCGGGAGAGCGTGGAAACCATCTTTTATGCACCTTGGCACATAGGGATGCGACATGGTGGCTGGCTGGGCTCCCTGTGCTCACAAGCATTCCCCGTGGCCGTGGGTGCCGGGATGAGATAACGGGAACTCCCAGTGGGCACCCACGGGCTGGCAGGGAGAGAACTGACCCTCCCCACAGATCGCTGGTCAGGCGTGAGACCAAAGTGGTTAACAGCATTTCTGGTATGGCAGCGGCAGACCAATTGCGGGTTTTTCTGAGTCCCATCATAAAAACGCAAGCAGCCAGACAGCCTGACAGCGGGTGCTGGGCCGGGATGTGAGGGAAAGGACGGCTCTTGCCCCTGTGCCACGAGGAGCCACGTCCTCCAAAATGGTCACTGCTTGCGGTCCCCAACAGAAAGCTTGACAGGCCACAAGGACAAGGGTCAGGCTGGAGAGGCGAGGGGCTGCCACAGCACTGTTGGGGCTCCCCTGCGCCTCAGACCCCCAAAATAGCGGTCAAACTTACAATCTCAGGCCTTCTTGGCCAAGTCTGTGGAAAAGACAGACTGAGGGGGCGGAGAACGTGGCTCAGTGGGTGCCAGGAGCAACTCCTGGCAGGAGACACAGCAGGAGGTGAGGGACTCGCCAGAGGACAGGCGCCCCGGGAGGCCCGGTCAGAGCATGGCTGAGAAACGGGTTTGGGCTGGCACTGTCAGGAGCAACCCCTGAGCACCGTGCCTGGGGGAGCCCCAGTGTGGCCCCAAGCCCCCTCCCCCAGTACAGAGCCTCCACTCCACTCGGGATTAACCAGCTAACCATCTACTTCACAAAAACACCGGCGGGCAGGAGAACGGGCGGGTGCCAGGATGATGCCACAGGTGGTGGCCCAGAGACGGGCCAGAGCGACAGGACAGTGGGCATCCTTGTGTACAACTGACCCGGGTTCAATCCCTGGCACCACAGACAGTGCCTGGACCCAGCCAGGAGTGAACCCTGAGCACAGAGCTGGGAGTTAGAACTGAGCACAGAGCCAGGAGTAAGCCCTGAGCACTGCCAGGTGTGGCCCATGTGCAGAGCGCAGTGGTTGAGAGGAGAGAACAAGCAAGCCTCGTAAAGCCAGACTGACCACAAGTCCACTCTGTCTGCTCAAAGTCTCCTTAAAGACACAAAAGCCAGCGGTCACATTGAGTGGTCATCAGAGTGGCCAGCCCTACAGAGTCTGGTTTGAGATGGCCACGTCAAAAGGTCCTGAGCTCAGCTCCCACAGACTCAAGCAACAGCCCGATGTGGAGAAGCAACGACAGAATCTACAAACCCTCACAGTGGCCGCTCAACAATGAGGCCAGAACTCAGGGACAGAGACAGACAGTGTCACAGACAGCGGCTATGATGCTGACTGGCACACAGCCGACGCAGGTCCTGTCCCTGGCACCCGATATGGCCCCCCAAGCACTGCCGGCAGTGATCCCTGAGTGCAGAGCCAGGAGTGACCCCTGACCACTGCTGGATGTGGCCCCAAGCCAAACAAAACCCAAACAAAACCACAGACAGCTCACCAGAAATGACCCGAGGAACAATCCCCAACATCCGCCAGCAGCTCAGAGCCAGAAGTGACTCCCCGAGAAGAGTTCACACTGCAAGTGGGGCACCCCAAGTCTTTCATTTGCCAGGGGTTCATACTGCTCGGTGCTCAGAGCTGTTCTGAGTTCAGTGCTCGGGGACAATGCAATTCTGGCCACAGGAGCTGGGGCTCCATCAGGCAGAGCCCCTGGCCCAGGCACCCCAACTTTAAAACTGCTTTCGAAGACCAACCTAGGGCTGTGTCCAAGGCAGTGACTCGCTGTAAGTGCTCCTGCACACTTCTGTCTCCCGAGGGAAGCTCAGAGAAATCCCCTTTAAGAGCATTCAGGGGCCTGGGAAAGCCAATGACTCAGTGAGCAGAGTGCAGACTACAGTGGCCAACCTGGATCACTTCCAGTGCCGCAGGGCCCCCCGCCCCTGAAAACAGCACTGGGAGTGATCCTTGAGCACGAACTAGGAGCAAGCCCCAAGTACCCCTAGGAGTGGCCCGAGAACCCAAAATCTAAAATGCAAAGCATTTCGGGGGCCGGAGTGACATAGGACAGCAGGGAGGGTGTTTGCCTTGCACGTGGCCAACCCAGGTTTGATCCCCGGCATCCCAAAGGGTCCCCCAAGCACTGCCAGGGATAATTCCTGAGTGCAGAGCCAGGAGGAACCCCTGAGCATCGCCAGGTGTGACCCAAAAAGGAAAAAAAAAAAAAAGCATATTCCCTCGGGGCCAGAGAGATGGCAAGCCGGCCAGGCACTCCCAAGCAGGCAGCCGGCCCCACACCTGGTCCCCTGAGGAATGCCAGGGTTCACTGCTGAGCACAGAGCCAGGAGTAACTCCTGAGCTCTGCCAGGTGTGGCCCAAACAGCCCCCGTGCCCTGTAAAAACAAAACAAAACAGAACATGGGAACGCTTCTGGCTTTCACGGAGGCTGATCTGAGCGAGGCTGGGGCTCCACCAGCTCGCTCTGCGCCAGGCCGCACAGTTCCTGCCCGTAGACTTTCATCTTTCCTTCCTCTCCCTCCTGGGCCTTCTTCAGCGGGTCCCCTTCCTGCTTTCTCTGCCCAGCCCATGGGCACAAACTCCGCCCTCCCCCTCGGAGCCTCTGTCTCAGGTGGAACGTCCACGCATGTCGAGGCGCACGTCGAGGGCACCGCTGGCAGCTGCCACCCCGGGCTTGGTCACGTGGCGGGCAGCTGTCCCCCACCCCCAGGAGAGCAGGTTCTCAGCACCGCAGGGACAGGCAGAGCAGAGCGGCCCCTGTCGGCCTGGCCTGGGGGTTCGCGCAGGCCGTGTGTTGCCGTGGCCTGGGGCCAGCCTACATGCTGGGGCTTGCTGAGGTCCTACCCTTTGAGGCACAGGGCTGGGCACCTCCTCAAGTCCCCGAGCAATGACAACAAAATTGGACGGAGAGGCAGTTCGGAGGCTGGGTGCGTGCGGGAGCCCTGGGGCCAATCCCAGCACCGCAGGGTCTGCAAGGCGAGTCAGCAGCTGCTAAACACCATCAGGTGTAGCCCCTCTCGATGAATCAGGCAAAACACGAGAGCTGCCCGGGCCATGAGCCTCTCAGCGGTAAGCACGTGCCCTGCAGGTATGAGATCTGGCTAGAACCCCACATTGTCCCCACCCCCCAAAAAACAAAAACCAACCATGCACAAACTTTGAGACAGCTTACAGTCGCCAGAGCAGAAACGACAGCACCGGCGTTGCAGATAGAGCTCACCTCGGCACCTCCTAGGGGCCCTCCCGAGCCGTGAGCCTCGGTTACCATCACAGACCCACAAAGACGGCCCGAGACAGTACAGCCGGACCTCACGTGGCTGAACCCAGCCTGTAGCAGTACATCTGGTGCCCCAAACACTTTCAGGAGTGATCCCAGAGCACAGAGCAGGACAGGGCGGGTTGGAAGGAAGGGGAGAGGAGGGAGAGGAGGGTGGGGAGGGGTGGGGAGGGGAAGGGTCTAGGAACAGCCCAGATCCACAAGGGAACCTCATCAAATTGTCGAGTCACCAAATCATTTCAGTTCTGTAGCCCCTGGGTCTCCGAGTTCCACGGTCACATCAGCCCCGTCGGTCCCACAACCCTGTGGGAAGCTTCAGAGAAGCCCCGAGCACAGGGAGCCTCGACCCCAGCCCAGGGGCCCCTGCAGTGACGTCAGTGAGATGCACGCGCAGGGGTTACTCCTGGTGCTGCACTCGGGACTCACGGTGGTGCTCAGGGGACCAGAGGGGACACCAAGCGATCACAAATTGGCTCTTATTGATCTCAGATTTGATAACGCCATTGGCCTTTACTTTGTAATAAACAAGAGGGAGTAAATTTGCGCGCCTGCGAGGGGCAGGCTGGGGGTGGGGGAAACTGGGGACATTGGTGGAGGGATGGTCACACGCGTGGTGGGATTGGGTTGGAACCCCAAATGCCTGAAACAGTGGGATTATGAACAACTTTGTAAATCACTGGGTCACAATAATATTTAGAAAAAGGAAAAAAGGATGGGTGAAGAGAATGGAACCTTCAACCAAGACAGAAAATATAGAAAGGAGCCAGTGAGAAACCAAAGGGGATCAAACTGAGAAGGCTCTGGAGACCCCGGCCTGGGTGAGGCAGAAATGGGGGGTGGAGAGCTTGGAGCAGCCCCGAGAGAGGCGGACAGGCCCTGCAGGGCAGCACCGCGGGCTCCAACGTCCAGAGCGGGAGAGAAAAGGACAGACACTGACGACAGCTGGCCAGAAGCTCCCTGACCTCCCAGAAACAGAGGAACAGAGCGGCAAGCCCAGAGAGTTCCCAATGTGATTAAAAAAAAAAAAACACACATCGGGGGCTGGAGCAATAGCACAGCGGGTAGGGCGTTTGCCTTGCACGCGGCTGACCCGAGTTCGATCCCCGGCATCCCTAAAGGTCCCCGAGCACCTCCAGGAATAATTTCTGAGTGCAGAGCCAGGAGTAACCCCTGAGTATTGCCAGGGTGACTCCCCCCGCCAAAAAAAAAGAATGCAAGGAGAGACATGTGGAGGGTGTGTGAAGAGATAGCAGGTAAAACTCACACAGCCGACCCAGGTTCGATACCCAGCACCCCATATGGTCCCCCGAACCCCACCAGGGGTGAACTTTGAGCGTTGAGCTAGGAACAAGCCTGGTGCCCTCTGGAGCCCTGTGCTGTGGCGGGGACACCCCAAGAGGACACCGCAAAACTGGCCAGAGGATGGAGCAGGGCCTGGACATCCCCAGCTCCTGGGCGTGTCGGAGTGGAAAGGCCCCGGTCTGACCCCCTATGTGCGCGGCAGGACCCCACGAAGCCGTGACCCCACTCACGAGGGGCCCAGGGCAGCAGAGGAGGAAAGGAGAGCACCGGAGCAGGGGCAGCCCCTAAGGAAGACCAGGCTGGCAGGCGGGTCACGCTGGTGGCTTCCTGCAGACCCCAGAGGCTGGAAGGGGACAGGAGCGGGGAGGGAGACACCCCACCCTCATGCCAACTTCTCCTGGCCCGTCCTCGCTTCCCCCTGCCCCAGTGGTGAGGGGTGCACGGGGCTCCGGGGCTTGCCCGGCCCTGGACACGGTGGCATGTGGCCGGGCTCTGCCTCTGCGGGGGGTGGGGGGGGCACAGGCCGCAGGTGGCAGGTGTTTGCTCTGGGCCATTATCTTGGGTCCACACGGCCTGTGACCGGCAGCAGTGCCGCATCTCCAGGCTGCCGGGCCGGCGTTTGTTTGGCGTGTCCTAGCGGCCAGGGCTCTCGCAGTGCCGTGTGCCAGAAATGCAGGTGTCGCCTCTGGCCGGGGTTCAGGTGGGGCGAAGTGAGTGGGGGGCCGGAAGGCCTGTTGGCGCTGCGTTTTCTTCTACTGAGAGAACAGACGCCAGTACCAGGAAGCCCTCCCAGCCCCCTGGGAGTCTGGAATCTGGCTGGTCCCACACAGCAGAGCATGTGCCGGGGCTGTTCTCAGGGCCGGGGCAGTTTGGGGGACAAGCTTGCAGTCCATGGCCACTGGGCCTGCTCTCCGTCCCCTCTCACCGCCGCCTCTTCCATGCAGACTGCCGGGTGCTCTCCAAACATCCACCTCAGGGACCACGGGGGTTGGGGTTACCCCACGGGCGCGTTCCCGGGAGGCGCCACAGCGTGGTTAGCCGTGGGGCCTGGCAGAACAGTTGTCTCCTGTCTCACACTCACCAAAACCATCTCACAGCAGAGGAATTAAAAGTGAGACCAGGGGCCGGAGATGTAGGACAGCGGGGAGGGCGCTTGCCTTGGACACAGACGACCTGGGTTTGATCCCCGGCCTCCCACGGGGCTAGCTGAGCGTCGCCAGGTGTGATTCCTGAGTGCAGGGCCAGGGGTAAGCCCTGAGCACCGCCAGGTGTGACCCAAGACCAAAGATCAATTAATTAAAAGGCTGGAAGCATAGAACTCGAAGAAAATTAGAGAAGAGCTTCCTGAGAGCTCCCGCCTCGCGTCGGGGTCTGGGCAATGGTGTTTGGACTCTGGCACCCAAAGTGGCACAGCAGCAAAATGAAAAGCTGACGGTTGCCCCTCCTCCCCCCGTGCTTCCCCGCAAATGAGCAAATTTTGTACCACAAACTATCTCCATCCAGGGGCCTGGGGAGGGTCAGTACCCAAACCCTGTAAGCAACCCTACAACCCACAGCAAAAGGAACTGATTTTAAGGTGGGCAAAGTCAAATTTCCCTTTTTCCAGAGAAGATAAAGGCCACAAGCTCGTGCCCAAGTCTCGAGGGAGAAACAGGATTAAGGGACGCTGAGGGGACTAGGAGAGGCTCATTGTCAGGGGTCTGTCATGTGTAAGGACCCAAGCTCAGTGCCCAACAGTGACGAGGCCCCCAAACACCACCAGGAACCGCACCCCTGAGCCCAAGTAGGCTCTGAACTCCCAGCCGGGGTGGCCAAGTATCAGGACTGGCCCTGCTTGGCCCCCCTAGAATAAAAGGGCCTGGGGTGTGGCAGTGGTATGTGTCTGGCCTACTTGAAACCCCAATATGGTCCCGGCACCACACCCCAAACCCGAAACCCAGCCAGGAGACAGGCCTGGGTAAGTGGCCCCGGCCTGGCAGCGACGCTGGGGGCAGCTGACAGGGACAACTGTCTCCATCCAAGTCCCTGCACAGGGCCACTAACCACCACGTGGTGACTAGAAGGGAGGGGAGGGGGGTGGCCAGGACACCCGCTGACCTTGTCTTTCCTTCTCTTTGCTGCATCTCTCTGAGGAGGTGAGGGGATGAGAGTGAAGCTTCAGCAGTCGCCCCTCAGCAGTCGCCATTCAGCAGTCTCCCCTCAGGAGTCCCCCTCAGCAGTCCCCCCTCAGCAGTCTCCATCCTCTCAGGAGTCCCCCTCTCAGCAGTCTCTCCTCAACAGTCTCCCCTCAGCAGCCACCCCTCAGGAATCCCCCCTCAGCAGCCACCCCTCAGGAATCCCCCCTCAGCAGTCTCCCCTCAGCAGTCGCTCCTGTAGACCAGAGCGAGCTCCAGGGCTGCGGTGCGCCGTGCACCCTGGATGTGAGCCCTGGTACCACACGGTTCCCCAGCCATGCTGGGAGCGACCCCGAGCACAGAGCCAGGAGCAGCGCCCAGCGTCACCCCGAGCAATGGCTGTCCATAGAGAGAAGCGCCGGAAGGCGGCGGGCAGGCTCAGGCACCCGTGGGTCCGTGTGAGCCCAGCTCCAGGGCTGCAGGGCGCTCCAGGGGCGCTGGGCTGGGGGTAGGGTTGGGATCTGGCCCAGGGGGCCACCAAGGTCCCTGTCACTGACCCTCCAGCTGCTCCCGAGAGGACGCAAAGAATTGGGAGCCCCTAGCCCCCCACCCCGAGAACAGCCCCTGGCAATGCCAAGCATCTCCTTGGCCCAGGGAGGGGCTTCCAAAGCGGGTAACTGAGGACCCGGAGCGGCCACACTGGCTATACCCCCGCGCGCGCGCGCACACACACACACACACACACACACACACACACACACCTCCCCTGCTAACGCAGCAATGTCCCCATCCCCTGACCCCCGTGTTGACTCGGCCAGGACAGACGGAAACCTTTTCGGTCCCCGAGGAATGTCACGCGTCAGCCTGGCTCCCTCCTGGCGCCCAGTAAACACGGGCACTACATAAGGAGGCTTGGGCGCAGACAGCGCCACCCACACCCAGGTAGGTCTGGGTCCTGCGACGAAGGGCAGGTCTGCAGCCAGGCTGGGTTGGCGGGCGCCCCCAACGCCACGCCTGCTGGGCGCTGCTGGGTCACCGTCTCTGCCAAACCCAGCCCTGACTCCTTGGGGTCCTCTCCCAGGGCACCCCGTTCTTGCAGGGGGGGAGGCAAGCCAGCCCCAAGGCGCCCCCGCTGCTGGGCTCCTAGCGGGTGATGCCACCAACCCTCTCTCCTCAGGCCTGCCGCCGCAACCATGCGCTCCCTGGCGCCCGTCTGCTGCCTGCTGCTCCTCGGGGCTTTCTGGGCCGACCATGCCATGGCTGGCTCCAGCTTCCTGAGCCCCGAGCACCACAAGGGGCCGGTGAGACTGACTGCCCAGCCCACTGCGGGGGTCGCGGTTGGGTCAGGAAGCCGGGATCCCGCGCCCCAGCCTGGGACTCAGCCTGCCCCACGCGCCGTGGTGTGACCCGGTCGGGACTCCGGCTGTGCCCTGCTCTGGGTCCCACAGGGAACACCCCCTCTTTCCAACAGAAAAAGGAGCCCAAGAAGCCGCCGGCCAAGCTGCAGCCCCGCGCGCTCGACGGCCAGTTCGGCCCAGCCAGTCAGGAAGGGCCGGAGGATGAGCTGGAGATCCGGGTGGGTCCAAGGCTGTGGGCGCGTGGGAAGGGAGGGGGGCCAGGGACAGTGCTGAACCCCCCTCGTGACACCCTCCCGAGATACCACAGCAAGTCGGCTTGGAGGAGACACACCCAGCCGTGCTGGGGGGCTGCCACAGTTCTTAGGGCACCAGAAGGTGCTATGTTGGGTCCCCTGGCAGCAACATCTGTGAGAGACAGCATGGGCGGGGGGCTGTCCGTGAATATGAGCCTGACAGCATGCAGGATGTGTGTGGAGGGGGTCTGACACGAGTGTGACAGCCTGTGTATAGGGATCGTGTGATAGCATTGTGTGTGATGGCACATGTGTGACAGTATTGTGGGGGACATGTACGTGGGTCTGTACGTAAGTGTGACAGCATGTGGGGGTCATGTGTGGGTCTGTGCATGAGTGTGTGCGAGTATGGGGGGAGTGTGACAGCATGGTGAGGTGTGTGTGGGTGTGTGCGTGAATCTGTGTGACTGTGGGGTGTGTGCATGTGTGACGACAGCATTTGGGGTGAGTGTGTGGGTCTGCATGAATGCGCGTGGTGGTGTATGGAGAGTGAGTGCACCCATGTGGGGGGTAGAGCACGTTTAGAGATGAGTGGAGGGGGTGTGGAGGGGTGACCTCGGACCCCCGCCTCCCTGTGCCCCCTAGTTCAACGCCCCCTTCGATGTTGGGATCAAGCTTTCGGGGGTGCAGTACCACCAGCATGGCCAGGCCCTGGGCCAGTTCCTCCAGGACGTCCTCTGGGAGGCCAACGGTAAGCGGGGGCATGGCTGCACCCCATGACCTTCCCCTCTGCCACCCCACCCCTGCGGCCTGTGGGCTGGACAGAGGGGTGCCAGGGACCCAGCCTCCTTCACCATATTGTGGAGTGAGCGCCGAGGGGCACCCAGCTTGGGGTGAAAGCCACGTGACCGTCAGGTCTGTTCTACCATCCCTCGGCTGAGCCCACCCCTGCAGCTGGCCAGGTGGGAAGCACTGTCCTAGGGACTGTGGAAGGACACGCACTGCCCAGAGTCCCCCTGAGCGAAGAAACAGCCCCCCACCCGCATCCCTTCCACCCAATAGCCAACAAAGGGGCGGGGGGGGCGACTTCCTGGAGCTTGGGCTCAGCTGGGTCTCATCAGCTCCTGGTGCAGCTGGAGGCTCAGTCTGAGGCCATTGCTTTGCAGATGTCCCAGCAGACAAGTGACCGGTTTGCTGCCTGGGCCACCTGCCCCTCCCGGCTGACAGGCCCTGTCTGGCCCCACTGCTCAGCTGGACGTTACTGGCTTAGGAGGCGAATAAAAGCTCTGAGTATGGACATGCACTGGGGCCAGTCCCGTGTCTCAGATTTCTCGGGCTGCTGTCACTGGGCAGAGCAGCAGACAGCTGGTGGGGGCAGAGGGAGGTGGGTGGGCGGGAAGAGGCAGTCGCTGTCAGTGGCTTCTCAGCTCTCGGAGCAGCGGGAAGAAACACGGAGACATGGGGGCAGGCTGACGATGGGGAGGTCCTGGCCTCTCCAGGGGGCGGAACTTCCGTGGCAGCTGAACGGCTCCCGCCAGAACACACCAAAGCCGTGGGGGACCCCGCCCCCTCCCGCTCTGTCCCTGTACCCCACCCACACCATCCCCCATAAACCACCCATGCCATCCCGTCCCCCACCGATACACTCTGCTCCAGCTCAGGCCGAGTTCTCATTCCAGCACAGCTGCTATCTGCCACTCACACCGAGTCCACTGCGCTCTGACCTGAGACAGACGAAGACAGGGGAGGGCAGAGGACAGGGGGGCCCGAAGCAGGCTGTGCCACATGCTGCCTGTGCCCCAGGAACACCGGAGTGTGCCAGGGACTCCCTGAGTCACAGGGCCACCTGCCCGGTCACTCATCACTGCCCCACCTTCAGGATGCTCAGGCCCGGGAACGTCATTTCCTAGAGATGCAGGACTTGGCCGGTCTATGCTGTCAGAGCAGTGGGCAGGTCCCCACAGGACAGGGCCGGCCAGAGGTGGGTCTGGGGTCTTCACATCCTCACACCCCGCCCAGCCCATTGGTGGCTGATTCCACATGACCCTGCCAGCAGGGCTTGTGCCACTTGGGTACATACATGCACACATGCAAGCACAATATGCACATGCATGCACATATAAACACACGCACGCACATGCACACACACGCATGCGCACACACTCTAAGGAAGCCACTTATGTGACAGCCCCAGCCCCGTGCTGGCCCTGGGGAGGAGTGGAGTCATGGTGACAGATTGGAACTGAGGGGCACTGGGGGGCGAGGAGCAGAGCTGGGCGTGAGCTGATGGCCACAAGGACGCACACAGTCAAAGCGAATGGGTGTGCCCAGGAATCCACTCCTGATCCAGACACACAGCCAGCAGCCGGGTGGGGTCACCTGAAAGCCCCCGGCCAGGCGGAGGTGGGGAAGGCTGGGGCACACCCGCTTGGAACTGCCTCAGACCCTGTAACTGTCAGGGCGGAGCCCAGAGGGCACAGGACCCCGGGGCTCTGACAGTCCTCAATTGCCCACCCGCAGGCACTGCCCGGTACTTCAGGCCACCCCTCCCTTCACCGTCAGGAGGGGGTGGGGAGTCACCTTCCCACCTGGGCCCAGCTCTCCAGGGCTTCAGTGCCCTCGGGACACGTGGCCACCTGGAGGGCAGGGGTGAGGACAGAGGCAGGTCAACAGCCACACAGAGACTATCAAAGGACACGGGACAGCAGACACCAGGCCAGTGGTGCCTGGCCGATACTGCTATCCACTGCACGGAGAAGGCACATCAGGGCAGCATGCCCCCGGCCAGCCCATTTGCAGTAGCAGAGATGAGCACGTACGGACACTGTCCAGCACTCCCGGGACACAGCCTCCCTCCCCGGGGCCCGTGCCTCGACCACTGAAGCTCGCCAGGGAGACGGCTCGGAGGACCCAGTGCGTGGAGCAGAGTAGGGCTGGGAGCAGCCTCTGGGCTCCGCCTAAAGCCCGCCGAAAGTCTCCTACGTCTGCCCGCCAGAAGTGGGTCCACAGATCTGGGCCAGCAGGCGCGGGGGACATGGGGCAGGATGGGGCAGGGTGGTGCGGAAGTGGACCTTCCTGCGGGCGCCCGCCTCTTGCATGTGCTTGTGCCAAGGGAGCAGGAGTCAGCCCACCCGGCCCCTCATCCAACAAATGCCAAGAAGTGGGAAGACACGTGTGGTTGAGGATCCGTTGCTTTATTTCCAGAAAGAGACGCCAGGGGAGGGGACAGAGGCCTTCCAGCAGTGCGCTGGCCACCAGCTGAGCGGCCAGAGACCGTCCAGCACTTGCATCCCCACGGCCCTGCCCTGTTCGCGGCGTCTGAGCCCAGAAGCACTCACCCACGCCTGGAGGGAAGAGCATGTAGCACCAAGGGCTGTTGGGGGGTGGGGGTGGGGGGGTGTCCTGCCTGGCTGGGGCCAGCTGTACGCCTCAGCTCCTCCTGGCCACCATGCAGTGCCAGTGCCACACCAGAGCCCAGAGGAACCAGATACCACTACCACACAGCCATTCCGTCGTCAAAGATCAAGGCTGCTCCCTCAGTATGTCCAAGCTCACAGGGTACCTTCCGGTTCCCCATACGATCCACGCTGCTGGTCCAAGAGCCCCAGCTCCCCTGGAGGTGGGCAAGTGCGGGCCTGGGACGGAGGCCCCAGAGCCCAGCACTTCCCAGACACAGGGCACAGGGGCTGTCCATGATAACACGCTGCGGCAGGTCCACCCGGATCCAGCACGCAGAAGGGGCGGCCAGGGCCCACACAGGCCAGCAGAAGCCTCTGTGGTGAGCCAGAGGCCTGTCAGCTGTGCCCCTGGCACCAGGAAGCAGAAACACCTTTGGGGGCCGGGACGGCAGGTGTCCCTCTGTCCCCTCCATAGCAAAGGTGGCAGAAGCCAAAGAGCAGCGGTGGAGTCCTTCTGCTTGTGGGACGGGTGGCTGCGGGCAGCCGTGCCGTGTGACAGGGTGCGAGGGCGGCTCCGTGGGTGCAGGAAGACGGGCCTGAGATGGGGCTCCAGCAGGTGCCCCCCAGAAGTCCATTCCCGGGATGTTGAGCTGGGACCGAGCTGCAGCCCAAGAGCTCAGGTGAGCCAGAGGCACCAAGTCCAGGCCGCAGAGAACAAGATGGCCACAGCGCCCACCCCCTGCTCCATGCACAGTCCCGGGGCCCGGGGGATGCTCCCGTGCCCCCTCCCCGCCCACAGAGCTGCAGGAGGTCCCCAAGGATCTGCCCGCTGGGCTCCCCCTTCTGCAGGGCACAGACTGGCAGTGGCCGCGGGTGGTCCTGGAGGGCTGTGGAGAGAAGAGGAAGCAGGGTCAGATGCAGTTCTCTCAGGGAGGAGATGGCTGTGGGAGGACACAGGAGGAAACAAGGACACGGGGGTGGGGGGTTGGGGGGGATGGGAACACAGGGGACACAGGAACACAAAGGAAACGAGGACACGGGGACACACATGGGGACACAAGGACACGGACACAGGGACACGGAGGGACACCAGGGGACATGGAGGGACACTGGGGGATGCGGGGACAGGGGCAGAGGCAGGCACCTTGGCAGCAGCGGTACTCAGAGGCTGTACAGGCGGCCGGTGTTCTCCCGCAGCGTGGCCAGCGTGTGTGAGAGGGGCAGCTCCTTGACACGGGCAATCTCGCGGACAGTGTGCAGGGCCAGGCCCGGGTGGGCGTACTGGCACAGGCTCTTGGGCACCTGCAAGACAGCAGAGGTCGCGGCCGTCGCGGGGCCCCTGCTGGCAGCGGCACGCCGCAATCCCCCAGCCCGGCCCGGCCCGGCGAGGACCTCTGGGGCTGCCCTGTGGGGACCCCGTTACCTGCCGGCGCAGGGAGATCCTAGCCCTGGGGCTCGGGGTGGCGGGGTCCCGCGCTTCCTTGGGCCGCCCTCTACGGGGTAGGGCTTGGCACTGCCTGGAAGAGAGCGGTGACCCTTCAGCTTCCCCGAGGCAGCGCCGAGGAATAGCCAGGGCGGCCAGGCGGCGGCCGGGGAGGGTGGGGGTGGGGGTCCCAGGGGCGCTGGCCCTGCCCGCGCTGTGCGGCAGCGCGGCCTCCTACCTGGCGAGGCAGGAAGTAGGGCGCGTCCGTCTCCACGATGATCCGCTCGAGTGGGATCTGGCGCAGCGCATCGCGGGCAGCCCAGGCGGAGCTGTAGGTCAGCACGGCCGTGAAGCCCACCGACAGGTTGGGGAAATGCTGCAGCAGCGGCTCGATCACCGGGTAGCTGCCCGTGAAGCAGTGCCTGCGGAGAGCAGAGGTGGGGGCTGGGGACAGCCGAGGCCCTCCCGGCACCCGGTGCTGGAGGGGACGGCCTAGCCCCAGGCAAGCGAGGCCACGGGCTGGGGGCTGGGGAGTGGCCCCGACGCTCTGCACAGGAGCTGCCCTTGGTGCCCACCAATGCCCTGAGCCTAGAGCTCCCCTCACTGGGCGGCTCGGCTGAGGCACCCCTCGGGTGTGCACATCTCGGGGTGCGAGTGTGTACATGCCGCCTCCCAGTGTTGTGTGCACACTTATGTACACACCCCTGTGTGATGCGTTAGAAGCAGCGGTGGTGTCTATGCGCAGGCGGGGGAGCAATGAGAGGGTTGAGAGCATATCGTGTCCTCAGACACGTGTGTGTGCACGTGCACACACATGTATGCTCTGGAGTGCACTGAGAGAATGTGTCTGTGTCCTCAGAGGGTGTGTGTATATACACACAAGTGTACACGCTGTGTGGGAAGCACTGAGACGGTATGTATCTGTGTCTTTAGAGAGTGTATGTGTGTGTACACATACACATCATGTGGGGAGCATTAAGAGGGTGTGTGTGTTTTGGGGATGTGTGAATGTGTCTGTGCATGTGCGTCTACATGTGTAGGGAGCACTAAGCGTGTGTCTGTCCTCTTAGAGGTGTATGTGTGTGTGTACGTACACGCTGTGTGAAGAACACAAAGAGGGTGTTCGGTGTTCTCTTAGAGGACATGTGTATGTGTATGTGTGTGTCTGTTGTGTGCACATATGACTGACCCTGCTTCCTCACTGGCTCACACGGTGAGGTGCCTGCTGGGTGCCCACAGGGCAGCCCCCCTCTATCCCCTGTCCGGTGTAGTGGGCCTCCCCTCCTGGCTCCTTGGCCACTAGCCCCACCTATAGCTCTCACATCCACACAGGGGCCTGGGGTCAAACAACACTCCTGCCAGGCCAGCAGTTTTCCAGCCAAACCAAGACCCCAAGACACCACTCAGTGACCCTAGTCATCCTGAACACTGTGGGGGACAGGCTCCCAAAGACAGAGAAGGAAGCGCCTATGAGGGGCCCTGGAATGTTCTGAGTCTCAGGCTCCACGACTGAGACCTGAAGCTGCAGGGGAAGGCACAGAGGCAAAGCCCTCGCCTGACCCAGGGTGCATCCCTGGCATCCCATATGGTCCCCGGGGTCCCCACCAGGAGCAACTCCTGAGCACAGAGCCAGGAGTAACAGAATTAAGTCCTTTAGCACCATCAGGCACAGCACAAAATCTGTTATATAAACATATATAAATCCTAGATCCCCTCTCTATTCAGTTAGGATTCAGAATATGGAAAACCATATGAAGTTGCTATGTTATAAATAAAAACTGGTTTCATGTCAGAAGGGCTGGAGCGATGGCACAGCGGTAGGATGTTTGCCTGGTGTGCAAAAAGCCTGGCTGAGCTGGGTTCGATTCCTCCGCCCCTCTCGGAGAGCCCGGCAAGCTACGGAGAGCATCTCGCCTGCACGGCAAAGCCTGGCAAGCTCCCCGTGATGTATTCGATATGCCAAAAAACAGCAACAGCCAAGTCTCACATTTTGTTGTGAGATGTTGCTGTGAGATGTTACTGGTGCCCGCTCGAGCAAACTGATGAACAACGGGAGGACAGTGCAGTGCAGTGCATGTCAGAAATCTCCTTTTTAACTGAATCCTGGACTGTCTGGGAGCGATGGAACTAAACTGTGTGTTTTCTGTAGAGCTGTGTGGGGCTCACATGGGGCGCACACAGAAGTTGGGGGGTGAGGGGAAGTGAGTGGGGCTCACACAGAAGTATGTGTGGGAGGGACTTGAATGAGGGTCACACAGGAAGTATGTGTGCGTTTAGGGACTTGAGTGGGGCTCGAACAGGAAGTGAGGGGGGCTTGAGTGGGGCTCACATAGAAAGTTGGGGGCCGCACAGCAAGTGGGGGGCTCGCACTGACCTGTGGATTTTGTAGTCCGGGGGCACCAGTCTCTTCATGATACTCAGCAGGTCCTCGTCAGCCTCCCGGCAGTGGATCACCAAGGGCTTCTTCAGCGCCACGGCCAGCTGCAGCTGCCTCTCGAACACCTGGGGAATCAGAGGCGACACTGTAGGGCACCTGGCAAGCTGCTCCCCAAAGCAACGGGCCCGGGGCGCACAAGTCACAAGTTTACCGGCTGACTGGCCAGAGAGCCACAGGCCTGGAGCATGCACGGTGTCTGGCTTGACGGCTGCCCAAGCACCTTGAGGTGAACCAACAGCTGCGATGAGGTTTGAGCCCCCCCACCCCCACCCCTAGAGAACCGGCAGTGAGATTTAGGCAGTGCCTGAATGCCCCCCAGAACCAGCAGTGAGGCCAGCGCATGACCTGAGCCCAAGCAGAGAGCTATGGGGGTTGGGAGGGGGCACAGACTCAACGTCCTTCCCTCGGTGTCCCTGTCTGCTCCGCACCCCAAGAGCAGCGTAGCCCCAGCTCCTGGCAGATCTCCTTACAGATCCACAGGCCTGGGTGGGAGCAGGTGGGTGGGCCCTGCTCCTCGGAGCCCAGACAGACAGACTAGCATGACGGCTGCCTCTCAGGAGCTCAACAACCGCTGAACGAATACTGAAGCTGCTGTTTGGTTCTGGCTTCTGAACCGGATGTCCCAGGCAAGCGCCTGAGTCCCGCTCACCTTCCGTCCCAAATACCAACCACTGCCTGCAAGATGCTTGCTTCGTTTTGCTGGCCTCCATCGCCATGGTGCTAAGGGCCCGTGTGGTGCCAGGGCCAGAGTTGGCCACACGCAAGGCAAGCGCCTGAGCCCTGGGCCCTCGCTCCAGCCCTGGTCGCATCATTCCTCCACCCTCAGGGCTGTCTACGTAAGCACCTGCAGATACACTTGATCCTTTTAATTTGGGGGTTGGAGGGGGCGTTGGGGGCACCCTCAGCAGTGCTTATGGCTTCCTCCTGGTGGTACACAGGGGACCATATGGGTGCCGGGGACCAAACCTGGGGTGTCCCCAGGCACGGCAAATGCCCTTCCCGCTGCGCTATCGCTCGGCCCGTTACGCCCATTCTTACTCTTCTCTGAGAGTATGACATCATCAGCGCAGGAGGAAGGCTAGAGACGACCAGGAGCGCAAGCCCACCGGCACAGCACCCGGTGGGGGGACATACCTCAGTTTGCGTGTCAAACAAAAAGCAGCGACTTTGGGTGATGGTCAGGGGCCACCGACCGACATGCCCACGTGCAATCCCAGAGTCCCTTATCACAGTACAGGCCGGCCTGGCAGGGCACTGGGCTGGCCCAGGTTCTTGACGAAAAGAAAGTGTCTGCATGTTCCGAGCCAAGTGGCAGGACGTCGCCCCCACACACCAGCCCACTAGCCCAGGGCAGAGTCACACATATCTCACAAGCACTTCTAGTCGAGAAGGGCCTTATCTTGGACACGGAGACCCCTCCTGCCCTGCCATACCCCCATCACCCGGAGGGGAGAAACTGGCAGCCTGAGACAGGAGTGAGGAAACAGCAGAAGTGAGGGCAGTGGGAAGAGCCATATTTGAGAAGGGGAGAGAAACATTTCCTGTCCTTCCTGACTGGCCTCCGGCTCGGGGCAGCTACGTGGAAGGAGGAAGCACATGATGGCACGGGAGGAGCCACCAGGGCCACAGCGCTTGTCCGCAACAGGCACCGTGGCAGAAGCTGAGTGGGCACAGATGCCATCGAGCTGCTTGCCCAGCTGATCAGGCAACCTCGCTGAGCTGGGCGGGATCCCCCCAGTGGGCAGAAGGGCTCTGGGGGGAGTGTGGAGGGACAGACAGTCCTCTCCAGGCAGGAGCCGGGCTGGGAAAAAGCCACCACTCAGACGGTCCCTCTCCCTCAGGGCCTCTGAGCTGCAGGGGACTCCTCACTGGTGCTCAGTCCTGATGGGAATCTGACGAAGCAGATCAAGGGCATGTCGGGGCATATCAGGGCGGGCGTGACAGTGCAGTGGATAGGGCGCTGGTCCTGCACACAGTCGACCTGGGTTTGATCCCTGGCTCCCCATACCGTCCCCCAAGGAGCGGTACCCAAGTGCAGAGCCAGGAGCAACCCCTGAGCCCTACTGGGTGTGGCCCCCCAAACAAACAAAAAAAAGGATTATAAGGTCAGAGAGGTAGCTGGGCAGGCTGTGATCAGGTGGTGAGCCCGGAGGAGGCCCCACACACTGGTAGGTGTGGGCCCCGCAAACACGAAACTACTGGCTGCCTCCGAAGAGAGAGGCAAACAAGCGACCTGGTGTTTTAACAGGCCGAACCACAAAGACTCCCAAGGGAGGGCAGAGCTGGGGCTCTGGGATGCGGATGGAGGGGGAGGAGCAGCACAGGGCTCCGGGCGCAGGCCCAGCACCAGGACAGTCACAGGTTCAAATCCCCTGTCTGTCGGGGCACAAGGCCCACGATCCCCAGAACCACAGGGGGTTCTGGCCACACGGCAGCCAGGCCCAAGGGAGCAGCACGGAGTGGGGAGCCCGCGAGCACCAGGCCAGCCATCATGTGTGCGAACCCAGAACCCAGCCAAGAAGGGAAAGGGGTGGAACGGGGGAACTACAAACCCAGCAGATCGCTGAAAGAAAAAGCAGTGACAGAGTGTGGCTCAGCACCTCCATCTTGACAGCTCGTGACAAGTGACCTAGCGCGGAGGCGCGGCCCGGCCCCAGCCCCAGACACACCCGTACCTTGTGCTGCTCGGGGACGGGCGTGGTGCACTTGTACGAGTAGTCCAGGCCCATCTCGCCAAAGGCTACGGCCTTGGGATGCCGCAGGGCGTGTAAGAGATTCCTCTCCTGACTGTCGCTGTAGTAGCGTGCGAAGTGGGGGTGGCAGCCGAAGGCCCCCCACACCAGGTCCTCCTTCAGCAGCTCCTCCCACAGGCCGTCACTCAGCGTGCGGGGGTCACAGAAGTCCGAGATGCAGCCCTGGAACTCGCGCGGGAAGGAGCTGCTGTAGATCTTTCGGAACTTGGCGAAGCTGCCTTTGAAGGCCAGCTTGGCGTAGAGCATGTCCAGGTGACAGTGGGTGTCGATAAAGCCCTCCTCCAGGCTGGCCCCCAGATGGCCCCTGGGCAGGGAGCTCGGACGCGGCGGCGGCGTCTCCTCCTGGAACGTTCTCCTCTCCTTCACCTCCTCCGAGCTTCTGGAGAATCGTGGGGCCCGCGAGCTCTGGGACCGGCCTTCTTCCGCCACCTTCTGCTCCCTGGAAGAGTTCTGGGGGCTCACGGTGGAGCTGGGGGGACAGTCATTGCGGAGGATCCGGCCGCTCCTGTCCGCCTGCGCCTGCGCTGGGGCGTGGCCACCGCCTCCGGAGAAGGCCGAGGGCTTGGGGCTGTTGGCCCAGTAGCTGGCGTAGCCGCACCATGGGCTGCTGTACAAGTGGGCCGGGTACATGACATAGTCCGTGGGGAAAGCCGAAGGCTCGGGGACCGCCAAGGGTCTCAGCGAGACAGGCTCCTCCTGCGAGAACCGGATGCTGGTCACGTCGTCCACATCAGACCAGTCACTCCCAGAGGAGCTGGACTCCAGCAGCACCTCCCGGGCCTCCGTCTGCAGAGAGACAGGTGAGCACGTGAGTCCCTTAACTGGCACGGTCCCGGCTCCCCGAGACCCCCAGAAAATGCCCCGTTTGAGGGATCAACTGCTCAGCCGGACCCAACACCTTCCCCTTGGGGTGCTCTACCTGATCCTTCCAGCCCCCAGGCGTCAGAGTCCCTGCAACACCCCAGGGGAGTCAGAGGGCTCAGCTCCTCCCGGGGAGGACACAGACGAAGTCAGGCCGCCCAGAACCTGGATAGATGCTGCCCCAGAGCCAACCCGCCTTTGAAGCTCCTGCTCCCCCGTCTGAACGGGGCCCTAGGAAAGACCCCGGGTGCGACCTGGCACTACCCCCTCCGCACAACTACCCCTTTCGGAGTTTCTGAGCCACAGAGCTATTTCGGCTCCAGGCAGTCAGGTAATCAGAGCAACTGTGCAGCCAAAGGCTGAGCCTGGCAGAGCGAACCCGCAGCCTTGCTTGTGGCGTCTATGTGGTAAAACAGCAGTTCTGGGGCTCCCAGCCCAGTCAGGGGCTCTGGGGCGCAGGCTGGAGGTCCTGCAGGTCCCAGGCAGCACCGTGCTCTCCGATGCAGGGAAGGCTGGAGAAACACAGAAATGCTACTTTGCTGAGCGCCAAGGCAGCCCCAAGGCAATTACTTCCAGGTAATGCCCCCTCGCCCGACAGACAGCTGGAGCAAGAGGGCTTCAGAGCTGCTCACCTGATATTTTCCGAGGCAAATATCACTCACAGGAAACACCAAAGAGCTTATATATATATATCCTCTCCTTAAAAATGAAACAAAAGATTGTTGCTTCTCATGTACAGGCCACCCTGCCTGGAAGCCAACTGTCCTCCCCACCCAGCTCTGCGGAGAAGTCAAACTGCCAAAAATTTCAGGTACACCGGCTGTTTGGCTGAGAACTCTGGGGCATTCTCAGAGTGGGGGAGGGCAGCCTCCCCCACCCCCACAACTGCCATGAAGCTGACTGCCCACTCAAATATTCGCACAGGACACCTCCAAACTCTACCATACTGACAGGTGCAGTAGCAGACAGCTTAGACAGTAAAGTAACACAGACGCCAACTAAGCCCCGGAAACAAAACATTAGCACAGAAGGCTCAACCAGCAACAACAACTTAGTAAGCCCTCAGATAGGACTGAAAGTCCCCACCCTGAGATACAACAGTTTTCACTAATTTTCTTTTTCTGAAGTGTTTTGTGATAATTTCATTAGCCATTTAGTGGTAACAAGCAACCCAAAATAAATTTTGTGCCTGCTAAGGGTGCTAACTCCGGAAGAGACTGGGAAAATGGGGGCAGTGTTGGAGGGACGTCAGACTGGTGGATGGATTAGTGCTGGAATACTGAATGCCTGTAACAAATGCATCATCAACAATTTTATAAACCACAGTAAAGTGGAAAAATTAAAAGTAATTAAAAACTGTTGCTTCTACTATTATCTAGACCAGTGTTATCTAAAGCAGGGTGCTAAATGATGAGGGAGATGACGGCTTAAAAGTAGATTTCCAGGGGCAGAATGATTATTTTCTGAAAACAGGGAAGTAGGTGGGTTGGAGCAATATTACAGCAGGTACAGTGTTTGCCTTGCCCAGGTTTGATCTCTGGCATCCCATAAGGCCCCCTGAGCACTGCCAGGAGTGATTCCTGAGAGCGGAGTCAGAAGCATCACTGGCCCATAAAAGAAAAAGCAGAGACAAAAAAGGGGGCAGTGGGCCAACTAAGCTGGGACCCTCTGATCCAGACCACTGCACCCCCGGTAAGTGATGCTAACCAGTAAAATGGTGCCGAAGAGGGAAGAATGGTCACAGCACTTGGGGCTGGAGCAAGAGCACAGCGGGTAGGACGTTTGCCTTGCACGCGGCCGACCCAGGTTCGATTCCCAGCATCCCATATGGTCCCCTGAGCACCGCCAGGGGTAATTCCTGAGTGCAGAGCCAGGAGGAACCCATGTGCACCGTCAGGTGTAACCCAGAAAGAAAACAAAAAATAAAACAAAAGAAAAAAGGTCACAGCTCTTGCCTTGCATGTAGCAACCTTGGCTTGATTCCCAACACTGCATATGGTCCCAAGCGGCCCAGGAGTTGCCCCAAGCCCACAAATTAAAAGAATAACTAGGGGCTGGAGCTATAGCACAGCGGGTAGGGCGTTTGCCTTGCACGCGGCCGACCCGGGTTCAATTCCCAGCATCCCATATAGTCCCCTGAGCACCGCCAGGAGGAATTCCTGAGTGCATGAGCCAGGAGTAACCCCTGCGCATCACTGGGTGTGACCCCAAAAAAAAGCAAAAAAAAAAAAAGAATAACTAATGGGCCTCACGGGATGGGGGTGGAGCCGGTCCTGTCCTCCCTGTCCCAACGAGACCGCAAGTCATCGCCCACGAACGGCCTCTCTGGCTCCTATCAAGCTGCTTAACGGCCATGATCCCAGAGACTCAGAAACAAATCTCGAAACCCAGCGGCTTTTGGCAGAAATGCGTCTGGATCATGCAGTAGGTTACTGTCACCAGGCCATCCCAGGGGGGGAAAGGGTGTTGCCTGCTTCCCCCTGGTGGCTCGGTGGCCGTCAGTCAGGTTTGGGTCTGCAGTGATGAGACATTTTGGGCCTCACGGGATGGAGGTGGAGCCGGTCCTGTCCTCCCTACCCCAATGAGACCCCAAGTCATCACCCATGAACGGCCTTTCTGGCTCCTGATCAAGCTGCTTAACGGCCATGATCCCAGAGACTCAGGAGCAAATCTCGGAACACAGCAGGTTCTGGCAGAAATCCCTCCAGATTTAAGTGTTAAAATTTCGGAATTTCAAAATCGCGCGACCACTACTTCAGCCATGCAACAATATATGTTATTCATAACCAGCAAAAGAAAACAAATTGTCTACTGTTGCCTTTTCAGTAGATCTGAGTGTTGGGGGTAAAATCTCAAATAATGGTGGGTCTGGTGTCAAAATATTGAATGTGATCAAAGTAGAGAGAGAGTAATGTGGAAATCATCTGCCCCACAGGTAGGGAGAGGGTGTGGGATGGGGGTATACTGGGGTTACTGGGGGTAGAAAATGGGCACTGGTGAAGGTACGGGTGTTTCATTGCATGACTGAGACTTAGACCCGAAAGCTTTGTAACTGCTCTCATGGTGATTCACTAAATAAAATTATAAAAAACGGGAAAAAAAAAGTAAGGAGGAGTTCATGCACAATTCAATCAGCTAATCAGCGGCTGAATAAATAGCAGTACTCCTACATTAAAAAAAAAAAACTAAAATAATAAAATAAATAAACAATGGTGCCAGAAAGACAGTACAGCAGGGAGAGCATGTGCCTTGCACACAGATGACCAAGGTTCGAGCCCCAGCATCCCATATTGTTTGTAAGCACTGCCACGAGCGACTCCTGAGTGCAGAACCAGGAGCAACCCCTGAGCACTACTGGGGATGATCATCCCAAAAATGAAGTGACCAATTTCTGCTTCCCATTTTAGATTTTATTTTTCCATTTTAGATTCTTTCCTGCCACTATGTTCCTAATTAAGCAAAATATCCGAGCAAGAATCTTCCCTAAGTTGAAAGATGAGTCAAACTGTGATAGCAACAATGTGATCTGGACTCCTGGACTGGTCCTGAGGGGTCTGGGGAGGGCCCCCTAGTCTGACTTTGAACATCCGATACTTCACTTTTTGCTAGTTTGTGGGCCACACCCAGGGGTGCTCAGGGTTCACTCCTGGAGGTGCTCAGAGGACTACATGGGGTGCAGGGGATTCCAACTGGATTGGCCACATGTAAGGCAAGCGCCCTCCCCACTGTTTTTTCACTCCAAACCAGAACATTTGACATTTTTGACTGAAGTCGAGGCCAGAGAAAGTGCTCAGAGGGCAAGCATGGGCTCAATCCTGGGCACCACCACAAGCAGCCCTGGGAGCCACCCCCAAGAAATGTCAGAGTGGTCCCTGAGGAATGTCAAGTGTACACCCCAAAACCAAAATTAAAAGTAAACTTTCGGGGGCTGGAGAAATAGCACAGTGGGTAGGGCGTTTGCCTTGCACGCGACCGACCCAGGTTCGATTCCCAGCATCCCATATGGTCCCCTGAGCACCGCCAGGAGTGACTCCTGAGTGCAGAGCCAGGAGCAACCCCTGTGCATCGCCGGGTGTGACCCAGAAAGCAAAAAAAATTAAAATAAAATAAAATACATAAAAAATAAACTTTCGGGTCGAGAAAGGCTCAGGGGAAGAGTGCAGGCGCACTGGGAGGATCTGAGCTGAGAGCATCGGGAAAGGAGCTACAGGACAGTGGGAAGGGTCCTTGCCTGACAAGTGGCCAACCCGGGTTTGATCCCCTATGCCCCATATAGTCCCCTGCACAAGAACAAAAACAAAACAAACAAAAAGAAACCAAAACAAAAACATACAAAAAGAACTTTGATCTAAAAACTATGCACCGGGGACCCTGGTTCATTCCCAGCACTGCCAGGGCCCAGGTCACCCACAGAAACGCTGGGTCCATGTAATGGCACAGCCTCCTGGGACATGGCACTGACCGCTCACCAGGCCGAGAACTGCTTGGAGGAGTCCCTAGACTCTCTGAGGACTATTGGGGAGACACCCAGCCCCGCCCAAAAATAGAACATAGCAATTTGGGCTGAGAAACTCCCACCAGCCCCATGAAGAGAAACCACAGCTTGCCCGACCAAGTCCATGCGCCTCCTAGTGTCCCTGAGGCCAGCACCCAGTGCCCACAGCTCAGTGCACCAACAGCCAAGAAATAGCCAGTGGCCCAGACCCAGAGGGAGCGTCACCCTGCCGAAGCCCCCAGAGCAACCAAGCTTAGAGGGAAATATATTTACACACACACACACACACACACACACACACAAAGCTCAACCTTTTTTTTTTTTGCTTTTTGGGTCACACCCGGTAATGCACAGGGGTTATTACTACTGGCGGTGCTCAAGGGACCATATGAGATGCTGGGAATTGAACCTGGGTCGGCCACATGCAAGGCAAATGCCCTCCCCACTGTACTATCGCTCCACCCAAGCCTCAACCTTTAACAACATGTTACTAATCTCTTATAGAAGGGCTGAATGGCTCCTGGGTAAAATACAACAACCTTCTTACACTTTCCTTTAAGAAACCTTTGTCTCATTTTTAGCGGATTATTCATAACAAGCAATACAAAATAAATTATTTCGGTTCTGCTTTGGGGGCAAGATTTGGGGGTTCAGGATGGAAATAAAGTGGCGAGAAGGTGTAATGGTGGTGGGATTGGCGTTCAAATATTAAATTGTAATCAAATATTGTGAAGAACTTCATAAAAATTAAATTAAGTAAAAAAAATCTACACAGGGGCCTGGTAGTACAGGGGTTAGGGAGTTTGCCTTGCATGCAGCTGACCAGGTTTCAATCCTCAGCATCCTACATGGTTCCCCAAGCACCGCCAGGAGCAATTCCTTAGTACAGAGCCGGGAGTAACCCTGAGCATCATTGGGTCTGACCCCAAAAGACAACAAATCCTACACAAAGAAAATTATAAAAACACCACTAGAAGAAATAAAGGGACTCCGAGAAATGGAAACACATCCTCTACTCATAGATCAGGAAAATTAGCATCTTCTAAGTGGCAATACTGCAAAGCCCAAAGCATTGTACAGATTGAACGCAATCCCTATAAGGACACTGAGGACATTTTTCAGAGAAATAGATCCAACACTCCTGAAATGCATATGGAACAATAAGCCCTCCGTCCCGCACAGCCAAACACTCTTCGGGAAAGAGAAGATGGGTGACATCTTCTCCTCCAACTTCAAACTGTACTACGAAGCAGGAATGTTAGTGGATGTAAGACTGTGAGTGCTGTGAGAGTGTGTGTAAGGGAAGGAATGCATGAGCGGAGGCTTGCGAGAGAGTGCCAAGTGTGAGTGCGTGAGAGGAGGTGTATACGAGTGGGTGTGAGACAGTACGTATGAATGGATGTGCGCGAGACTGAGTGCTGTGTGTGTGAGGGAGAAGAAAAGTATGTGAGTGCACTGTGTGAGACCTGAGTGCTAAGCGAGAGTGTGTGTGTGGGGGAAGGGACGTGTTGGATGTGTGAGACTCTAAGCGCTGTGTGAGTGCATATACGAGGGAAGGTATCTGTGAGACCGTCAGGGCTGGGTGAGAGTGTGTGAGGGAAGGGATGTTCGAGGGAAGGTGTGTGTGAGTGTGTAAGCGCTATGTGATGTTATGAGGGAAGGTACGTGTGAGTGGGTGAGTGAGGCTGACTGCTGAGTGTGAGAATGTTTGTGAGAGACGGTGTGAGTGGATGTGTGTGAGTCTGTGCGTGCTGAGTATGAAGCAGTGTGTGTGAAAGACGGTCTGTGTGAGCGGATGTGCGCATGGCTGCTTTCATGCTTGAACAGAACAAAGGCAGACACGGACTATCTGCTACCAGGCCTTTCACAGAGCGTGCTGGCCGATCCTTGAGTCTAACTGCGATCAATAACCTTTAACCTTTTTTGCATTTGTTTTGGGGCCACACCCAGCAGCATTACTCCTGTCTCTGCCTTAGGAAATCACTCCTGGTAGGCTCAGGGGGTCATATGGGGTGCAGGGGATGAGGTGCCAGGATCAGACCATACTGGTGTACAGAGTTTTGAAAAGCAAAGCAGCTCCGGGATTCGCTCCTGCTTACAGCTGAGGCATTAGAGCTGGGTGGTGAACTCACACACAACTGTGCTGCCTGCAAACAGGCACTCAACAGAGCCAGGTGTGAATCCGGAAAGCACATCCACACTGGGGAGTGCTAGGGGGTCAGGAAGACAATGACCTAGAGTTGGTGGTACACTTGAGCACAAGACCCTGAACTCCCTACCTGCCAAAATCCCTCTGGCGATGACACGAAGTGGACCTGACCTGAACGGGCATAAACCTATCGAGAGTCTGATGCAGAAGAAACAGGAGTTGAGTGAAATACTCAGTGGGCTCCAGAAAGCAAAGAGGTTATTGAGAGGTTATTGAGGTCACAGGCAGCTCACAGCTATGTCCACAATGAGAAGAATCCAGTAAACGGTTCCACCACACCAGACCTCTCAGATTGAAGGAGAAGCTGGAGATGGAAATGTCTGTTGGGACACACTTCCCATACGGGGCCAGGGAGCTCCGCCACAAAGCAGAGGACACAGCAGCTGGGGACCAAGCAAGAAAAGCCACCAAGTGGCCATTACCCAGTGCTGAGGCCCTCGGAGGGTCAGCTGCTCTGTGACACTGAACCTCCAGCTGCAGTGCTGATCAGAAAGTCAAGTCACCTGCAGAAAGCCTAACCGGCAGAGACGAACTAGTCAGCCAAAGATGCCGAGACCGAAACTCAAAAAGGCACAAACTGAAACGAACCTAAAATTCACATTCTCGGTGCACATATGCTGCTCGAGCCCAAGTGCTGCTTGTGCCCACGTGGCCGAGCACATGTTGTGCCCGTGCACATGTTGCATCTCCCCTCTTGAGATGTGTACTCTCATACTTTTGTATCTAATGTTAGGATGCGTGTAGGGGCTCTCTCCGCCCTTGGAGAAGCCTGTGTTCTCTCTTGAGTGCGTTTCTCTCTCTCACTCTCTCCCCCTCCACAACTTAAAAAACCCTCCAAATAAAATGTTTATTTCAAAAAATAAATAAATAAACTCCACATTCTCAGGAAGATGATACTATAGTGTCACCAAAGACTACGGGATAGTCTAAGAAAGGCCAAGGACCAGATAACTCCAGGGCCCACTGCACAGAGTTTGCATGTGGGAGGCCAGGGTTCAATTCCCAGCACCTCATGGTTCCTGAGCACTGTCTGTGGACCAAGAACAAAACAGAACTCTGAAACTGAGGCCAGAGTGATGGGACAATGGAGAGAGCGCTTGCCTTGGCTAACCTGGATTCAATCCCCGGCACCCCATATGTTCTCTGAGCCTGCCAGGAGTGATCCCTAAGCACAGGGGTATGGCCCCCAAACCAACAAAAAAGCTCGGAAGCAGAGAAAAACAGCACATACTCTAAGCACACTCTCCTTCACCACTCAGAGGAAAGAACAGGAAACTAAAGCATCTAAGGACCAGAGAGGGACGCTGCCTGGGGCGTGGAAGGCACTGCCAGATGTGGGATTAGGTGACCCCAGCAGAGAAGACCCCAAGAGAGGAAAAGCTGGAAGATGCTCAAAGGGCTGAGCGCAGGCCCTGCATGGGGGAGGCCAGGATCCATCCCAGGCATCACCCAGCTCCCAGCAGCACCAGAGCGAGCTCCAAGCACTGAGATGGGGTGGGGGGCAGAGAACACATGATGAGCTAGTCACAGAGATGACACATCTTAGAGAAGTAGAGCGCAGGGCCAGGGAGAGCACAGGGGCTAAGGAATACAGTTACACCCCAGTAAGGCACAGGGTCCTCCAACCAGGAGTGACTCCAGAGCACTGAGCCAGGAGCGGCCCCTCGGTACTATCAGTGTGATCCCAAACCTCCCTCCACTCAAAAAGAAAAGAAATTTAGGATGGAGAGATAGGACAATTGGGACGGCGCTTGCCCTGCATGTGACCAACAAGGGTTTGAGCCTCAGCACCCCATGTAGTCCCGAGTGCTGCCAGGAGTGACCCCTGAGCACTGAGCCAGGAGTAAACCCTGAGCACTGCCAAGTGTGGCCCCAAAGCAGAAAAAGAGGGAGGGAGGGAGGGAGGAAAATTCGGAACAATCTTGTGCTGAAGTGACTGAGAAATATAAGCAGGTCCCATGTGGAGGGCCCTGGCCCCTGATGGCCAGGGCCATGATCAAGTCATCCTTCCAGGGCAGATGGTTCAGAGGAGAAGATGAAGAAGAGGGGGTGGGGGTGGGGGGCACAGCCAGGTCTGACCCCACATTCTTTGGCACTAAGCCACAGGCCCTTACATTTTGGTCACGGCAGGCCCAAGCAGACCCGGGACCCCAAGGCAGCTCCAGCTCTCGGCGGGGGCCCGACTCACCTTCTGACTTTCTTCCAGGCTGTCTGCCTCATCCTGGAACTGCAGTGGGGGATAGAGGTTCTCAAGAACAGGGGACAGAGTCCTCTGGTCGCCCTGTGGCCCCGCTTGGGGCTGCTCTTCCTCCTCCTCCTCCTCTTCCTCCGCCTCCTCCTCCTCCTCCTCTGGGGGCTCAGTCACCACTCTGGCGTTGCTGGCCTGTACCGGCCTGGTCTGCTCCTCCTCAGCTCGGCCCACGCAGGCGGGCTCCTGCGTCTTCTCCTGTTTCTCCCGGGGAGCTGACCCGAGGCCTCCCCTGGCTGGTCGGGCCCGAGGGGCAGTCTCGCCTTTCCGGCTGGGCAGGGACTTGCCCAGGATGCCCTGGATGGCCTTCAGGTAGATCATTGTGGATCCCTGGTCTCGCAGCCGCTCCCGCGGCCTCTTCTGCATCTTGCCCACCTCCTCGCCTGTGGCGCTCTGACCCTCAGCCTCTGCTGCAAACTCAGAGCTTGTGGCATGGCGACAACTGTTTCTGGAATTAACCTGGACAGAGAAGCAGATAGTGAAGGGGGGTGCCCAAGGGTGGCTTTAGGCCTGAGCGGTGGGTCTGGGACAGCAGCAAAGACAGGCTATCCTGGGGGGGGGGGGCGTGCCCACCCTGCCCCTCGGATGTTTCTCGGTGAGAGACAACACACTGGCATTCTTCCAGCTCACGAAGGCCTGGGAAAGCACCCGGCCACTGACACTGACCACAGACCCAAGAACAAGGCCTCCAGCACCCCTGTGCCTACAGGAGGCCACGCTCAGTTTAGTGATGCGGGTGCCTGCCGGGCCCTGGAGCCTCCTGGCCCAACCACTCAAGTCAGGGACCTGGAGACCAAGTGCCTCATGCAGGCATGCCTGGACCTCCCGAACTTGGCTAACTCACCCCTACCGTGCCTGGTCCACAATGGGGTGGGAGCCCGAGAGCCCTGCCCTGGCCCCATCTCTTCTAGAAGTGAAGACTTCTCCCCACCTTCATGCTGAACCCTGAGGACTGTCCCCAAAGCCACTTCCTGGGAATAGGAGGGGGCTTGGCTCTTCAGTGGGGGCCCAGGGGTGGGACCATACCTGGGTGCGCAGCTGGACTTCAGGATTCTATACTACAGCAAGTCCTAACTGGGGGTAAAATCCTTCCCAGAGCTAGGCCAAAGCAGAGAGCCAGCCTAGCCCCTGGGCTTCAGGGTGCTACAGGCCCGCAAGTCCCCTGGGAGAAAAGACCTCCGCCTCACACCAGAAGCCTGCACACCCCGACAGAGCCAAAGCCCCCGCGAGCAAGGCAGCGATCACAAGGACGAGGGAGCTGCGGAGAAAGAGCGTGAGCCAGCACCCCAGCGCCCCACCTCTGAACGGACAGAGATCCACCCAGCAGGCAGAACTCCGGAAAGCGAAGAAGGTGCGAAGCATCTATTTTATGCAATTCTAGTACAGCGAAAAATGCCCCCTCCAAGAGCACCCGTCCTTCTTATGGGCATGGTGCTTTTGTCTAGAATTAGACCCCTTCTTAGCTGCTGACTGTGGGGAAAGACAGAACAGCTTTCACTCTGGGCCTCTCCGAGTTTTCTCACTTTGAGTGGTCATTTGTTTTGAAGCCACACACAGCTGCGCTCAGAGCTTACACCTGGCCCTGCACTCCGGGATCGCTCCTGATGGGTTTGGGGGGGCCCAGATGGGGTGCTGGGGATCAAACACAGACTAGCAGCATGTAAGATAAGGGCCTGCTCACTGTACTATTGCTCCTGTATGAGACATTTTTTAATGAGTCTCAAAGATTATGTGGAAAGGAAGATGAAGGGCCATTTTCGCTTTCTTTCTACCTTACCTTACTTAAGAAAATTAGTAAAAACTGTGCATGAACAAGGGGGCGAGCGCTCAGTGGGCTGAAGGCACATTCTCTGCACGCAGACCCTGTGCCATTTGCAGCAACACCAGGAGCCACCTCTGAGCACGAAACCAAGAAGTACTCCTGAGCACCACTGTGACTGATGCAAAAAAAAAAAAAAATCAAATAAATGTAAAGGTTCTCTGGGGCCACCCACAGGACACATCAACTTCCCAACCCCTACTTCTCACTAATGACCCCCCTTTTTAGTCTTTGGGGGCCACACCCAGCAGTGTTCAGGGCTAACTCCTTGCTCTGTGCTCAGAGATCACTGCTGGTGGGGCTCAAGGACCATACGGGGTACTGAGGATCAAACCCAGGCCAGCCACGTGTAAGGCAAGCACCCTGCCTGCTGTCCCACTGCTCCAGTCCTCACCAGCCCTTTTTCCCTTCAAGGACAAGAGCACAGAAAAGGCAAACACAAGGATCACAGTGAACTGTAGATTAGTTTTGTCTTTCTGACTTGGGGCCACACCTGGCTGTGCTCAGAGATCACTGCTGGTGGGGCTTGAAGAGACCTTGCAGTGGTGCCAGGGCACCTGGGGCAGCTATCCCACGTGCGGTGTATCTAACTGGCCCCAAACTACAGACTCCTAAAATCTCGCAGGAGGCCCATGGTCGTGCCCTGGAGTCAGTCTCTGTGGCAGGGAGAGGTCAGGAATCGGCCACAGCTTCGGCTTCAGAACAAGAGCCAGCCAGCCAGCCAGCCAGCCAGCCTGCCCACCACTTTTAACAGAGGTGGGAAGTGCCCTGTGCCCTCTAGGGGCAGAACCAGATGCCCCGGACTTCCTGGAAAGCTGCAGAGCAATGAAGACACAAGGTCAGAGGCTGAGCATCAGACCAGGAGGACCAATAAGCACTCCACGGCGCAGGGGGCATGGGCTGAAAGCAGGGCACAGAAAAGAGGTACAAAGGAACCAGACCCGGGGCTGGAGCAATAGCACAGCGGGTAGGGTGTTTGCCTTGCATGCGGGCGACCCGGGTTCGATTCCCAGCATCTCATATGGTCCACCGAGCACCGCCAGGAGTAATTCCTTAGCACGTGAACCAGGAGTAACCCCTGCACATTGCTGGGCGTGACCCAAAAAGAAAAACAAAACAAAGGAACCAGACCTCCGCTCCACAAAGGAGAAGCTGTCTGTGCTGGCAGGGGGCAGGTGTGGGTCGACTCTCCCTCCCCACACAGCCTGGACACCCGAAGTCTGGCTCCAGGACATTGGCAGCTGCATGTCCTGGGTGCCCAAACATTCTGCCAGGGAGGTTGCCACTTTTCTTCTCACATCTTCTCCTGCTTCTCCCCATGCAGGAACCAGCAGTGTCCCACACCTGCCTCTTCTGACGGCCTAGGGACACACACTGTCCCCCATCACCCGCTCCTCTCGCCTTCATTCTTCCATCCCCAAGAGCCTCCCAGGGCCTGGGAGAGGCCCTGGGGTGAAGCACGGCCCAGCATGTGTGAGATGGGAGTTCAAACCCGGCACCACACACCGACTTTTTAGGGGACCACCAATGCCCCCTGCCCCATGCTGGCCCCAGCAACAGACCTATTAAGTACAGATAAACAGAAATGTGGCCTGAAGAATCCCGACACTGAATGCACACTGCAAAGCCCCAGGGGCCCCAGCCTCCCTCTGTTCCTCTTCCAAGAGGCAGCCTCCACCTGTAGAACCCCTCATCTTCTAGGGCCTAGAACATGCCCGGCCGGGACACCTGGGAAGTCGCAGAATACAGAGAAATCTTTTTGGTTTGTTTTTGGAGAGGGAGGGGTCACACCCAGGGCGCTGAGGGTTCACTCCTGGCAGGGCTCTGGGGACCATCTGGGGTGACGGGTATTGAACCCGGCTGGCGGCAGAGCGAACAACACCCTACCTGTTGTCCTATCCCTTGTGCCCGGGGCAGGAATTCTGAATCCTTTCTTTTCCTTTTTTTTTTTTTTTTTTGGCTTTTTGGGTCACACTGGGCCATGGTCAGGGGTTACTCCTGGCAGGGCGCGGGAGACCATACGTTATGCCAGGGATCGAACCCGGGTTGGCCATGCGCAAGGCAAACGCCCCACTGGCTGTACTACCACTCTGGCCGCTCTCCTGTTTTCTTTGAAGGCCAGCATGAAACGAGCGAGAGGCGACCTGTGTCCGCTCCCCAGCAGCCCTCCGGGACGGAGACCCCTGGAGGGGACCAAGAGTGGAGACCCGACCCAAGTCAGCCCCGCCGGGAGCCAAAGGCCTCCGGTGCTGGGGTGCCCAGTGGCGTCAAGGGCGGGGCGCGAGTCCTGGAACCCGAGAGCGCGGTTCAAAGCACCAGGGCCTGGGGCTGGGCTGCTGCTCTGCCAGGAGGCTCCAGCCTGGCCGGGAGAGTCTGATCCGGAGGCGAAAGCGATCCCGAGAGCGGCTGTCAGCAGCCCACCCCCCCTGCGAGCGGAGACCACACCCGGGCAGGACGAGGGTCGGAGGGGAGAGGTCAACGCCGAGCTCCAGGCGGGGCGAGGTCACAGGGCGTGGCCCCCCAACAAACCCGGTCGTTTCGCAGGCGGGCGGCGCGCACACCCACGCGGGGGCTTTCCCCCAGGCCCGCGGCCGAGCCGGAAGTGAGGGGAAGACCCCGGAGCGGCCCGGCCCCCCACCCCATCCCCCGGCCCCGGCCCCGGCCCCGCACCTTCAGGCTGCACGCCGCCTCCTCCCCCAGGGACGCCATCGCTTCCTCCGGGCAGCGGCGCGGGGGGCCCGCGGGCGACGGGAAGCCCCGCGGGGTCCGAGTCACGCGGCCGCGGGGGGACGACGAGGACGAGTCGCGAGGGCGCGAGGAGCCCCGGGGCCGCCTGGGCGCGCCGGCCGCATCGCCGCCTCCCGGGGCGGCCTTGGGGCGCTTGGGGCTGCGGGCGCCGGCGGGGCTCAGGGCGGCGGCGGCCTCATGCCCGGGCTCCCGGGGGCAGCTGCGCTTGCGGGGGCCCGCGGCCGACGTGCTGCTCCGGTGCTCGCGGACCTGGCGCCGCTCCGACGCCATGGGCACCTGCGGCGGGAGAGGCGCGCGTGAGGCCCGGGTCCCGCCGCCCCGCCGCCCCCGCCGCCCCGCCGCCCCGGCCGGGGCGCGCCACTGACCTTCGCCCTCGCCGCTGCCCATCACACTCGCGCTCCCGCGGCGGCCCGGCGCGGCATCGGCTCCGGGCTCGCGGGCGCCCGTCGGGGCTCCGGGCTCCGGGCTCCGGTCCGGGCTCGCGGGAGACGTCGACGCGCCGCTCGGCCCCACAAAGCCCCGCGGCGCCGCCCGCCGAGCCCCAGGGCCGGGCAGGGCCGCCCCGCTCCGCCGCCTCACGCCCCGCCGCCGCCGCGGAGCGCGCCCGGGCGCGGTCCCCGTCGGTGCCGGCCCGGCCGCCGCCGCGCCCACGAGCAGCCTCGCCCAGCCGCGCGGCCCCGGCCCGGCCTCGCCGGCAGCTCCCGCACCGGCCTCCGCAGCGCCCGCCCGCCGGAACGAGCCCAGGGCCGCGGCCGACAGCGGCAGGGGCGGGACCCGCGCCCAGCAACGGCACCCATTGCTCGGATCGGCGCGGGGCGGGACTCCCGGCAAGACGGGGCTCGCCGGTTGGCCGGGAGCGAGGGAGGCGGGACCCGCCGACTTACGGAGTGCTCCCGTTGGTCGGCCGCCGCGCGGGGCGGGGCCACCGCCGTGGGGCGGAAGAGGTCGCGGCTCCGCCGGCCGCGCCCTCCCGCCGCTAGGGGGCGTCCGCGGTCCCCGGGCAGAGGGGCGGCGTCGCGGTCCCCGCCCCTCGAGGGGGTTTCGGGCCCCGGCTCGGTCCCTACCGGGACCCGGCCGGCTCGCGGGTCGCTTCCCGCAGTTTCCGGCGCGGGGCCGCGTGCAGGAGCTCCGCCGTCGTTGAAGACCTCCTGGGCCGACCTTTGATTTCTGCTGGGTTTGGGGTTTTGCTGGGTTTTTTGTTTTTCTTTTTCCTTTGGTTTTGGGGCCCCACCCGGCGATGCTCAGGGCTCGCTCGATCCTGGCCCTGCACGCAGGAATCACTCCGGGCAGGGCTTGGGGGACCCTGAGGTCCAACCCTCGTGGCCTGTGGCTGGATCTCACAGATGGGTTTGATTCAGGAATCGCTCCCGGCGGGCGTGGGGGCTCGAACCCGAGTCAGCTGCGTGGCAGGCGAGCGCCCTCCCCGCGGCACTCCCTCTCCAGACCCTTTTTTAATTTTAAAATCATTGAGGCGGGACTTTTTTTTTTTTTCCCATGTTTTGCACTGTCAAAACTTGTTTCTGTTCACTGGTTCATTTCCTTTCCTCATTTTAATAATTCTTTTATTTGCACATGTTTTTAAATAGTAAGGACAGTGTCGCGGCTTGCAAATATTTGTCTAAGTCTTAACCCTCCTTGCCTTTTGACTCTGAGGAGCTCTGCTTTTTTTTTTTTATTTTTCCCCTTTGAGTTTAATTACAATTCTGTCACTTTCTTCTTTTGTGTTTTTGGATTTGGGGCCACACCTGGCAATGCTCAGGGGTTACTCCTGACTGCACTGAGGAATTACGCCTGGGGTGCTTCCGGGGACCATATGGGATGTCGGGGATCCTGGCAAGCGCCCCACCCACTGTACTGTCTCTCTGGCCCAGTTCTGCCACTTTCCGGGGGCGTCACCTGGTTTCTCTGAGCCAGTTCCTGATGGGTAAATGAGGCTGTGCGATCACTGTGGGTTCCATGTACTCATCCGGACCTGAAAGTGTCTGCTTAAGTGGGGCAGCCGTGGTAGCCCCTGATACAGGCATTTCTTATTCTCCCCAAAGGTCAGAGGTACCCCGACATATATTTTTTGCTTTACCAGGTCTTCTCAAAAAAAAAGAAAAAAAAAAGAGATCAGTCATTGTCCCTCTGGAAATCTACTTTTTTGAAGTGAACAAGCAGCTGGCTTAGCGCCCTGGCCTGCAGGCAGTCTCTCCCACCTTAATAAAGATGAAGAGACTGAGGATGTCAGTGAGTCTGGACCCTGGGATTATCTGCCAACCTTTTGTTTTTGTTTGGGGGACCACACCCAGTGATGCTCAGGGTTTACTCCTGGCTCTGTGCTCAGGGATCACTGCTGGCAGCTTGGGGGACCTTATGTGGTGCTAGGGATTGAACTTGGGTCCAATACCTGCACGTCAAGCATCCTCTCCGCTGTGCTATCACTCTGGCCCTTACTAGCCAACCTTTCCCGTTGCAGGTCCAACTCCTCGGCCTCTCCCAGAGGGCCCCTGCCCCAGATGTGGGCACCTTCTCCAAACAAATCCACACAGACAGAGAATCCATTGCCAGAGAACCACTGGGCTTGACCCCTTTATTCTATCTCACAAGATGAGATGCATCTGCACAGGTTGTCCAATGGAGGGAGTGTGAGGGCGGCAGTCTCTGGACACGGGACACGGGTCAGCCTACTGGTCTTCCAGAAACTCACCCAGTGCTTGAGCCCAAGACTCCAGCAGTCTCTTTACTGAGCAGGGCTTTTCCGGGGGCTTCTGGAGAGCGAGGGGGCAGGGGTTTCTGGAGAGGAGGGGGCAGCTTCCCTTCCAGGAAGCTCCAGTTCCAGAAACACAGCAGTTCACTCATTCACAGCGGCATCGGACGGGAGGATCTCGGACCCTGGCGTCTTCATCCAGGCAGAAATGATCCACAGTGTCAGATAAAAGCCCCACTGGTGGGGTGACCGGGTAGGGGGTGCCTGTGGTTCTCAGCTGCCCCCCTTAAGAAGGTGTGGGGTCCCGCAGCTGGCAGAGAAGAGTCAGGAGCTGCACCGAGACCCCTGGAGGCCTCCAGGTTACATCAACTGCTGGAACTGGTCCTAGAGGTGGGCCCCGCCGTGTGGGACTCCAAGCACTGAGCCTAGAAGGGGGGTGTGGGCCGGGGGTCCCTGCTCCTCTGTGAGCCCACGAGGGGAACCAAGGTTTCTCGCCCTCCTGGGAAGGTGGCACAGGACTGTGCTGTCGCATGCTCCCAGGGGAAAGCGTGGCTCCGCCACAGTGGGGGGGGGGGGGGGGTAGGCGGGATGCCCAGGGCCGGGGCCACACTCAGAACCCAAACAGCTCGCTACTGTCCAGCTTGTCCTCCTTGTACAGCACAATGTCCTCCATCAGCTTCCTTTTGGCATCATTGATCTCAATTTTCCACGAAGTTGCTGTCAAGGAAAAGTGCGGGAAAAAAAAAGAAAAAGAGAGGGGACATTTGAATGAAAAGCCACCTGGACACGGCCTAATTCCCATTGGCCTAATCCTGGGACAGGCAGGCTGGCTACAAGCTCAAACTGCCCGCGGGGTCCAAAATCAGGCTGGAGCGATAGCACAGTGGGTAGAGTGTTTGCCTTGCACACAGCCGACCCGGGTTCAATTCCCAGCATCCCATATGGTCCCCTGAGCACTGCCAGGGGTGATTCCTGAGTACAGAGCCAGGAGTAACCCCTGTGCATCGCTGGGTGTGACCCAAAAAGAAAAAATAAAAAAAACAGAATTAGGCTGTGTGGAAGAGCCCCCACCCCACCCAGCGGCTGCCCAGCCCCCACCTCAGGCAAGGGGAGGAATGGTGGGCATGTGGCCAATTCCTGACTTGGCACCGTTTGTTTCGGGAGGAAGCCTGGTAGGCCTGCTGGCGGAGCACTGTGCGGGTCCTCAGGCCCTGGCAGGTCCCTAAGGGTCACAGAGCACCTGAGGGGCTGGAAGTGAGAGCTGGGCTGGTGGGGGGGGGGGGGGTCTGTCTGCTCAGTCAGCGCTGAGTCAGTAAAGCCAGGAGCAGGGAGATGAGGACCAAGGCAGGTTGGACACGTGACCCCCACAGCTTACCCTCTGGGCATGTGGACCCCACAGCTTACCCTCCTGGGTGCAGCTGGGGCTGGCCAGAGCCCCAGAGGAGGAGGACGAGCCAGCCCCAGCTGGGCCGCAGGTCTGCATGGCGCCCGGCCAGGCACAGGCAGCATTCAGGGGCGACACTTCCACGTCATCCGTTTCCTCGGGAGTGTTTGGGGCGGAACTGCTGTCCCGGGAGAGCCCGCCACACGGTGTGGACACCTCCTGCCCTCGGAGTCGCTCCTCCACGGTGTCCACGAGGCCACGGGCCTGGGAAAGGACAAGGACGTCTTCACTGGGGGCCCCTCCTGGCACAGGGCCACACAGGCCCACCACACGCAAACGGGGAAGCCGAAGAGAACAAGCGTCTGCCGGAGAGCACGACTCTCAGAGGCCCCTCATCCAGTGAAACACAGTGCCAGAAGTGCAGGGGCTGGCAGGAGCACGGGAAGGCGCCTGGCTTGCACGTGGCTGACCCGGATTCAATCCCCGGCACCTCATACAGTCCCCCAAGCCCTGCCAGGAGTGATCCTGACTGGGCACAGAGGCCGGAATAAGCCCTGAGCACAGCTGGGTGTGGTCCAAAACAAACCACCCCTCCCCCCAAAAAAAAATTACTGGGGCTGGAGCGATAGTACAGTGAGGAAGGCATTTGCCTTGTATGCGGCCGACCCAGGTTTGATTCTCAGCAACCTACATGGTTCCCCAGCACCGCCAAGAGTCATTCCTGAGTGCAGAGTCAGGAGTGACCCCTGTGCATTGTTGGGTGTGACCCCAAAAGAAAACAAAAATTTACTACTGTGAGAAATTCCAGTGAGTGTCGGCTAGAGTTCGGGAGGAGGGCGGCAGTACCACGCCAACTCCAGCCACCGCAGGAATCGCGAGACAGGCTCAGGAGCCCTCTGTGCTGGCCAGCTGGAAGTCACTCCAGCCAGAAACCCGACCAACAGCATAGGGACAGCCACACCAACCTCTGGCACCAGGAGACTGCCTCAGCCCCAGGGGTGTGCCTGGCCCACAGCCCGACTGCGTCAGTCAGGGTTACACTCTGGACCCCACACCCTCAGCCCCCCAGCTCAGCAGGTGGGCCCCCAGCCTGGACAGCCAATCAGGCTCTCTCCAAGAAGACAGGGGTGGCACCAGATGGGCAAGGGGGTGAGAACCAGATGTGGGACGAACCCACCAGCTCCCCAAGAGCAGGGCAGGAAAGAGCCGGAGGACAGAGGGGGGCAGGAGGAGGGACAGAGGCCCATCAACATGCCGGGTGGCCCCAGGGTCCCAGACTTTATCCAGGCTCCTGACCTTCCCCTTCCCTGTCCTGCTGTCCTGCCCCCCAGCCTCTGAAGTCACGTGCAGGGCGAGCGGTCCCTGATCCCTTCCGGCCGGCCCAGGCGCACCTCGGCCAGACTGGGGTTCTTCCTGTGCAGACAGAGGCAGGCGGCCAGGGCCAGGGCCAGTGCACAGTCCTCGGGCAGCCGCCCAGCCCTGCTGTCCAGGTGCCGCAGACACAACTCCTGGGCCAGTGCCTTCTCCGCGTCCGACTTCCTGCGGGAGCACCTCGAGGCGCTGCTGCTGTCGGGGGTCTCACGGAGAAGCAGATCCTTCTGCGGGAGAAACGGGAAGATAGTGGGGGAGCTGCCGGGATGGGGACCCCCGCCACCAGGACCTGAGCCCACCTGACTGTAGCAAGGCGGGGTGAGGACACCAACTAGAAACCCCGAGACACTCCATCTCCCTGCACCCCGGGGACCCCCTGCACCTCACTGCTCCGGCCAGAACATGGACTTGAAGGACCGAGCCGAGCACTCAGCGCCGCCACACGGGCAGCCGAGCCGGCTGCAGGACAGACCCCATGGCCGCTGGGGGCAGGAGCAGAGCCCGTGGCCCGGGAAGCAACATCCTCACGCACGCCAGGAATGCAGCATTTTATGGTGAAAGATTCTTGTTTTGGGCCACAGCTGGCAGTGCCCAGTGGCTTGGGGGACCGGAAGGGGGACCGGAGATCGAACCCGGTCGGCCATGTGCCAGACAAGTGCCCAGCCCACTGTACGATGCCCGACACCGTAAAGGAGTCTGAGTAGGTGCACGCAAGAGGGGCGCTGCCTTATCAATGATGCTGCAACTGTGAACATTCTAATCCCCAACCTGGGTCTGGAGAGACAGGACGGCAGGGAGGGCAGGGAACTTGCCATGCATGCAGCTGATCGGGGTTTGATCATATGGTCCCCTGAGCCCCACTAGGAGTGTTCCCTGAGCACCACTAGGTGTGATCCAAAGGCAAACATAACAAAAGTAGTTGTGTTTCGAATAGCTAAAGCAATTCTTGGGAAAAAGAAAATGGGAGGAATCAACCTCCCTAACTTCAAAGTGTACTACAAAGCAGTAAAAATTAAAACAGCATGGTACTGGAACAAAGGCAGAACTGCAGACCAATGGAACAGGGTTGAATACACTGACATCTCCCCTCAATCATATGATCATCCAATCTTTGATAAAGGTGCAAGTAATGTGAAGTGGAGTAAGGAAAGCCTCTTTAACAAATTGTGCTGGCATCACTGGACGGCTACATGCAAAAAAATAGGCTCAGAACTCTGCCTAACACCATGTACAAAAGTAAGATCAAAATGGATTAAAGACCTCAACATCAGACCAGAAACCATAAGGTACATTGAAGATAAAGTTGGCAAAACCCTCCATGACATTGAAGCTAATGGTATCTTCAAAGATGCCACGCCACTGGCCGAGCAAGTGAAAACAGAGATAGATAAATGGGACTATCTTAAACTAAGAAGCTTCTGCACCTCCAAAGAAACAGTGACCAAAATACAAAGACAGTCTACAGAATGGGAAAGTATATTCGCCGAATACACATCTGACAAGGGGTTGATATCCAGGATATACAAAATACTGGTTGAACTCCACAAGAAGAAAACATCCAACCCCATCCAAAAATGGGGCAATGAAATGAACAGAAACTTTCTCCGAGAAGAAATCCGAATGGCAAAAAAGCGCATGAGAAAATGCTCTACATCATTAATCATCAGGGAGATGCAGATCAAAACCACAATGAGATACCATCTCACACCTAAGAGACTGGCCCACATTCAAAAGAACAAAAGCAACCGATGCTGGTGTGGATGTGGCGAGAAAGGGACACTCCTTCACTGTTGGTGGGAATGTCCACTGGTTCAGCCCTTCTGGACAACAGTATGGACGATTCTCAAAAAATTAGAAATTGAGCTCCCATTTGACCCAGCAATACCACTCCTGGGAATATATCCCAGAGAGGCAAAAATGTATAGTCGAAGTGACATCTGCACTTGTTTGTTCATTGCAGCACTCTTTACAATAGCCAGAAACTGGAAGAAACCTGAATGCCCATGAACAGATGACTGGTTAAAGAAACTTTGGTACATCTACACAATGGAGTACTATGTAGCTGTTAGAAAAGATGAAGTCATGAAATTTACATACAAGTGGTACAATATGGAAAGTATCATGCTAAGCGAAATGAGTCAGAAAGAGAGGGATAGACATAGAAAGATTGCATTCATCTGGGGGATATAAAGTAACAAAGTATGAGATTAATACCCAAGAATAGCTGAGATCAGCACCAGGAGGATTACTCCATAACTTAGAGGCCAGCCGGGTATCCTAGAGGAAAGGGCAGTTCAGATAGAGAAGGGAACACCAAATAAAGGATGTTTGGAGGATCCTTCCAGGAGGGGAGATGCATGTCGAAAGGAGACTATGGACTGAACATGTTTGCCACTCAATGCCTCTTTTGCAGACCACAACACCCAAACGGAGAGAGAGAACACAGGGGATTGCCCTGCCACAGAGACAGGGGGGGTGGGGGGATGGGGGTGGGGGGATATTATCCATGGTGGTGGAAAATGGGCACTGGTGGAGGGATGGGTATCTGATCATTGTATAATTGAAACCCAAGCACAAAAAATTGTAAATCTAGAACTGTAAAAAATAAAATAAAATAAAGGGAAAAAATTAAAATTAAAAAAAAAAGTAGTTGTGTTTGTGCACTGTTTCATAACATAACCTAGAAAGCATGAGCTGGGGGCGGGGAGACATTCAACGGGCCAAGTACTAAATGAAATGAGTCAGAAAGAGAGGGACAGATATAAAAGGACTGCACTCATTTGTGGAGTACAAAATAACATAACACGAGACTGACACCCAAGGACAGTAGATAGAGGGAGATTGCTCCGTAGCTGGAAGCCTGCCTCCGGAGCGGAGGGGAGAAGGCAGCTGGAATAGAGAAGGGATCGCTAAGAAAATGATGGTTGGAGGAACCGGATGGGATGGGAGATGTGTGCTGAATCGGTTGGGATGTGTTGGGAATCGCTCGGGATGGGAGATTTGTGCTGAAAGTAGATAAAGGAACAAGCATGATAACCTCTCAGTATCTGCATCGCAAACCATAATGCCCAAAAGTAGAGAGAGAGTATGGGGAATATTGTCTGCCATGGAGGCGGGGGGAGGGTGGGAAAGGGGGGCTATACCGGGGATACTGGTGGTGGGGCATGTGCACTGATGGAGGGATGGGTGTTTGATCATTGTGTGATTGTGACTCAAACATGAAAGCATGGGGCTGGAGCAACAGCACAGCGGGTAGGGCGTTTGTCTTACACGCAGCCGACCCAGGTTCGATTCCCAGCATCCCATATGGTCCCCCGAGCACCGCCAGGAGTAATTCCTGAGTGCATGAACCAGGAGTAACTCCTGTGCATCGCCGGGTGTGACCCAAAAAGAAAAAAAAATGAAAGCTTGTAACTATATCTCACGGTGATTCAATAAAATAAAGAATTAAAACAACAACAACAAAAACCCAAAGGGCCAAGTACATGCTTTGTCTGTAGGAGGCTTTGTCTGGGCTTGATCCTCTGAGCACCTCGCCAGCAGCAGCCCAGGAGCACTGCCGGGCGTGATCCAAAAACAAACGAACCAAAAAGAGGAAACGTGAATTTGAGCTATTCCTAGAGGCTGTGACCGGAGCTCAGCGGACAAGCACATGTGGTCATGCCTCAATGCCCAGCGCACACACACCCAGATAGGCTAGGCGAGGCAGGCCACAGAAGACACAGCAGCTAAGTGATAGCACATTTCTACATGGATGTTTAGCTATATCAGTAAATATGTCACATAATACATTTCATAGAACGCGGCATATGTTTCTGTCTATAAACATATATGAAATACATACATTGATTAAAATATACTGCTGGAATGTTAGATTAGGATGTGAAATGCTTAGTTTCTGGGAAATGGCCCCATGGTGCGATTTTAGGGCTTGAGCATATGCTTTCAAGGGGCCCTGGGGCAAGAGAAGTAGTATACAGCAAGTAAGGTACTTGCCTTGCACGCAGCTGGCCCCGGTTCAATCTCCTGCACCCCTGAGTACTGCCAAGAGTAATCCCTAAGCACAGAGCTAGAAGTGAGGGGTCAAAGCAATAGTACAACGGAGAGGGCGTTTGCCTTGCACATGGTAGACCTGGGTTCGATCCCTGGCAGCCCATACTGAGTTCAGAGGCAGGAATAACCTCTGAGTATCACTGTGTGTGACCAGAAATGCAATAAAAAAGATAAGTAAGCCCTGAGAGTGCAGGCAGGTGTGGGCCCCAAAACAAAATTAAAAAAGTGGTAGCCAGAGAGACAGTACAGCGGGAAGGGCGCTTGCCTTGCACGAGGCTGACCTGGGTTCAATCCCTGGCATCCGATATGGTCCCCAAGCCCGGCTGGAAGTTCCAGGAGGAACCCCTGAGCACTGCTGGATATGACCCAAAAAGCAAAGAAAACACCGTCCTGTAGCACTGTCCTCCCGTTGTTCATCGATGTGCTCGAGTGGGCACCAGTAACGTCTCCGTTGTGAGACTTATTACTGTTTTTGGCATATCGAATACACCACGGGGAGCTTGCCTGGCTCGGCCGTGCGGGTGGGATACTCTCAGTAGCTTGCTGATCTCTCTGAGAGGGACAGAGGAATCGAACCCGGGTCGGCCGTGTACAAGGCAAACACCCTACCCGCTGTGCAATCGCTCCAGCCCGAAAGAAAAGAAATGATAAATGTGGTCCATTCCTATCCCCACACAACCCCCTGAGCACCAGCCCTTGAGTACCGCAGGGTGTGACCAAAAAAAAACAAACACGGGGGGGCCAGAGCAACAACCACAGGCAGGTGCTTGGGGTACAGGTGGCTGACCAGGTTCAATTCCCAGCACTACCTAAGGTCCCCTGGGCCTGTCAGGAGTGATCCCTGAGTGCAGAGCCAGGAGGAAGCCCTGAGTAGAGTCGAGTGTGGCCCCCAAGTCCCCCCCAAAAAAACCTCTGAAGGTATCTGAAGCATTCACGCTGATGGCCTCCTGTCACTTGCTTTACTCTGAGCTATCCCCAGCGGTGCTCAGGGAGCACTCCTGGCAGTGCGATTGAACCCAGGCCCCTACACACATAGCAGGTGGCCCAGCTCTCTGGCCAGTGTCCAGCCCCTGAATTTCGGCATCTATCTGCGGCATATTTGTATATTTCAATGTAAATTTCCATATTGCCCATTACCATACACAGCCTACTTTATGTAATATATGCTTATATGTTATGTATGTTACAACATGTTACATAGTATATATATAAAACGTCATATAAGATAATGTAATATATTATCTGCATCATTATCACTGAAGATATAATAACTATATAAAATATTTCTATACAAGTATGTCATGCATTTTATGCTAAAAGGCACATATATTCTATATAAACATATGCTTCACATAAGATGCAAAAGTCTGGTAAAGACCAATGCTTTTAAAATATAGTAAGATATCATACATAGATACATACATACATGCTCTTTTTTTTTTTGCTTTTTGGGTCACACCCGGCAATGCACAGGGGTTACTCCTGGCTCTGTGCTGCTCAGGGGACCATATGGGATGCTGGGAACTAACCCGGGTTGGCCGCGTGCAAGGCAAACGCCCTACCTGCTGTGCTATTGCTCCAGCCCCCCATACATGCTTTTAAGATATAGTAAAATATAGTATATATATATACATATATATACAATGCTTTTAAAATATAGTTTTGGGGTTTTTTTGCCGTTTGGTTCACACCCGGTAATGCACAGGGATTACTCCTGGCTCTTCACTCAGGAGTTACTCCTGGCGGTGCTCAGGGGACCATATGGGAATCGAACCCGGGTCGGTCGCGTGCAAGGCAAACGCCCTCCCCGCTGTGCTATCAGTCCAGCCCATAAAATATAGTTTTAGTACACAGTATACATATATAGATATACTTAAGTTCAAGAATACAAGTAGTTGGGCCAGAGCAATAGTACAGCAGCGAGGGCATTTATCTTGCACACAGACAACCTGGGTTCAATCCCGGCATCCCACAGGGTTCCCCAAACAATGCCAGGAGTAATTCCTGAGTGCAGAGCTAGGGGCAACCCCTGAGCATTGTCAGGTGTGGCCCAAAACAAAATAAAAAGAATCAAGCAGTAGAATCATCGACGCTCTGAGAATCACCCATAGAAAGGCCACAGGAGGCGCAACGCTGTCTCCGGGACACTCCTGTTTCCCTTTCTTTTTTGTTTTGTTTTTGTTTTTTGGCCACACCTGGCAGTGCTCAGGACTTAGTCCTGGCTCTGAGCTCTGGGCTCACTCCCGGGTTGGTGCTCGGGGACCACCTGTGGTGCTGGGGATCGAACCCGAGTCAGACCCCGAGCAAGACCAATGCCCTCCAGCCCATATTTTTCTTTCTACACTTTCCTATGTTGCTCAAATGTCCGCAAAGCTGCTCTGCATTTATGCATCAAACAAAAGCCGTGCCCAGAGGCAGCTCGGGCCTGGACAGGGGTCCTCAGCCGTGCTCCATGGCCTCCCCTGCAGCTAGTGGCCCCCACACACAGCCCCCTGCCACTGTGTGTAAGCTACTCACCAGGTACACGGGGTCCCGGGCCTCGTCCATCGCAGGCATGCCGGTGAGGACCTCAGCCAGTACCTGCGGGAACAGGAGGGCCCCATCAGCACAGCCCCGTGCTCACGCCCCTGCCCTGTGGCACGCCGCACTTACGATGCCACAGCTGAAGACGTCGGCGCGCTCGGAGGGCCGGCCCAGGCGGAGGGCACTCTCGGGCAGGTAGGCGGCCGAGGCCTGGAAGTGGCCGGTCTTCATCAGCGTGTAGCCAGACCTCTCGTGGACGGGAAACAGCTGCGTGGCCGGGTGGGCCAGCCTGGGCGTGAGGGCCCCGTCGAGCAGGACGTTGGAGCTGTGGGGAGTGGAGTGGGTGCGTTTCCTCGGGACAGTCCTGCACCCCACGGAGGCGCCACCGTCCTCACCTCACCCCAGCCCAGGTCGCCCAGCTCAGTCACACGGAGCCCACTCCGGCCTGCTGGGCTGACTCAGGTCCAAACGCCAGCCTGGGCCAGCCCAACCCCAGGACTCACGGAGCACCAGAACCAAGTAGGGCTCAGTGCTCTGCCCGCAGGGGAAGTACTCGGTACTCAATTCAGTACTCAAGACGTTGGCAGGCTGACGTTCTGCGATGCTGGGTACACACTCAGAGTCGAGGGGGGAGGGGGAGGCGGGGGGGGGGTTGAGCTAAGGCAGACAAGTGCTCAATGCAGAACCAACCCAGAGCAAGGGGGCGGGGGGTGGAGGGATTGTACGGGCGAAGGTGCTGCCCAGCAACACCAGGAGTGACCCGGAACACAGCCAGGAACCGCCCCTGAGAACTCCAGGTGTGGCCCCCAAACAAAAAATAAGAACAGACCACAGGAGCCGGGAGAAAGCTCAGGGGAAGATGTGCAGGGCCCCGGGGTCGGTTCCCGGAGCTGTGCCCACAGTGGCTCCATGCGAGAACAGGGGGACCCGCTGGCAGGACAGACAGACAGGGGCAGCCCCGGAGGGCAGAGCTGAGACGTCACAGAAACGCTGACAAGCAACGCGCCGGGAAGACAGTCACCCAGAACCAGGTCACCGGGTCAGGCTCCGAGTGGGCAAGGCCAGAGACAGAAGCAAGTGGCCGAGTGCTCCCCCCGGCCACTTCCCCGCTTCCGTCCAGGCAGTGACACAGGTGCTGGGCGGGGGAGGGGCTGCTACCTGCCGGGGACCCTCCCTCCGAGGGTGGGTTCTGAGGCCCCCAGGTCAGTTTGGGCAGATTTTCTGCTCCCAGCTTGTTGGCCCCAGCCAGGGATCACTTGCTGGGGGAGGGGTGCACAGACGCTGGGGACTGAGGTTCTGGGGGGCTGAAACCCTGGGGGGCCGAGACTCTGGGGGGCTGAGACACTGGGGGGCTGAGGGTCTGAGGCGCTGGAGTGCTAGAGGCCTGACATGATAGGGGGGCAGGGGGCTGAGACGCTGGGGGCTGGGGTACATACAGTGCCCACAGGGATTCTCCCTACCCTGAGCTGCGTCCAGGCATGCCCCGAGCAGCAGGGGGTGCCGACAGGGGCTCACTGTCCGGGTGGGCCGGGGGTGGGGGGTCTAGAGCACAGGCAGGGCCCGGCCCCACGGAAACACACAGGGGTGTGGGCGACAGTGCCCCAGCCCCGGAAGACGAACGTGGAGAGGCGGGGACTGTCTGGGCTGACGGCAGTCAGACGCCGCGTCACTGAGTTTCAGGGGACCCAGCCTGCCAGGGATGGGAGACCGAGGCAAGCAGAGGGGTCGGCAGGAGGAGTGGGGGAGCAGCGCCTCACTCACCTCCTGATGTTGCCGTGCACGATGCCCAGGCTGTGCAGGTGCGCCACGGCCCGGAGGAGGCCCGAGCAGATGCCAACTCGCTGGGGCCAGGGCAGGGGACTCGAGCCGGCCTGAGAGGGGGACAGCCTGGCTGCAGGAGTCTGGGCTCCAGAACCCCCCCACACACACTCACACATGCTCACATGCATACACACACACACACGTGCACGGGCACAATACACACGTGGGCACACACATGAATGTGCATACATACATGTGCATATATACCCATGGGCACACACGCTCACACAACACACACACGTGCTCACACAACACACGCACACGCTCTCTCTTACACACACATGCTCACATACACAAACACACACACACATGTGCACACAGGCCCCCTGCGTCAGTACCGGAGGGGACTTGAGCAGCTACAGGTCCCCCAAGCACATGTGCCTTGTGCTGGGCTCTCGGGGGGCTGTTCTGAGGCTCCTGGGGACCAGGGGGTGGCCGGAGTCCCCCACCCCCTGCCCCGGGAGCTGCTACCCTCCAGACTGACTCACCGCTTATTTCTGAGTCTGCCACGGTCCTGTGGCCTGGAACCTCGAGAGCCCAGTTTATTTGTTTTAAAAAATTAAACATTTCAAGTTTCGACTTTTAGTTTGGGGGCCACATCCTCTGCTGCTCAGGGATTTCGCCTGGCTTGGCACCCAGGGACTGGGTGCTGGGGCTTGGGAGGCCACAGAGGGCACCAGAGACCAAACCCGCACTGGCCACCCTCTCGGCCAATGCCCACCTGCTGACTATGGCCCTGAGCCATCTGCGGGATTTACTCGGGACATAGCCCCAGATGCGTCCACCCTGGGCAGCTTTGTCCGCGAAGGGCCTCCCAGGCTGGCCCTTCCCGCTGGACTCCGGTGCATGCCGCCCCTGGATTCCCGGGGCGGGGGGGCTGCCCGGAAACGGGGTCTCACCTCGCACTGCAGCCGGTCGTGCAGAGAGCCGTTCGTCATCCAGGGGTAGACGAGGCTGAAGGGCTTCCCGGGGCAGAAGCCGAGCAGCGGGAGGACGTTGGGGTGGCAGCACCTGCAGGGGGCAGCCACAGGGAGTCGGGCTGAGCCACAGCCCAGGGAGCCCCCCTGCCCACCTCCCCCACAGGCTCATGTTCCGGAACGGGCCTGGTGCAGTGGCAGGCGGCAGGTCTGTGCCCCCAGGACCAGGGGCTCCATCTCCTACTGGCTTCTGAGTCCCCTGCCCGTCCCCTCCCGACTCCCCTCTGCTCCCCTCCCCCCTTGCCCTACTCATCGCCCTTTGCCTTCTTCTAAACCCAGAGTCTCTCCAGATACCGAGCGTCTCGGCCTTTTTGCTTTGTTTTCTCTTGTTTTGGGGCCACACCCGGCGATGCTCAGGCGACCACTTGGGATGCCAAGGGCTGGACCCGGGTTGGCTGCGTGCCAGGCAAGTGCCCTCCCTGCCAGACTATCGCTCCAGCCCCAGCATCTCGGTTTGCAGGGCAAACTACACTGCTGGCCCGTCTCATGTCCGCGTGAAGCTTGGCACTGCTCATCCTGAGTGCCAGCCGAGTTCCAGGCTGACTGTCTGCTGGCATGGGACACAGCAGGGACACAGCGGGGACAAGCCAAGGGACAGAGCCTGCTCCCCCCCTCCACACTCACACGGGCATCCCTGCCAGCCACTTGCCCAGAACTGTAGCCCCAATGCCCAGTCACCTGATTCCTAGTCACAAATCACTCTCCAGGGACTGGAGTGATAGCACAGCGGGGAGGGCACTTGCCTTGCACATGGCCAGCCAGAGTTCGATCCCCAGCACCCCACACGGCCCCCGAGCACTACCAGGAGTGATTTCTGAGTGCAGAGCCAGGAGTGAGCCCTGAGCATCACCAGGTGTGGCCCGAAACAAAAATGAACCAACAACTCATTCCTGAAACATCCCTTTACTCCTGGCCAGGGCCAGGCCTGAGGAAATCTCCCAGAACGGACATCAGCACATCCGTCTAGTCACTTGGGCCCCACAGCCCGCGCCATCGATGCCACGTTTTCGTTCGCCCTCGGCTGTGACCCTGGGTCTCCACACACACTGTGCCCTCAGCCCCAGGCAGGGCCGTGGGGGTCTCCTGCATGCGCCCATCCCAGGAGGCCCCACCAAGAGGGTTTTCTGAAGCGTGCGTGCGTGCGCGTGCGCGCGCATGTGTGTGTGTGTGTGTGTGTATGTGGTGTGTGTGTGTGTGTGTGTGTGTGTGTGTGTGTGTGTGTGTGTGTACCACCATCATCGCAAAGCCACGAAGGAGGAAGAGGGAGGAAGGTAACAAAAATAGAGACTGAAAAAAAAATAAGTCAAACTTGACAAAAGGGAAGTGGGTGCAGGTCTGCCCCACTTGTCCCGTGCTTGGGGCGAGGGGTGTGTCTTCTCTTATTTTGGGCTTGGGGGCCTGGGGGAGCCCTGTGTGGTGCCGGGGCTCTAACCCAGGTGGACCGTGCGTGAGGCCAGCACCCTGCCCACTGGCCGTCTCTCCAGCCAGGGCTATGGTCTGAGGGCACATTCTCCCTCTAGACAATCCTCCGTCCCCAGAAAGGGTGGGAACAGGTCTCCTCGCTGGGCCTGGCCAAGGCCGGGCCCTCGGTCCCCTCCTCGAGGGGACTTACCAGCTCTGCTGCTTACCAGTAGGTGGTATAGAATGAGGCACGTGGCCAATTTGCCTGGAGGCAAGTGATCCCTAAGGACTGAGTGATCCCTGAGCACTGATCCAGGAGTAACCTGGAGCACTGAGCCGGGAGTAATCCCCGAGGGTTCTCTAGGAGATGCTTACCTGCGGCACACCTGCACCTCCGCCTCCAAGAGCCTAGTGACTGAGCTGGGACCTGCGCCGGGCACCTGGGGAGGGGGACAGTGAGATGGGGCCCGCCACGGCCCGCCCTGCCTCCCTCCCCAGGAGCGGGAGGCGCTGACCTCCTTCAGCCTCTTCAAGACCAGCGCTGTGCCGTGCCTCTGGCCCCTGTAGATGTCCGCGAAGGTGCCCCGGTGCAGCAGGTGGCGGGGGCTGAAGCTGTCTGTGGCCTGGCGCACGTCCTCCTCTTCCCAGAAGAGACCGTCCGCAGACTGGCCCCAGAGCACCTCCTGCTGGGGAGTGGGGGTGCTGCAAGGCTGGGAGTCCTGAGACGGGAGGGCCATGAGTGTGGGCCCCGCGTCTCACTGTCCTCACTCCCAGACAGTCCCCCGAGCCCGCTTCGAGTGATCCCTAGGCACTGGGCCAGAGGTGATGCCTGAGCACTGGCACAAGAGTAATCCCTGAGCACTGGGCCAGGAGTAATCCCTCAGCACAACTAGGTGTGGCCCAAAAACCAAAAAATCAATTAAATTAAAAAGGTAAATATGGGGCTGGAGCGATAGGACAGCAAGTAGGGCGTCTGCCTTGCATGCAATCGACCCGGGTTCGATTCCCAGCATCCCCGAGCACCGCCAGGAGTAATTCCTGAGTGCATGAGCCAGGAGAAACCCCTGAGTATTGCCAGGTGTGACCCAAAAAGCAATAAATAAATAAATAAATAAATATTAGTGTCCGGGCCCAGGGCCAGAGAAACAGCCCAGTGGGTAGGGTGTTGCCTCGGATATGGTTGACCTGGGTTTGACCCCTGATGCCCCAAAGGGTTCCCAGGAGTGACCCCTGAGCACAGAGCCAGGAGTAAGCTCTGAGCACCACAGGGTGTGGCGCCAAAACAGACAAACCAAAGACCCCTCCCCAACACTTCCCAGAGGCGCTGCCCCCACCCAGCCTCAGGGGGTCTCCCCTCCCCGCCGCAGGGAACCAGCCCATGAGGGTTACCTTTGAATCCAGGCTGGGGGGCTTTAGGCTCAGGGGACACTCTGCAGCATCGGGGATGCTGGCCGCGGGGGCCACGGGCCCTGGAAAGGAAGGACGGACCCGGGTCAGGCCAGGCTGCCTTAGGAGGTGGGGTCAGGCTGCCCCCCACCCCCAAGCACCTCCAACTGCCCCAAAGGACCACAGGCACCTGGCCTGACCCCAGCATCCCCACTGCCCTGGGTCTCCCCAAAGCCCACCCAGGCCGGGGGTGGCCACCCTCAAACTCCACTGCAGGTGCAGAGCAAAGGGACCTTGCAGCGGTACTATGGTTCCAGCCCTTGTTTTTGGTTTTTTTTTTTTTCTTTTGGTTAAGTACTTTTCTTTGGTGGGGATTGGTTCCTGTACTCCTGGCTCTGCACTCAGGTATTACTCCTGTCGGTGCTCGGGGGACCATATGGGATGCTGGAATTGAACCCGGGTCAACTGCTTGCAAGGCAAACACCCTACCCATTGTGCTATCAATCCAGCCCCGGCCCCTTTTTCTTTAAGCTACAAGAAATAAACTTGGGCTGGAGCGACAGTTAAGCAGGGAGGGCATTTGCCTTGCATGCAGCCGACCCGGGTTCGATTCCCAGTGTTGGAGTACACGGAGCTTAGGTTTATCGGAATCGCACTCATCACAGTGCTCCCGAGCCACTCCCATTACTTTGTCTGCTTGTAACCACTTCTATGCTCTCTTCCCCAACCAATTTGTAAGGTCTCATCCTTCTTAGACACTGAAGCTGTACTGTAAGTTAATATTGCCTTTCTCCTCTCCTTATGTCTTTTGAGCAGTTTACCTTAATGCAATGTCCTTTTGTATAGATACAGGAAGACAATTAATGTGCTCCGTAACTTAGGAATTGATTGGCTTTGAATGTTATTCACTCCTGGGCATCTGCCTTCTCAATTTAAGCCTCAGTTGCCCTCACTTCCTAGCATCCCAAGGGCAGGGTCCCGACGTGGGACTGGATGGAACCAGGGCAAGCCGGTAAGTTATGTGCTACCCTGGCATCGCGATGGGCCAGGCAAGGTGCCACGATTCTTAACTATTAGTTAGGAGTTTGATCATAGGCAAATGCTGTCATGATCCAAAAGTAACGACAAGACTAGGGCCCTGCTGCTAGGAATAGGAAAGATATCTGGCCTGAGCACTGCAGTCTGAGATGGAGATGGCCGTAGGAGAGCAATTCTATAAGCTCAAAGTATTTCTTACTGTGTCCATACGAAATGATTAATATTATGTATGCTTATATGTTGGTTGGACAAGGAGAGGAGAAACACGTTCTAGAAGCAGTTTTCTGTGTGTCCTGACTAGCTTGGATGAGACTGCTTTTTTGGAGATGTAGATTCCAAGCTCTAGCAGACTGGTCTTTGTTGTGCTAATCTAAGTGCTTGTAGCTTGTGAAAAGGTGAGGCCAGGATTACTGGCCTGCGGATGTAAGGAAACAATGTATGTTTGCCGCCTCAGTGTTCTTTCTGTAACTCCTTTTGATGACATCATTATATTGCGCCCTTTAGAGGTGCTATGATCTATATAAGGGAGATTTCAGGGCTCTCTGGGGGGACACGTGCATCAGAGAACCTGGGAAGATGGGGCTGAGGACAGAAGCTGGGAGAACAAAGGCGCACGTGCTCGAGGATTCCTGAGGCCTCCATGACATACATCTCTTCCATGTAATAAACGACTACTAAGACCAACTAGCTTGGCCTCGTTTCCTTCCTTCACCTGACCATCGCCATCGACCTCCCTGGAGTGGGGAAACGGCAAGACCGCCGGCCTTTTTATTTTTTGTGTGTTTATACAACTGGCGTCCCTGGGCCGGCACGAGCCTCCAACCGGTGCACAACTAAAGGTAAGAACAGCGTTCGGTACACCCCCACTCTAGAAAATTTTAGTGGGAGAACTTAGATTTTGTGGTGCGGTGAATTAAACTGCTAGCTGTACTCCTCCACTAAGATGGGACATAAACAGAGTCGCGTGAATTCCTCTAAAAATTCTTCACGCCAAACTGATCGTGGCCATTTTTTTATTGAATTGATTAAGCATTTTGCAAAGAGAACTGGACATAGTGTTTCTCGGGACCAACTCCGGTCCTGCCTAAAAACTGTTTACAAATTTCATCCCTGGTTTCCAGATAAGGGAACTTTGGCGCCTGAGGTTTGGGAAAAGGTTAAAGGTAATGTCTTCAGGGAATTTAAGGGAGGGGCTCAAATCCCTAAACAATTCTGGGTAACTTGGGAAATTGTCTATTCCGTCCTTAAGGCTTTGGAAGATAGCTTTGAGGAGGAGGATGTCAGATATACTATGGAAGGCTTTCCTCAGGAGCTAAACAGAGAGGATTTTAAGATTAAGGATGAAATTAAGAAAGTTCCCACTACTGAGAGAGCCTTACCCTCAGCTCCTCCCATACCCAAGCCTAGAAAGAAGCCTGATGCGCAATGCTTGACTGCTCCTGTACCCAAGCCCCGAAAGCAGCTCAAGGCGTTTCCAGTACAAACACGTTCTCAGAGCAAAAATCTCTCTGCCACTGATGAATTAACGTTCCCTACTGATATCAAGCCAGAGAGACCCCCAACTCCTCTGTACGACTCCACTTCTAGTGCGTCAGAGGAAAGTGATGCATATGATGAGCCAGCTACCACTTCCTCAGATTCTGAGTCTGAGAGCGGCTTGGTACAGGAGATTTCTCATAGGAGCCGCCGCTCCTCAGCCAAGAGGCCTCCAGGCCGCTCGGGACATGCTCCCGATAGAAGCTTACAGCTGAAACCTCTCGACCGTAAGTGGTCAATCCCACCCAGACCCAGCATCCCATATGGTCCCCTGAGCACCGCCAGGAATAATTCTTAAGTGCAGAGCCAGGAGCAACCCCTGTGCCCCTGTGCATCACCGGGTGTGACCCAAAAAGCAAAAAAAAAAAAAAAAAAAGAACTTGTGTTCCAAGCTGCTGGCCAATTGAGTTTCCGAGATCCAGTCTCGGGGGTGTCCTGAATGCCATCAGCTGACATTAATGCCGCTTACTTGGGGTTCCCTTCATCCACACAGGGAGGACACGGGTTCTGTTCTGAGGCCCACACTTCAGACAGAGCAGCTGAGGCCCAGAGAGGCTTTCCCTGCTACAAAGGGAAGCACAGGACTCAAACGCCGTCTCTCTGCCATGCCCCCGGCACACCAACCTGGCCTCAGAGCTGCAGGTGCCCAGTGGACATTGGGGTCCTCAACCCCCTCCAGTGAGGCTGGAGGCGTGGGGGTGGCAGGAGTGTCACCTGGGTCCCCCCCCCCCATGGTGTGGCTGACAGTCCTGGCCCCTGGCTGGACACGAGAGGCTGGACCTGGATCTGAGGGGGTGTGAGGGGCCTCGGGAGGCCACGGGGTGCCAGGGTCAGCACATGACCTTCCGATCACACAGCGCAGAGGCTCCATCCAACCTTGCCTTCCTGACCTCAGATCTGGAACAGGAGCTTCTGAGCCCTACCAGGAGTGACCCCTGAGCACTGAGCTGGGAGGCGCCCCCAAGCACCACTGGCTGTGGTTCAAAATAAAATTAAAAAGTCAAAACATATAATACTGGGGGCGCCACAGTGATAGGACAGCGGAGCAAGTGTTTGCCTTTTACACGGCCCACACGGGTTCGATCCCGCCATCCCAGAGGATCCCCTGAGCACCGCCAGGAGAGATTACTGAGAGCAGAGCCAGGAGTTACCCCTGAGCACTGCCGGGTGTGGCTCCCCACCAAAAAGAGAGAGAGGGAGAGAGAGAAATAAAATGACACACACAGAAAGGAAACAGCTGCTCTGACAGCCGTACCTGGGTCCTGGCTGGCCACCAGACTCCGGGGCTGTCCCTGTCTCTGTCCATCCTCGGTGTCCTGGACGGAAGCAGCCTGAGGCCTGCCTGGAGGCGCGGAGTCCGGGGGGTCGGGCAGGGAAGGTGGGGTTTTAGAACCGGGGTTCCCTGAGCGGAGAGAAAAGAGTCAGTGTCACTGCCTAAGCGAGGAGCCACAAAACAGGGGCCAGCGGCCAGTGGCCAGCGCCTGGACACAGGCTCGGCTCCAGGTCTGTCCAGGCCAGTGAGCCCCGTCCTCTAGGAAACAGGGAGGTCAGGCCAGCCGCACCCTGGCCCAGTCCAGCTCGGGTCTCTGGAGTCAGACACAAGCTGTGTGACCTCAGGCAAGTCGCTCTTGTGTCTCAAGAAAACCGGAGCCAATTCTGTCCAGTCCTCAGAGATGGAGCCGGTTAATATATCGGAAGCCAGCCAGGGGCAGCACCAGCCACGCCCACTTGTGCTGAGAAGGAGCATAGCATCGAGGCTCAGGTGCTGGCCTGATGTACAGCTGACCCGGGTTTGATTCTTGGGTGCAGAGCAGGAGTAACCCTGAGCACCACCAGGTGTAGCCCCGCCCAAGAAGGAGGGGTTCCAGGGCAATCCTGGGCTTGACTCAGCACCAGCCACCTGCCCTGGGCCTCCATGTCCCTGGTCATGGTCCCCCTGCGTGGGTCCCAGACTGCTAGGGTGGAGGCCAGGCTGGAGCAGTGGGGGTCAGGCTTGGGCACTGCGAGGGTTCCCGGTGAGGGACAGGCAGTCTAGTGGACATTGGTCAGTCACGGGCTCAAAGCAGCAAAAGGCCAAGGACGAGGGGCCTGTTTCAGACTTGGGGGTCTCCCACACTGATGCCAGAGTGACTCGACTCTGTTCCCAGGAGCTCTGGGAGGCCGTGTGGCCGGCTGTGTGGATGTCCCCACCCACCCACTGAAAGGGGAAACTGTGGGGACCAGCATGATTCTATTTTGGGTTCAGTGGGGTTGGTGGGGGCGGGAGAGGGTGCAGATCTACAGTTCTCCCCTCCCACACCTCGGGGGGGGGGGGGTGACCAGCTGACCTCCTGGTCAGACTCTCGTAGCTCAGAGAGCTGCCATAGCTTAATTTGCTGGCTAAGACAAAATTAAAAAACTGAGACTATTGGGGGCTGGAGCAATAGCACGGCAGGTAGGGCATTTGCCTTGCACGCGGCCGACCCGGGTTCGATTCCCAGCATCCCATAGGGTCCCCTGAGCACCGCCAGGAGTAATTCCTGAGTGAAGAACCAGGAGTAACCCCTGAGCACCGCTGGGTATGACCCAAAAAGAAAAAAAAGTAGGGGGCATCTACAGGGTGAACGGAGGTGACAGGATGGGACAGAGACTTCTTCCCTGGAGACTCTCCTGTAAGAGGGTGCGGAGGGGTGGGGCTCGATATGACACCACCTGGAACAGCGCCAGCAGTGACCCCCAAGAGCTCCTGAGCACGGCCAGAAGTGGCCTCAAAACAAAAAAATTGCCCGAGACAGGACGGAGGGAAGGGTGCTAGCCTTGCACACAGCAGACCCGGGTTCGATCCCCAGCACCCAGCATGGTCCCCCCGGCCACACCGGGAGTGGTCCCTGAGCACAGAGCCAGGGGGAAGCCCTGGGCATAACCTGGTGTGTCCCCAAACCCTCCCCCTCAAAAAGAAACGCTCACGTCCCACCGCCACCCCGAGTAAGCTCATCTGCTGGCCTTGTTCCAGAGGCCCACGAAGAAATCAATCTCGAAAGAGATTAAGTAGCCACAGAAGTTTCCCAGACACCCTCCCCGGCTGAGATGTCCGGGGTGATCTCGAAGCCCCGGAAACCGCTCCCACACCCCAAAGGTGCTGCCCCGCCTTCGGCTGCTCTGCCCACTTAAATAATCTGAATTTTCTGGGGCAACATCTCCAAATCCTAGTGGGAGCAGCCCAGACTGGAGGGGATGTGACGTAGAAGCCGACCAATCTCGACCAACAAAACCAGGAACACCGAAGGTGTCACTGGCCACAGCCCGCTTAGTGCGACAAGGACCTCACGTTCCCGTGGGGAGACAGAACAATTCTCACAATTTTTCATCCACATGAAAAAAATCTTTTGATCATTCCATTAGCCGTTTAATAGTCACAAGCAATATATAATATATAATAAATCGATGTCGGCCTGCTCCGGGGGCAGCTTGAGGGCTGGCTGGGGAAACAGGGAAATGGGGAGGGAAGGGGCCGGCGGTGCCGGGGCTGGAATATTGATCGTCTCTAACAAATCATCAGGAAAAGTGTTGTAAGCCACGGTGTTCAGGGAAAGCGGGGGCGGGGGGGAGTAAACATGATCAGGCCAGCTGAGCTGGGCACTGCCCACGGTGGCCACCTTGATTCTAAACAGTGGGTCATCCCAATCTGCCAGGCGTGGACCTGCAGTGAGGCCAGAGCACCCGGCTCGGAGGTTTGTTTTTTTTTTTTTTTTTTTTTGCTCTTTGGGTCACACCTGGCGATGCACATGGGGTACTCCTGGATTTACACTCAGGAGTCACTTCTGGCGGTGCTCAGGGGACCATATGGGATGCTGGGAATCGAACCTGGGTCGGCGCGTGCTAGGCAAACGCCCTACCTGCTGTGCTATTGCTCCAGCCCCCCCAGCTCGGAGTTTTGACTTAACACAACTCTGTGGGTTTCTCTCTCTCTCTCTCTCTTTGGCTTTTTGGGTCACACTTGGTGATGCTCAGGGGTGACTCCTGGCTCTGCACTCAGGAATTACTCCTGGCTGCGCTCAGGGGACCGTATGGGATGCCGGGGATCGAACCCAGGTCGGCCACGTGCAAGCAAGGCAAGTTCCCTGCCCGTTGGACTCTTGCTCTGGCTGCATCCATCACAGGCCAGTGTCCCCCAGCTGCCACCAGATCTCAGTCTAGCTCAGGGTCACCCTCATTTCCTATTCCTTCCAGTCATTTCCTGGGACTTCCTGTGTCCGGGGCTCTCGGCCTCAGCCCTGGCAGGACCCGGGCACGCTGGAGCAAGTGACAGCACAGAGCTGTGTGGCTGATCCTGCGTGGACACTCCACGTCCTTCACTCCCTTCAGGCGCCCGCCGCAGAGCACGCACGCAACCTACGGCATCAGCTGCTGACCAGGCCTTTCCTGGGTGAGCAAGGCTGGAAATCCCCGCCCTGTGCACGCCAGTGTTTGTTTTCCTTCTTAAGTAAAATCCTGCGGTTCAAACAGCCCCTTCTGAACCGAGAACAAGTGACTCAGCAGTAAATGAGAGTCGTGGGGGCAGCTCCGAGCCGAGCAGGGAGCCGCCTCCTGCAGCCTGGCTCCGTATCTGCCTGGACGCACGCTCACACACACGCGTGCAAGCTCACATGGATGTACGCACACACGTGCAGACTCATACATGTGCAGGCATAATGTGCACACACTCATCTATGTGTGCACGCGGACACACACCTGCACACTCCCATAAACGTGCAAACTCACATACATATGCTGCACATACACCTCCCAGCTCAAGTGAGTCAAAATCAGGCAGGTGTGAAGCACAAGCCTCGATCCTAATCCTTGTTAGGGGAACGATCCTGATTATCCTAATCCTAATCCTTCAGGGACCTGGTCCCCAACAGCAGTTGAAATGACTCACTCTGACTCACCCTTCATTCACGTGGCCACTCACAAATCCATTCACTCATTCACTGGCTCCTTCATTCTCTTGTTCACTCACGGATGCACTCTTACGTCTCATTCGCTTATCCACTCGCTCACAAATTCACTCACTCGTTCTTTCAGTCATTCCTTTGCCAACGCCTTCATCGGCTCACTGGTGCACCCACTCACCCACTCACTCCTCACTAACTCGCCCACTCTCTCCTCACTAGCTCACCCACTCTCTCCTCGGTAACTCACCCAGTCCTCACTAATTCACCCGCTCACTCCTCAGTTTGATAGGGCCCAGGTCTCTGAGGCACATGTTAATGCAGGAAGAACAGTGGAATCAAAGAGATGTGCCCGGAGCCGGAGGTTCTTCGTCCTCTTAGCTATTTCTTTGACGTTCTTGAAGGCGTTCCAAGCCGCTCTCTTCCTCCTGCGCAGCTCGGGTGCCAGGTCATTTGTCATGTTGACCTCTCGACCTAGGTACACATAGCTGTTGCATTCGGAGATGGTCGTTCCATTGAGAGCGAATGGGGCATCAGGAACAAGGCTGTTTCTCATAAACATTGTCTTCATAAGATTCAGCTGTAGTCCTACCTTTCCACACTCACGGTCAAAGTCGGCCAGCATTTGTGCCGCTTGGCTGATGTTTGGTGTTATTAAAACAATGTCATCAGCAAAGCCGAGGGGGTGGAGTTGCCGACCATCTATCTTCACTCCCATTCCTTCCCATTCCAGTCGTCGCATGATGTTCTCGAGGGTGGCACTGAAGAGTTTCGGTAAAATGGTATCACCCTGCCGCACCCCTCTCTTGACATCAACGATCACTTCTTTGTAGAATGGTGAGATCCTGGTAGTGAATCCGCAATACAGCTCACGGAGGATCCTGATGTATTGGGCTTGAATGCCCTGATTGGCTAGGGCTTCAATGACCGCATCCGTCTCAACAGAATCCAAGGCCTTCTTTAAATCAATGAACGTTAGACAGAGCGGCATCTTGAACTCCCGAGAAACCTCAATGAGCTTGGTTATCGTGTGGATATGGTCGATGGTGCTGAATCCTTTGCGGAACCCGGCTTGCTCGCATGGTTGTCCTTCATCTAGTGTTCTGCCAATCCTATTCAGGATGACTCGAGTGAACAGCTTGTAGATGACAGACAATAGGCAGATCGGGCGATAGTTGCCAATGTCATGGATGTCTCCCTTCTTGAACAGTAGTACGGTCCTGCTGGTTTTCCATTGGGACAGAACCTTGCATTCAGACAGGTAGCGAGTGAAGAGCCGAGCCAGTGTATTGATGAGTACTGACGGCAGGTTCTTCAGGTGTTCAGGTCTGACCTTGTCTGGGCCGGGTGCTGTTTGCTTCTTTACCAACGAAATGGCGTGTCGGATTTCGGAAGGGAGAACGTTAGGAACGACATACCCATCCTGTGGAATTTGGTATGTCGGCAAGTGGACATGGCTATCGAAGAGATTTGAGTAGAAGTCATGGAT